CCAAGCCCAGTCGTGGAGAAGACCAGCCGGCGGAAATCAGCAGCCACCCCAACCTGCCGCTCACTGTCTTGAGCAGGAGGAATTTTGGGGTATACTACATGAGGCGGATCCAGTACAAGCAGCGCAGCAGGATAACCGTCAACAGCACAGGCAGACCGTTAAACTAAATGGCAAAGCAGTAACTGGTCTGAGAGACACCGGAGCCACTATGACTTTGCTCCAAAAGAACCTTGTTTCAGAACACCAACACACTGGAAATACTGTGGCAGTGAGGGTGGCGGGAGGTGCAGTGTTCCGTTTACCGGTTGCCCGGGTTCACTTGGATTGGGGGGTGGGCTCTGGACACGTGAATGTGGGGGTCATGAAAGACTTACCTGCTGATGTTTTGCTTGGGAATGACTTGGCCCCTTTGGTGTCCGCTTATGCTCCAATGGGACCTGCCGATATCAACCCAGTGACTACCCGTGCCCAGACCCGTGCTGCTGGAACCAGCCCACCTGCTGCTGAGACCCAGGTAAGAACCGAGTCCCCGACTGGTACCCTAGAACAGACTTTTATTAGCTGGGATTCCCCAGAGGAGTTTGGGAGGGAAACTCAGACAGATTCGACACTCCAGAAGTATAGGGACAGAGCGGATACTGGAGAGGAAGGATTAGATGGGGAACGGTATGAGTGGGTGGGGGACAGGTTGTATAGGATCCCCAAGCTTTCCCCGAAAAGTGTTGCCCCTCCGCCGAATCGACAGCTGGTGGTGCCCGCAAAATACCGGCAGGAGATTCTGCGGATAGGGCATGATGTTCCCCTAGCTGGACATCTAGGTTCCCGCCGCACAGCCTATAGGATCATGCAGAACTTCTTTTGGCCAAACTTTAATCAGGCTGTTCGGACATATTGCAGTATGTGTGACACATGTCAACGGGTAGGAAAGCGGGGGGACCACCCAAGAGCTAGGCTTATGTCTATGCCTATCATTGGGGAGCCCTTTGCCCGTATAGCCATTGACATTGTGGGTCCACTGGCCAGGGCTAGTCCATCCGGTAAGAAATATATTCTCACCGTGGTGGATTATGCCACTCGCTATCCAGAGGCAGTAGCGCTGTCTAATATAGAGGCAGGGACAGTTGCTGATGCCCTGGTTAGGATTTTTACCAGAGTCGGTTTCCCTCAAGAGATTCTCTCTGACCAGGGAACCCAATTCACCGCTGTGCTCACCCAGCAACTGTGGAAGGTGTGCGGCATTAAACCGCTGCTTAGCTCACCTTACCATCCACAGACTAACGGTCTCTGCGAGCGATTTAACGGTACCCTCAAACAGATGCTGAGGACCTTTTCTGACACTTGCAGAGACTGGGAGCGATTCCTGCCTCATCTGTTGTTTTCCTACAGAGAGGTGCCTCAGGAATCTACTGGGTTCTCCCCCTTTGAGTTGCTATATGGGAGAAGGGTCCGCGGACCCCTAGATTTCATTAGAGGCCACTGGGAGGGGGAGACAGAGCAGGAAGGGACCCCCATAGTACTGTATGTTCTGGAACTCCGGGACCGCATGGAGAAACTGTCCCTAATGGTAAGGGAGAATCTCCAGGTGGCTCAGGGGAGACAGAAGAGGTGGTACGATCGGGGTGCCCGACAGCGAGTCTTCCAGGTTGGGCAGAAAGTGCTAGTACTCAAACCTGTGAAGGCGAACAAGATGCAGGCGTCTTGGCAGGGCCCGTATAAGGTGTTAGCGCAGATATGTGATACTACCTACCTTATAGCCAGCTGTTCGGATGAAAGGATCCAGCGATCCTTCCATGTGAACATGCTAAAGGAGTATCAGGAGAGACCGGAGAATGTCGCTGCAGTATGTGCCCCTGCTGCAGATGATACAGAGAGCTTACCCTTACCAGATTTGTTAGAGAGGGACCCCCAGACGGATCTTACTAGCCTGGTACAGCTAGGGGACAGATTGAGCCCCACCGAGAAGGGCCAGGCAAGACAGCTTCTGTGGGAGAAGCAGGCGACATTCTCCCAAGAACCCGGCTACACTACCCTAGCTGTACACAAGGTAGAAACCCCTGGACAGAACCCTTTGAGACAACCCCCTTACCGTATCCCTGAAGCAGTCCGGGAAGGAATGCGGAGGGAGATACAGGAGATGACCCAGCTGGGGGTCATCGAACACTCCGATAGCCCTTGGGCTTCCCCTGTAGTCCTGGTGCCCAAAAAGGATGGGACCACCCGGTTCTGTGTGGACTACAGGCACCTCAATGAGCGGACCACCACTGACGCCTACCCGATGCCCCAGGTAGACGAATTGTTAGATCACATTGCCAGGGGACGCTATCTGACCACCATAGACCTGTGCAAAGGCTACTGGCAGATTCCCCTGGCCGAGGATGCTATCCCCAAGTCGGCCTTCGTCACCCCATTTGGCCTGTACCAATTCAAGGTCATGCCATTTGGGATGAAGAATGCGCTGGCTACCTTCCAACGTATGGTGGATAGACTTCTTGATGGATTCCAGGAATTTGCTTGTGCATACCTGGATGACACTGCGATCTACAGTGAGTCCTGGGAGGAACACCTGGTACATGTAGGGGTAGTACTGGACAAAATTCGGGCCGCTGGCCTGACATTGAAGCCAGAGAAGTGCCATTTAGGCATGGCTGAAGTGCAGTACCTGGGTCACAGAGTAGGGTGTGGGAGCCAGAGACCAGAGCCAGCCAAGATAGAGGCAGTAGCTAACTGGCCCACACCCATCACTAAGACCCAGGTGTTAGCATTCCTAGGGACAGCAGGGTACTATAGATGCTTTGTCCCCGACTACAGCACTATTGCTAAACCCCTGACTGACCTGACAAAGAAAAACCTCCCTAAACAGGTCCTGTGGTCTCCAGCTTGTGAAGCTGCGTTTCAAGCGCTCAAACAGGCTCTTGTGAATGCCCCTGTCCTGGCTGCCCCAGTCCCTAACAAACGTTTTCTCGTTCATACAGATGCTTCCATGTATGGACTGGGGGCTGTGCTGAGCCAGGTCGGGGAAGATGGAGGAGAGCACCCTGTCGCATATCTCAGTAGAAAGCTGTTACCCAGAGAAGTGAGTTATGCGGCAGTGGAGAAGGAGTGTTTGGCCCTGGTGTGGACATTGAAAAAGTTAAGCCCGTATCTATATGGACAGGAATTTTCCCTTGTGACGGACCACAATCCCCTTGTCTGGCTTAACCGGGTCTCTGGAGACAATGGCAGACTGCTGAGGTGGAGTTTAGCCCTACAGCCATATAACTTCACCATCAGTTATCGACCCGGTAAGCAGAATGGGAATGCAGATGGATTGTCCAGGCAAACCGACATCCTCACCCCATCTTAGTCCGGTCATCCCCACGTTGACCCGCCAAAGGGTCAAGCCGGGTCTGCCGGAGTGTCCCACAAGGGGGGAGCCGTGTGACAGATTCATCTGTATTGCTGGTTCGTCTGTTTCCCTTTGTTCGCTGGATTCCCTGTTCGTATACCCCCGTTCGTGTAATTTGCAAACTACCGATTGAAACTACCGAACGAACGACCACCCAGGAGAGGAGTGTGCTGCTGGTTAACCTCTTGGCCCCAATTAGAACGTTGTGGTTAACCGCAGACACCTCTCCATTCCATTCATACGGGTGGTCGTCGTTCGCATGTCGACCACGAGGCAGCGGCCATTTTGGGACACACGAACGCATAGCGGTGTTCGGTACAAACTGTATGGAACTAAAAACGGACACTTAAACTACCGAACACCGCTGGAAGCTGATGCCCACCTTCTATTTCGACAAGGCATGCGAACGTCGGTCGTTCGGGAGTTTTTATTGCATTCGTATGGACTTTTACCCAGACAGCCGTCCCATGGAGTCATTCGTATACCGAAGGACTGGTGCAAGACTTTGACTCCATGGCGATTCGACTAGATACATCGGATCTGAGCGCTATTCGGTGAAAATGTGCACTCAGATCCAGGCTGTCTGGGGATGCGTTACACGAACTATATTCATTCGGTATTTCTTCAGTTATGTATTTTAATGTATTTTTATTACTGTAATTTAAAATGGCGATTGTCTCTACCTTGGGAGATAATTAGGTTTCTTCCTAATTATCTCTGGGGTAGAGAAGACGGATTTATGGGTAAGATGGGAAGGGCTTATATTGAAGCCACTGCGATTGGCTACTGTCCAATATGTTTTACAGTCTTCCACAAGGTCCCCTCGGGGAGTGTCCACCTTGTGGAGACCTGCATAAATACCGGGCAGGTAGCCCCCATTAAACAGATCTTTATTTGACCCTCAAGACGGAGCTTAGTCTCGTTTGTGGGGGAATTATTACTGGGACAGCGCTTTCGTTATTTTTAGCTGTGGAAGGCGTTCGACTGTTTGCTGATCGGGAGTTGCCGTGTTCGTGGACTTCGTTCGGGAGTTTGGCGGTCGGCTGGATTTAAACTGCATTTCTGGAGAAGGGGATTATTTACTAAACGGCGGCTTCATCTACCTGGCGGTTCATGTCTTAACAGACCTCTATGCCCACAAGACCCACTAACCACTCACCGACATGGGGAAGCACCGTGAAGCATCCACGCGAGGCACAACCTCACAAAATGCCAAAAAGCACCACCATGCAGCAAACAACCCCACGGAAACGCGAACTTACACTTCTGCATAGACTGGGCATCAGATGAGCAGATGAAAAGACCCGGACTGCCGGCTCGCTAGCTCCGGTGATGACGCCGATAAAGAAGACCCTGCAGAACCCACTCAACCTGGCGGACATTTGCAATAAGCTGTTAGACCTTTTTTTTTGCTTAAAGCACATCTTGCAGTTTCTCACCTTACTGTTGGGACGTCTCATCTTCCCACATATCATTGGCGTGTCTAACGACATTATTACTCAAGCGATGCTATGTTATCAGCCATACAAATAGTACACGTATATTGTTAGTCTCTCTAATAACTAATCATACTGTTCTCTCACGGTGTAATCTCTGCTATGAATAATCGCTATAAATAGCTTAATAATCCACATGTAGAATCTCTTAAGCAACTACCAGTACACCTAGCATAACCTGCAATAGGAACACCTTACTCTATAGCACTAAACTTATATTACTCTGCTATGTTTAATCTTGTACTTTACCTTCTATATGCAGCAACACAGAACAACACTTAGATAAGCAATGTTATTATATATAAAACTGTGCAGTATCCACTAATGCCTAACTACTGTCAAGCTATGTCGAAAAATGCTTACTCTAGCTGTTGTGGCATTGTAAGCCAGATGTGAATTATGTATGCACAAATAAAATAAAGAATAAAAAAAAAAAAAAAAATCTAAGATACCATACACTCTTGTACACTACCCTACTTTAGGCCGTTGAATCTTCTGGGGATGGTACATTCCCCGGGCCCAAGCCTCGAGGCCTCCAGAACCCTGTCTTTTAGCTACGTCTCGGGTGCCCTAAGCCTCCGGATTGCTGCTGTATCTCAAACAGCTGCATTTGGCCGGTGGGGCCTCATGTAGGAACCCGAATTGAACAACAGAGGGACGGAGAGCGAAGATCGGTAAGCCTCCCTGAAACATAGTCCCCCTACCTTCGGGCAGGTTTTTAGGCCGCCCCCCTCGGTGACTGAGGCTTCTGGATGGCCTAGTATAGGTAGGGCCCGTTGGTACCTATTCCCATTTTCAGAAGCAAAGGCTCGGGACACCCTCTCCCCTCCCAATAAAAAAACTTTTAGTTCCTACAGGCCATGGTGTATCCTAAAATCCCTTCCTGAAAAGCAATTAAAGAGAGCCACACCCCCCCAAAAAAACAAACCTCCAAACTGCCTGTCAGCAGCTCCTGGGAAAAACTTTAATCCCATCCTCCACCCGCAACTTCCTCAGCAGGGCTACCCTCCCGTGGCCAGGGCCCAGATTCTGACCCCTCTTACGGTACTATGCGAAGTCAGCGGTGTCCTCTTGCTACAACCTCCTGCCATTCGGTCTGCATCAAAGGTAGCTCCTCAAGATGTAACGCCACGCTGGGTAAGCTGGGGGTGGGCTGCACCCCGAGGCCTCTAAACAAACGGTGCGGGTCTCCGCCCGGGGCCAGGATGTGTGCCCGGTCCCCCTGGAACACCATTAGCTTGAAAGGAAAACCCCAAGCATATTTAATACCAGCTCCTCTGAAGGGTGGATGGAGCGAGATCTTGGTAGAGGGAGAGTTGGGTGCCTTCATAGCATATAGGCCCCTCTCTGCCTTTCTTCATAAGAGCCTCTTTGGTTCTGTAGTGCAAGAAACGAATGATGACATCTCTAGGAGTATTTACTTCGGCCCTAGAGTATTTACTTTGGCCCTATGTAGGGCTCTGTGTGCCCTTTCGATATGCCACTGGTCCTCAGGGGTGTTAGGGAGAAGGGGCTGCAAGATCGCAAGTATCCTCCCGTGTAGGTCTTCATCATTCCCTCCTGGCAGCCCCCTAAGGCGGATATTGATCCTTCTCGACCTATTTGTCATTTCTTCCACGGCCTCTATCATGCGTGCCGCCAGCCTGTTCACTTGGGCGACCACAGCATTGTGGGCCGTCGTGGTAGACACCATGCTGTCCTCCAGCCGCGCTGTCCTCTCTCCCAGAGCTCCTATTTTGGTTTGTGTCACCGCAGTAGATTTGGCTATTTCTCCTGCTAAATAAGTTCGGACCTCTTCCACGCCCTCCTGTGTAAGTATATTTTATATATCTTTTTACACCTGGGTTTATTTTATTGAGAGCACTATTGTTGCCTCCCATTTTTTGTTATCATTTGAGCTCCAGTTAACCCAAAACTGAGGATATCTACGTTATATCCTGAAGTGGGGATTGCACTATTTGGCCTTTTCCTCTCTCCCTCTCTCTATTTTATATTACCGATTATCAGAGAGACCGACCCCAAGCCTCAGGGATCCATACCTGCCACTAAACATATTATAAAGACATCATTTGATGTGAACTTGAAGCTTCTCTTCTATACCTTGAACTTCTTTGTACATTTCTGTTGTTTATACAAAGGGTGAGAGGGATCCCCTTTATTGTGGTTGCTGCCTACCCACTGTTATATTAGTGCTGACTCTTCTTCTGTATATTTGAATGGAGAGAATTCAGCATGCATGGGAGGTGAGGGAGAGACCACAAAGGAGGGGACAAACAAAGAGGCACACAGAGGGGCTGTGTAGGCAACAAGGTGCACAGAAGTTTTGGGGGGGCACAAAGAGACACACAGAGGTGCTGGGGGCACAAAAAGACACACAGAGTGGCTGGGGAAGATGAAAAGGTGACACACGAAGGAGCTGGGGGAAGAAAGAGATACACAAATTTGGCAATATTTTTTGGGGGGAGGAGGGGAGGTGGTGATACAAGTAGCTGGTCTTTTGCCTAGGTCAGAAAATAGTCTTCCACCAGACCTGATAAGTACATAATTCAGTCTTTTTTTTCTTTTTATAAATCTTTATTAAGTTTTTCTTAAAGTTTTTTTTTTTACAAAAACATTATAGTATAGATTAAAATATAGATTAGATTAAAATATAAAAATAAGTCAAATGTATGTAAATTAATTAATCAAGAAACATTAATACATACTAATCATACAAATTCCACATTCAACAACTATTCAACAACCGCCAGTTTATTAGTCACCTTTCGGTTACTATTTTTCCTAGTATACAAGGATTTATGCCGAAAGTGTTTAAGTAGATAAGAAAAAGGATTCCCAATTCTGCCAGATCTTGGTATAAATATTGAGTTGATTCTTCCTTGCGAAATATCTCTTTTCCACAACGTACTGGTAGTTTATTTGATTTATTATTTCATACCAGATTGGTTGCCCTTGTTGTTTCCATTTTTAGCTATACAGGATTAAAGAGCAAGTGATATATGCACCAGCAATTGCAACTTACCCCACTTGAGCAAGTCTATATGAAAGACGAGGAGCTGAGGGTTCAAACAGATATCCTCTCTGAATAAAGTTTACTTAATTTTTGTTTTACGTGTAAAAAAAAGTACAAATTTCTCTAGAAATTTAGAGAGTGCACATTTTGTAGATGTTGAAAAGAAAGTAGGTCCTTTCCTATTAATTAGGATATTAGATATCTGTCTGACCCCCCGTGGCCTCCAATTACTCAGATTAACATCTTTCATATTTAATTCCAGTAAATATATCAAAAGAAAAGTTGGTATACGACCATGTATTTGAAGTATTTCTTAATATTTTTAACCAAAATCAACATGTCTTTTAGAATTGGGTTAATACTAATTTGTTCAATATACTGTTGATTATCTAACCAAAAACAATAAAAATATATATTGTTTCTAGTTGCCAGCTATTCCATCGATTGAGTAGTAGGAATATTATTGTCATACAGGCATCATGTAAGACTTACACATCTGGGAAGGGTAAACCCACTATTCAAATTCGAAGCAGTGAATCAAAGTACTCCAGAGCTGTCTGGTGCCCATGTTCTGTTGTGTCAGCTTTTAAGAGTATGTAAAGTATGGGGAATGCATACTACACAATGGCAGGAATAGGGTAGGTTTTGCTGGCAAGAGTCTTATTTGCAGATGAATTGGAGAACACAGGACTCCAAATTGGCTATTGAGAAAATGCAAATTTGTTGACTACATGGCCTGAGGCATACCTAGATTACCTGGCACCTGGAGTGGATATGTATGGGGTCTGCAATGCATCAGTCACCTATGCCTGTGGAGAATGCTATTTTCTCTGAGATGAGTCCTGCAGTCAACTGAGATCCCTCAACCAGTCAGCTAAGTCCAGCTCTCCCGGACTTACCAGTGGACCCTGATATGACTACTTACAGTGGAAGAACACCAGGGTGCTTCTGGTATCATAATCACTACAGTGGAATGTAGTGGTTTGAGTATTAGGAATATAACCTTTTTTGCACCAATGACATATCCCAAAACCCCACAAATAAATAAATTTTACCTGCAGTGTATGATACAATGAAATTTAGAATTGTCAGGTAGACGTGCAAAGGGAAGGAAATCGGTGCAGTCCCGATTTTGTTTTGTCAAAATTCGGTCATTATCATTTCAGATGGCCTGAAAATCATCCGAAAATTTTCAGAAATTCAGACATCCATTTTTCCCCATATGGCGCTGTTTAGTAGGTACCGCCCTAATTTGGTACCCTAATGTGGGGTTCCCCTACTTGGGATGCCAAATTCTGGTGACAATTACTAGAAAAAATCCTAATTAGGTACTTTGATGTGGAGTTGCCCTAACTGGGATACCAAATTAGGTAGACATTGTAGATGGCCCCCTAATTTGGTACCCTGAAGTGTGCTTCCGCTACGTGGGATATAAAATTAGGACACCTAATTTGGTATCTTGGTGTGGGGTACCCTGATGTGACATGTAGGATGTGAAAAATGCTGTGCTTGGTGACTTTGATAACCACTGCATTGGCGTAGTAGCAATCCATGCTACTATAAAGGCCTTAAAGATCTGTGCCATTGCTGGAGCTCCTTGGCATAAACCTGATTTTATACCTTTCATACCGGCATCATAAGCAATTTTAGCCTGCAACCGTGGTATAGACGTGGTGGAAGCTACAGCCCATCATGCGTACCACTCTGAGCTACTTTAAATCCTGGAGACGGGAAAGACTGTCTCGGTGGCCTACTGGCGTGTTTTGGTTGGAGGAAACAGCCAAACGTCTGCACTGAACTGTGCCTGGTTGTCTCGAAGTCCAGTTTCCCCGCCCCCCATCTGGACCAGTGGGGGGTATCCCAGTCCCCACTGCCGTCTTGCCTGAGACCGAACAGACAACTGTTTGCATGAAAACCACACTCATTTTGAGGCCAGCTCTTTAAAATGTCCGACACCGAGGAGTCAACACATCCTCATGCCCACGAGACAAGATCCCAATATCCAGAGCTGTTGACAAGAGCCTTCGATTGCTTGTGGAAGAAGTTCTGTGCCATCGCATGAAAGAACACTTACCATCGGGGAATGCAGCTGCTTCTGGACCTCTGCATCCGAAACTTGCCATAAACAGTGCAGGCCTGTACTTCGGAGGACTGGTTCCCGACTGTGCAACCGCCTTCCCGAATCCCGATCCTCTTGGGGTCGGCCCCTCTCACGTAGCCCACGTATTCTTGGGGGCCTTCGGCCTGCACATATGGCAGCTTGCTGGCGGCAGTCGGAGGAGAGTGCCAAGGCCGTTGGACCCGGCTGGGGTGGTGAGGCTGGAAGAATGGATGGGATCAGATTCTGGGGCTGGTGGGGAGATAGATCGAGAACTCTGGGACTCTTGCTCTGCAGCAGCCCAATGAAGAGTAGGCTGAGCTCATACTCGGAGCAGATGTCCAGCATATTGCTGCCCAATGGCACAGTGGTCTTAAAAAAAATTTCTTTTCCACCATGCACATTAGTATTTACAGAAAAGGGACAACACAAACAATTAGCAAACTGATGTGCAGCATGTGAAAAGTTGTGCCAATCCCATATCGTGATTTTCAACATAAGCACAAGCACGGCGTTCAGTAGGTTTCATTCCATGAATGCATTTAGCATTCATTTAATTTATTTCCCATTCGCAGCAACATTCAAAATCACGTAGCCATTTTATTGATTTTTTCCTGCGTTTGTTCCCTACCTATGCCCCCAAACTGCCGAATTTCAGAGTTGGGGTTTAACTTTAGTGGTGTCAGTTTTCTCTGCCTTTCAACTGCAATTAATTATTGTGAGTAAAAAAAAATGTATTCCCTTTTCCTGTTTTATTTGTGAGTTATTAAACCCTTTTATTTAGATTGTATTTCCCGTTCATTTTCAATGTTACTTTACAATGCAATCTGACAGGGATCTTTCAGTACCCTCTGGGTATCTAGCATCCATTCAGGTTACTTTGGAAAACTTTCCAGGTAAATCTGGGGATGATGTGTATTTCTCCGCTAACATTAATGCTCCTGCTGACATGCAGGCTTCAATTAATGCATCTATGTCACAAGCTATGACCAAGGCTCTGGTTTCTGCAGTGGGAGTTATGTCTATCTCCCTCTCGCAGACTTTTGCAGAGGCCCTGCTGCAGGCACAAAGATTGGCTCAGCCGGTCACTCCACAGGCGATGCCTTTGGCAACACCTGCTCAGCCTCAGCCGTAAGACTTCTTACAAAACGAAACACTCCTCAAATCAGCAGAGATGGACAATTTTTCACCTGTCACGAATGGCGCAATTAATTTACCACCGCGCAAAAGAGCCACTAGCTGGTCAAAATCAGCTAGAGTTTGGAAGAGGGCAAAAGCTCAGTTGGATCCTGAGTCTGAACTCAGTGATATTGAAGAGGAGTTCTACTGGGATAATTCAGAGGATCTTTCTGATTATGACTCTGACGATAATGATGAGGAGGCTGACCCCTCACAGGATATACTTCCCATTAAACCTACTAAGTTTGTGATTGACAACGGAGCCTCAGGGGACACTGGTAGGATCTTGGACCCTATTTGACCCTGACGACCTACGCCACCCACGGTCTGTAGAATGGTCTCCATCAGACCATGTTGCAGGATATTTTGCGTCCAGGGTACGAAAGCCTTTAGTCAAGGCAAAACTAAATAAATTTCGGGCTGAATGCCTACGCCCCACGGTTCCAGGTGACGCTTTTGTAAGACACCATCGGTAGAAACTAAATTTATCCAATTTCTGGGTAAGACAGGCTGGAAACCTAATAAAGGCATGGAATTTTCACTCCGTAACTGCCAGGATAAAATCCTGGACATCTTGTGGCCAGTGGCCAAGATATTTGATATGGCTGAAGAAGATGTATGTGACTGGATACAAAGAATTACATGTTTAGTTGGCATGCCAACACTGCGATGGCCATGGAACGTCGCAATTTGATACTGCTCAAGATTGAGCCAAAATTGGTCTGAACAAGCCGGGCACACAGACAAAACGTCTCCCCTTTGGAGATAACTTTGTAAAGGAACAAGATTAATTTGTACATACCTTTACCGGCCTTGATAAAGCACAACTTAACATGCGCAAATATGGGTGTCTGCAGGAGGAGGCAAGGAGGGGCGCTTGCTCTCCCCCCCCCTGGATTTTTCAATTTGTGCTGGTATTTTTGTTTTGAGATTGAGAATACTGTGCAATACTGGCACCGGCCAGTAGGTGGTGCTGTGTGTGGAGAGAGGCAGGGATAGGAGGTTACATCTTATGCCTGCTTCTCTCTCCTGACTGAATCCGCAGGGGAGCAGCACATGCAGCCAGAAACTCCCAGACTGCAGAGACAGCCTACAGATTAGGCAAGTGGGATTGCAGCCTGCAGATCAGGTAAGTGAGGAATGGGGGGCAGCATAAGATCAGGTAAGTGAGGCATGGTGGGCAGTAAAGATCAGGTAAGTGAGGCATGGGGGGCAGCATAAGATCAGGTAAGTGAGGGATAGGGGGCAGTAAAGATCAGGTAAGTGATGGATGGAGGAGCAGTAAAGATCAGGTAAGTAAGGCAGGGGCGTACCTAGAGCATTTGGCACCCTGTAAAAAATGTTAAAGGTTTTATTTCTTTTATTTTTACAATTTGTAAACTTTGCAAAACCGCTGTCAGCCCCTCCTACAAAACCCTTGTCCTGCCCTGCCCCTCCTACAAAACCTCTGTCCTGCCCCTTCTACAAATCCTGTACTGCCCCATCTACAAAACCCCCGCAACCCCCTTCCACAAATCCCCTGCTTATCCCCCCTTATAAAGACTCCTGTCCCAATACAAAAACCCCACCCCCTTCTACAAAATCCCTGCAGCCCTACACACACATTTACAGGCAGACAGTCACACACTCAGTTACAGACAGACAGTCACACACTCAGTTACAGGCAGACAGTCACAGTCACACATCACACATACACATTTCCTCTGTGCGGCCAGTTTATCAGCTGTTTGCTTGAGTGAGCTGTACTGGCCGCACGGCACCCTAACTACCATGGGACACTGTGCGGCCACAGCTCACACAGCCCCCTCCAGCCAGGGCCGGTACAAGGATTTTTGCCGCCCTAGGCAAAAGTAAAGTTTGCCGCCCCCCATGTGACATCACAATGCCCCAACCATATGATTTGCCATGTTAACTAGCGCCAGTGCTGCAGTGCCGCCGTGTTTACATTAAAAGGCCTGCAGGGACAGACTATAGACACCAGAACCACTATATTAAGCTGAAGTGGTTCTGGGGACTATAGTGTTTCTTTAATGTGAGGTAAATTAGAGCTTAGTGCCACGAATAATATACTAGATTGCCTACTTACAACCAGATGAGGATGATGATGGGCTCTAGCTGCAGTCTGGCTCCACTGGTCTGGTGCAGAACAGGCTCTCTGGAGGCGGTTTGTAACTGTGGTCACAAAAATCAATGTTCTGGGAGAACTGGAAGCAGCTCCATTTTTTGGGGGTCCTTTACACAGATCAAGGTCTGGGTCCCAGGGTCCACCTTCATGTTCCACCAATGAGTTTGTTCACAGGGGGTGGAGTGTGTAGGGGATGTCCTGATATGTGTGTAAGGAATGCATTGTGTGAAATTGTGTTTGTATGTGTAAGGACTGCAAGGTGTGTTTCTGTGTATGTATGGGATGCATTGAATGTGTGTAAGGGGTGCATTGAGTGTGTGTAATGAATGCATTGTGTGTTTCTGTGTGTGTAAGGGATGCATTGTGTGTAATGGTTGCATTGCTTGTGTATGTGTGTCTGTGTGTTTTCTGTGTGCAAGGGGTGCATTGTGTGTATGTGATGAATGTCAATCTCTCCTCCCGCTCCAATTTCCTTCTCCTCCTCCCAATTTCTCTTTCTCACCCACCCCCCCTTTTCTCTTTCTCACCCCCCCTTATTTCTCTTTCTCACCCCCCTTATTTATCTTTCTCACCCCCCCTTATTTCTCTCTCACCCCCCCTTATTTCTCTTTCTCACCCCCCCTCCTATTTTCTCTCACCCCCCCTTCTTTCTCACCCCCCCTTATTTCTCTTTCTCACCCCCCTCCTATTTTCTCTCCTGCCCCTTTTCTCTTTCTCACCCCACCCCTTATTTCTCTCACCCCTTATTTCTCTCACCCCCCTTATTTCTCTCACCCCCTGTTTCTCTTTCTCACCCCTTATTTCTCTTTCTCACCCCTTATTTCTCGTTTCTCACCCCCCTTATTTCTTTCTCACCCCCCCTTATTTCTTTCTCACCCCTCTCTCACCCCACTTATTTGTTTTTCTCCCCTCTCACCCCTTATTTCTTTCTCTCACCCCTCTCTCACCCCCTTATTTCTTTCTCACCCTCTCTCACCCCCTTATTTCTCTTTCTCACCCCTTGTTTCTTTTCTCAACCACTCTCTCACTTGCTGTTTCTTTCACCTCTCACCCCTTCTTTCTCACCCCCCTTCTTTCTCCACCCCACCTCCTGTGGCGTGGCGTCCCGAGAGTATAGCCGGCGGGTACAGGGAGCTTTTGTTTCCTGTACCCGGCCGGACTAACAGGAAGTGAACACTCAGTGTGCACTTCCTGTTAGTCCGGCCGGGTACAGGAGACAGCTGCTCTCTGTACCCGTCGGACCATGCTGCAGTGAGGGAGCTGACAGGAGCGCTCCCTCCTGTCAGCCTCTCCTCAGGCTGCGCCCGGGCGGTGCGGTCCGCCCTCATGGACGCACCGCCCGGGCAAAGCTGCAGCCGCCTGAGGCTCTATACAGAGCGCTCGGGCGGCTGCAGCATGGGGGGGCGGGGGGCTGGCCATGGCACCCCCCACCCGGCTGGCACCCGGGGCGGACCGCCCCCCTGCCCCAGTGCGCCACTGAGTAAGGCATGGGCAGTGGTACATACCAGGGTCGCAAGGGTCGCGGCTGCGACCGGGCCCGACCCACCAGGGGGCCCGGCCGCCCCTGCGACCCGGTGTGTACCCACTGGGCCAGCCTCTTCCCCTGGGGGGCCCAGGAGCCGACCACCCCAGGACCCCCCGAGGCTGGCCCTGCTGACACCCGGCAGGCGGGTGGCCGGTCGGGCAGGCAGGTGCGCGAGGGAGCACTCACTGCTTCCTCTTCAGCTCCCTCACACACCACACTGATACTGGAGCCGGAAGATGATGTCATCTTCCGGCGCCAGCATCCCTACGCGGTGCGCGAGTGAGCTGAAGAGGAAGCAGCAGTTTGCAGAACCCAATTGTTTCTTCAGACAATTGGGTTCTGCAAACTGTAAAAGTGTATTGCATAGACTTCCTTTCGTTACCTGTACAATATTCCCCACCAAAATAAATATTTTTTTTCCCAATGGGATGCAGACCTTGTCTCCAAGGAGATAATAGAACTGATGCGTAAACAAGCCATCATGGAAACTCCGGATCATACCCCGGGTTATGTGAGTAAAAAAGGCAGAGGTGTTGGCCCAGTGATAAATCAGAAACAGCTCAATGCTTACGTTACCTATCAGCACTTAAAGATGGCAGGGATACATTGTCTGAGGGATCTTCTCCAACCAGTGGAATGGATGGCCAAATTAGATCTGCAGGATACATATCTCACTGTGCCTATCACACACCAGCTTCAAGATTTCCTACAGTTCACTTGGCAAGGACAGACACGGAGATTCAAGTGCCTTCTATTCGGACTGTCCTCAGACCCTTGTTGCTTTAACAAGCTTATGAAACCTGTGATTGCTCTGTTAATAAATTGAGGGGTACGTGATAACATATTTAGATGAAATTCTCATTCTGGCTCAGTCCCTTCAGCTCAACAAGTCACACCTTTCCTGGTCTGTGACTCTGTTACAGAATTTGGGTTTCCTAAGCAATTAGGAGAAATACATCGTCTCCACACGGCGCATAGAATTCCTGTGTCTTGTCATAGATTCTACTCTTTAGACCCTGCATCTGCCGCTGTCAAAACTAACCAATATCAGTTAGGAGATCAGGCTCACACTTTCAGCTCCTCAGCTCTCTCTCAAACAACTGGTGAGAATGATAGGCCTCCAGGCAGCTTCTATACAGGCCATTTTCCCAGGCCCTTTTCACTATGGAACGCTACAATGATTGCAAGCTTCTAATCTGAAAGGCGGCGCATCATACGCGGATATGGTCAGTCTAGACTTAGAAGCAAAGGATGAACTACAATGGTGCTTTTCTAAATGGAGGCTTAGAATGGACACATCGTTTTTGGCGCATGTCTAGATTTACTAATAGAGTTTGACACAAGCTTACACTGTTCGGGAGCTCGCTGCAGAGATATCTCTACCGTTGGCAGATGGTCAGATTTGGAATCAAACCTCCATTTATTGTTTGGAACTTCTGGCCGGCTCATTTGAAATCCGCAGTTTTTCTCATACTCTATCCCAGTGTACTATGCTTCTGAAGATGGACAACGTATTGACTGTCCGTTACATCAAACACCTGGAAGGCACAAAATCAAGTTCTAGCAAACATGGCACAAGACTTTTGGCAGTTCTGCCTCTCAAACACCACAGCGGAGTGGTATTCCTGATACCTCAGGGATTCAAGCAATTGGCATCTGGATTCCAGGGTCTCCCAAGACATCCAGTCTCTATGGGGTCCATTGGATATGGACCATTTCGCTTCACGTTTTAATACGCAACTTTCCTGTTTCTTCTAATGGAAACCAGATCTGACAGCACTAGCAACAAATGCTTTCTCACAAGATTGGTCGTCCTTGAGGAATTACCCTTCTCCACCCTTCGCACTAATCTTTTGTTGCCTTCTCCACCTATGACGACAAATCGGCACCCTGGTGATTTTGGCCCGCCTTCGGCCAGCTCAACCATGGTTTCCTCCCCTCCTAGAGATGGCTAGCGACTTCCCTCACCTCCTCCCAATCCCTCGATCCCCTCCTTCTAGATCCAGACGGACAATGTCACCCCCGATCAAATAAAACAGATAGTGTTTAAGGCGCTTCAGTTATTATACATTAGGCATGTGCATGGGGAAAATTTTCGGTTCGGCATTTGGAAATTCGGAACTTCCACAATTCGGGCCTTCGGCACTTCGGAATTTCGGCAACTTCGGCATTTCGGGACTTCGGCACTTTGGGACTTCTCTTGCAGCCGCTTAGTAGATAACGCCCTAATTCCCACGGTATTAGGGAGTTATCTACCAAAAGGCTGAAAGGCTTAAATAGGTCTTTCAGACAAATTTACTAATACTAAGTAAAAATTATTTAGTATTAGTAAATTTTGCCCCTATTCACTATACCGCGAGTAGGGGCATGTCTATTAAACAGTGAGCAGCCTGTTCCCTCCCCCCATTATTTTACTTTAGGGCTCCCACCCGCCGCTGAGGCAATAGGTCCCCCCTCCCAAGCCCCCACCCGCAATGTGTGAGTGGGGGCTTTTAAACCAAAGGGGGAACCTATTGCCCTCCCCCCGGCCCCCACCCCTGAGCGGGGGGCCCCTAAAGTAAAATAATGGGGGGGACTTATTGTCCTCCCCCCTTGCCCCCACCCCTGACCGGTGGGTGGGGGCCCTAAATTATAATAAGGGGGGGACCTAATGTCCTCCCCCCTGGCCCCCACCCCTGAGCGGTGGGTGGGGGCCCTAAATTATAATAAAGGGGGGACCTTATGTCCTCCCCCCTGGCCCCCACCCCTGAGCGGTGGGTGGGGTCCCTAAATACCAATTAGGAGGGGGACCTAATGTCCTCCCCCTGGCCCCGACCCCTGAGCGGTGGGTCTAGGCCCTAAATTAGAATAAGGGGGGGACCTAATGTCCTCCCCCCTGGCTCCCACCCCTGAGCAGCGGGTGGGGGCCCTAAAATAAAATAATGGGGGGAGACCTATTGTCCTCCCCCGGCCCCCACCCCTGAGCGGTGGGTGGGGTCCCTAAATACCAATTAGGAGGGGGACCTAATGTCCTCCCCCTGGCCCCGACCCCTGAGCGGTGGGTCTAGGCCCTAAATTAGAATAAGGGGGGACCTAATGTCCTCCCCCCTGGCTCCCACCCCTGAGCGGCGGGTGGGGGCCCTAAAATAAAATGATGGGGGGAGACCTATTGTCCTCCCCCGGCCCCCACCCCTGAGCAGTGGGTGTGGGCCCTACCCCTGAACGGTGGGTGGAGGCCCTAAATTAGAATAAGGGGGGGGAACCTAATGTCCTCCTCCCTGGCCTGCACCCCTGAGCGGTGGGTGGGGGCCCTAAATACTAATAAAGGGGGGCCTAATGTCCTCCCCCCCTAAATAAAAAATTACCCCCCCTCCTCCAGGTGACTAGGGGTCCCCAAACCCCTAGTCACCCCCTCCCCACAAAAAACTAACCCCTACCTACCCCCCTCACCCTAAAAATAATGAGGGGGGACCATTAACTAAGTTTGTGCAGTTTATTACAAGGAGGGAGCTACCGGCATGCAGCTCCCTCCTTGTAATATGTAACTATAGAAGTGGCAGGTGTCAGGATCGTGACAGGGATCCAACACGCAGAATACAAACAGGGGATAGGTACGTATACCGGACCTTAGAATGGCCGGACTAACGTAAGGAGAAAGCAAAAGAATAGTCAGAGACAAGCCGAGGTCGAGGGAACGAGAGATCAGGTAAGCGAGAGACAAGCCGAGTCAAAAGGACAAGAGAGGAAAGCAGGGTCAAAATACAAGCCGAGTCAGGAACCAAAAGACAATAGAGGAAATTGCACTGAGTGACCAGACTAGCTAGAACCACGACAGGGCAATGAATCATTCCACAGAACCCTTTTTTATACCTTGGCTCTTTAACTGTTGGCTCCGCCCCCAACGGGTCCTGATTGGTTGTTCGGCACTTGGTTGCCGTGATTGACGGGTCGGAACGTGATTGCCGTCATGACGTCGGCTACTGAGCGCCGCGTCATAAAAGGAGGCGGAGCTATCGCGGCCGGCGTGTAAACGACCGGGAGGAGTGCAAGGATCGGGTGAGTCAGCCCCCCTGGGAGGATGGACGTCTAGGTGTCTAACCTCCTCCGAGGTAGACACCAAAGGTACCCTGACAGTACCCCCCCTCTCAGAAACGCCCACCGGGCGGAAGGAACCGGGGCGGGACGGAAAACGAGCATGAAATGCCCGGAGGAGACGAGGGGCATGCACATTTTCATGGACCACCCAAGACCTTTCTTCAGGCCCATACCCCTTCCAGTCAACAAGATATTGCAACTTCCCCCGAGAAATACGAGAATCGAGAATGGATTTGATTTCATATTCCTCCTGACCCTCAACCTGGACAGCGAGAGGGGAGGACTCAGGGGAGGAAAATCTGTTGCAAACCAAAGGCTTCAATAAAGAAACATGAAAAGAGTTAGGGATGCGCAGGGCAGGCGGAAGGGCAAGACGATATGCAACCGGGTTAATCCGACACAGAACCTTGTAAGGGCCTATGTAACGAGGGGCAAATTTCATGGAAGGAACCTTCAAGCGGATGTTTCTGGTACTCAACCACACCCTATCACCCGGGGCAAAAACCGGAGCCACCCGTCTCCGTTTGTCAGCGTGTCGTTTGAACACCATGGAATTCTGAAGAAGAATTCGTCGAGTCTGATCCCACAACTTTCTCAGATTGGCGACATGAACATCAACCGACGGAACCCCTTGGGAAGGGGAAACCGACGGAAGAATGGAAGGATGAAAGCCATAATTCAAGAAAAAGGGGCTAGAACGAGTAGAATCACAAACGAGATTGTTGTGTGCAAACTCTGCCCAAGGAATCAGACCAACCCAATCGTCCTGGTGTTCAGAAACAAAACAACGCAAATATTGTTCAATCTTTTGGTTGGTGCGTTCGGCAGCTCCGTTGGACTGGGGATGATAGGCAGAGGAGAAGTTCAACTTGATGCCTAAGTGAGAACAGAAAGACTTCCAAAAGCGGGAAACAAATTGGGAACCTCTATCAGAAACAATTTCAGAGGGAATACCATGTAGACGAAAAATCTCCCTCGCGAATATCTCAGCTAATTCGGGAGACGAGGGCAGTTTAGGCAAGGGCACGAAATGAGCCATTTTAGTAAACCTGTCAATCACCGTGAGAATAACAGTATGTTTTTTAGAAACAGGCAAATCGACAATGAAATCCATAGCCAAACACGACCATGGTCTCTCGGGAATTTCTAAGGGATGCAAAAGTCCACAAGGGAGCGCGTGAGGTTGCTTAGTCTTCATACAGACAGCACATGCCCTGACGAAATCCCTTATATCCTTACGAAGGGAAGGCCACCAGAAATCTTTAGAAATCAGGGAACACGTTTTGCGTGTGCCGGGGTGCCCAGCAATTTTACTGTCATGAAAGCAATGCAGCAGTTCCACTTGGAGCTCAGGAGGAACGAAGTATCGATCCCCAGGAACAGGTTTGGGAGCTAGATGTTGTACTTTCTTGATCTCAGCAAGCAACGGCGAGTGTATCCTGACACAAGTGTTGGCAATAATATTACACTTAGGAACGATAGAAGACAAAGCTGCTTCAGACACCGTAGAGGGTTCATGTTGACGGGACAATGCATCTGCCTTAGAGTTCTTAGAACCAGGTCTATAAGTGAGCACGTAATTGAAATGTGTCAGAAACAAGGACCAACGAGCTTGCCTGGCGGACAAGCGCTTGGCCTCCCCTATGTAGGACAAATTCTTGTGATCAGTCAAAATAGTAACCGGGTATAATGTCCCCTCCAACAAATGTCTCCATTCCTTTAAAGCCATAATGACCGCTAACAGTTCCCTATCACCAATGTCATATCTACTTTCAGGCCCAGATAATTTCTTGGAAAAAAAACCACAAGGATGTAACGGTTTATCCAAACCTAGCCTTTGGGACAAGATAGCGCCTATACCTGTCTCCGAGGCGTCAACCTCGAGTAAAAAAGGCAAAGATGTGTCAGGATGAACTAATATCGGTGCTGAGGCAAAATGTTCCTTGAGAGTTTTGAAAGCAGAGAGAGCCTCTGTGGACCAAGTCTTGGTATCAGCCCCCTGTCTAGTCATATTAGTAATAGGAGCAATAATAGAAGAGTAACCTTTAATGAAGCGCCTATAATAATTGGAAAATCCGATAAATCTCTGAATGGCCTTGAGTCCCCTGGGCAATGGCCAATCTAAAATCGATTGGAGTTTAATGGGGTCCATCCTAAATCCGTCTCCAGAAATAACGTAGCCAAGAAAGTTTATCTGAGATTGGTCGAAGCTACACTTTTCCAATTTGCAGTACAATCCATGTTGTAACAGTTTGCGCAGTACCCTTCTGACTTGTCTGTGGTGAGTCTCAATCTCTCTAGAGTGTATTAGTATATCATCCAAATATACTATAACGCATTCATGCTGAAATTCCCTAAGAACCTCATTAATAAGGTCCTGGAATACTGCAGGTGCATTGCAAAGCCCGAAGGGCATTACCGTGTATTCATAGTGGCCATAACGGGTATTGAAAGCTGTTTTCCATTCGTCTCCCTGCTGAATTCTCACCAAGTTATAAGCTCCCCTCAAATCTAACTTGGTAAAAATCTTGGAGCCTTTCAGTCGATCAAAGAGCTCAGTAATTAAAGGAATAGGATAAGCATTTCTAACAGTTATCTTATTCAAGCCCCGATAATCAATGCAAGGCCGTAGAGTGCCGTCTTTTTATCTACAAAAAAGAAACCGGCCCCGGCCGGAGAAGATGATCTCCTAATAAAACCTTTGTCTAGGTTTTCACGTATGTACTCCTCTAGGACTAAGTTTTCCTTAGTGGATAAAGGATATACCGTACCCCTCGGAGGCATAGTACCAGGTAGGAGTCTAATTTTACAGTCGAAAGACCTATGTGGAGGTAAAGTATCAGCCCTCTTTTTGTCAAAGACTGCCTTTAAATCCTGGTACTGTGATGGTATCTGTAAATCTGTAGGTTGGGAAGAGTTAACCGGGGCGTCAACCCTGCAAATTGGTGAGACTTTCTGCACACATCCTTTCTGGCAACCCTGACCCCAGGAGACTATCTCACCCAGTTCCCAGTCAATGATAGGGTTATGCTTCTTAAGCCAGGGATACCCCAAGACTATAGGAACTGAAGGAGATGAGATCAGCATGAGGGATATTCTTTCCTCGTGAAGGATACCAGTGGTTAACTTAATTGGTATGGTTTCACGAAAAATCACAGGTTCAGATAATGGTCTACCATCTATGGCCTCAACGGCCAAGGGTGTATCCCTTAGCTGAGATGGGATAGAATGGTTAGTGACAAAGGCTTGGTCAATAAAGCTTTCAGCTGCTCCGGAATCTATCAAAGCCATAGCATTAAGTACTCCCTTTTCCCAAGCTAAAGAAACAGGTATCAGAAGCCTATGATCTTTATAATCATATATAGAGGACAAGATAGAAACACCCAAGGCCTGTCCTCTTGAGAAACTTAGGTGCGAGCGTTTCCCGGCCGGTTAGGGCAATTTAGGCGTAGGTGACCTCTAATTCCGCAATACATACAAAGACCCTCCCTTCTCCTGTACTGTCTTTCCTCCTCTGAGAGTCGAGTATTACCTATTTGCATAGGTTCTGGGAGAGCTAAAGTAGTAGAATCAGAAGTCTGAAATGAGGGAGCTAGTCTTATGGAGGATCTGCGGGTTCTATCCCGAATATTCTGCCTCTGTCTCATACGTTCATCTATTCGGGAAATAAATGAAATCAGATCCTCCAAATTTTCAGGAAGATCTCTTGTGGCCACCTCATCTAAAATCTCATCAGATAACCCGTTCATAAATACGTCCATATAAGCCTGTTCATTCCACTTGACCTCTGCCGCCAAGGATCTGAACTCCAAGGCATAATCCACTAGGGTTCGGTTATACTGTCTAAGACGTAACAGTAGTCTAGCTGCATTGGCCTTTCTTCCTGGAGGGTCAAAAGCTCTCCTAAATGCAGCGACAAAAGCATTATAATTATAAACTAACGGGTTATCATTTTCCCACAGGGGGTTAGCCCATCTAAGTGCCTTGTCAATGAGCAAGGTAATTATAAATCCAACCTTTGCCCTGTCAGTAGGGTAGGCGTGGGGTTGTAATTCAAAATGAATACCAATCTGGTTTAAAAAACCTCGACAAGTGTCAGGAGCGCCGCCATAGCGTGACGGGGACGTAACACGGGAAGAAGTAGCCACTGTGGCTACCTCTAGGCCTGTACTTATAGGAGAGATAGATGGGGTACGCATCTCCTCTGAGTGACTACTAGGACGAGATAGCAATGCTTGCAGAGCTAGAGCCATCTGGTCCATTCTATGATCCATGGCCTCAAATCTAGAGTCAGGAGAACCGACCTGAGAGTTTGTACCTGCAGGATCCATTGGCCCTGTCGTAATGTCAGGATCGTGACAGGGATCCAACACGCAGAATACAAACAGGGGATAGGTACGTATACCGGACCTTAGAATGGCCGGACTAACGTAAGGAGAAAGCAAAAGAATAGTCAGAGACAAGCCGAGGTCGAGGGAACGAGAGATCAGGTAAGCGAGAGACAAGCCGAGTCAAAAGGACAAGAGAGGAAAGCAGGGTCAAAATACAAGCCGAGTCAGGAACCAAAAGACAATAGAGGAAATTGCACTGAGTGACCAGACTAGCTAGAACCACGACAGGGCAATGAATCATTCCACAGAACCCTTTTTTATACCTTGGCTCTTTAACTGTTGGCTCCGCCCCCAACGGGTCCTGATTGGTTGTTCGGCACTTGGTTGCCGTGATTGACGGGTCGGAACGTGATTGCCGTCATGACGTCGGCTACTGAGCGCCGCGTCATAAAAGGAGGCGGAGCTATCGCGGCCGGCGTGTAAACGACCGGGAGGAGTGCAAGGATCGGGTGAGTCAGCCCCCCTGGGAGGATGGACGTCTAGGTGTCTAACCTCCTCCGAGGTAGACACCAAAGGTACCCTGACAGCAGGGAGCAGTGCTCCCCGCCACTTCATAAGACCCCCCAAGCCCCCCCTCACTCTATGGGGGTCAATATGACCCCCATAATAGCACAAGGGAGATTAAAATCTCCCCAATGCCCCTACTCGCTATACCGCGAGTAGGGGCATGTCCACTAAACAGTTGCTCACTGTAAAACTGCTCACTGTAAAAAAAAACAAAAAAAAATATTGGCCCCCACCCCTAAAGTAAAATAAGGGGGGAGACTTAATGCCCCCCCCGGCCCCCACCCCTGCGCGGCGGGTGGGGGCCATAATGATAATGGGGGGGACCTACTGCCTCCCCCGGCCCCCACCCCTGGGCAGCCGGTAGGGGCCATATTGATAATGAGGGGGGGACCTACTGCCCCCCACCCGGCCCCCACCCCTGGGCGGCGGGTGGGGGCCATATTGATAATGAGGGGGGGGACCTACTGCCCCCCCCGGCCCCCACCCCTGGGCGGCGGGTGGGGGCCATATTGATTATGAGGGGGGAGGGACCTCCTGCCCCTCCCCCCTACGCCCACTCCTGGGCGGCGGGTGGGGGCCATAATGATAATGAGGGGGGGGACCTCCTGGGCGACGGGTGGGGGCCATCTTGATAATGAGGGGGTTGGGACCTACTGTCCTCCCCCCCCCACCCACGGGCGGGTGGGGGCCCTAAGTCAATTCCCCCCCCCAAGGTGACTAGGGGTCCCCAAGCCCCTAGTCACCCACCCCCCACCCAAATAAAAAGTCCCTACCTACCCCCCTCACCCTAAAAAAAAGTGAGGGGGGAATAAAATAACTAACCTGTAAAATAAAATTAAACTTACCATTCGACGTCTTCTTTTTTCTCAAATCTTATTTTTTCAGCCCCAAAAAGGGCCAAATAAAAAACCATCATAACCGTCGAACTTAAAATGAAATAAAAATCCAGAGCGCAAAAAATTTATCCATCTTCACCCATGGAGGGCTCCGCACAGACTGAGCTCCGCAGGGCGGGGCAAGGCTTATAAAGCCTTTCCCCGCCCTGCAATTAGGCTAAGAACACTCTGATTGGTGGGTTTAAGCCAATCAGAGTGCTCTTTGTCATATTACACAGCGTGGGGAAATTCCAAAGAACTTTCCCACGCTGTGTAAAATGACACAGAGCACTGTGATTGGATGGCTTGAAATCCATCCAATCACTGTGCTCTGTGTCATTTTACACAGCATGGGAAAGTTCTTTGGAATTTTCCCACGCTGTGTAAAATGACACATAGCACTGTGATTGGATGGCTTGAAATCCATCCAATCACAGTGCTCTGTGTCATTTTACACAGCGTGGGAAAGTTCTTTGGAATTTTCCCACGCTGTGTAAAATGACACAGAGCACTGTGATTGGATGGCTTAAAATCCATCCCCCCCCTCATTATCATTATGGCCCCCACCCGCCACCCAGGGGTGGGGGCCGGGGGGGGGCAGTAGGTCCCCCCGCTTCATTATCATTATGGCCCCCACCCGCTGCCCAGGGCTGGGGGCCGGGGGGGGCAGTAGGTTCCCCCCCCCCATTATCATTATGACCCCCACCCACCGCACAACAGCTAAAAAACACAAAATTAATCACTGCAGTAAAGTCACAGTGCAGCAGAGAGACACCCTGGCAATCAGACTACCTGGCTTGCACACTCTCTCATCCCCCACTCCCTTCAAAAAAAGAAACAAAATGCAGAAGAAAAAAAAGGCTAAACTCACACACACTCTCTCTCCCTGGAACACACATTTAAAAGCAATGTGGTTCCACAAGCTTGCAACAAATAAAGTACAATAAATGTAATGTAATTTATCTCTCTCAGTCTCTTGTGCTATGACAACTAGTCTGGCCCATGAATGCAAGCCAACACCCTGACAGCCTGATTTATATACTATCCCACCTCAATGACTCTGTGTGCCTTTATTGGCCAAGTGCCAGTGACAAAGTCACCATTATTTGGCTGTACTTTCTAACATCAGTCACAAAAATGTGCTCATTTCATTGGACAGGGAATAGTGAAACCGGATTGGGCAAGCAAGCATTACATTGCACAAAAGGAATTAGCTTATTGGTTTAAGATTCCTGTCATTATTCAAGTATTTTTCCCTCCCTCTCTCTTGTTTTGCCACTTTTCAGAAATCTGAATCACTTAGGCACTTTGAAGCTTCGGCACTACCGAACTTCGTCACTTCGGTGCCTCGGAACCTCGGCATTTCGGACATTTCCGAAGCATCTGAATGTCCGAATGGCATGAAATTCGTACAAATGTACATTTGGAATGAAACTAATTGCACATGTCTAAATATTAATTTTAAAAAAAATTCCTTAACCCCTTAAGGACAGAGGCAATTGTACGAATTCTGATCCAAACAAAACGTAAACAAAACCTTAAATTTTCGCCATATGTCAGTTCAACCATAATTCGCCTCTATCGTATTAACCCTTTAAGGATGGCAGGCGTTCTATGCCGTCCTTAAGGGGCTGTTTCTAAGCACAGGGAGGCGGCATAGAAGGGCCTAGTCATTCTTGCCAACCACATGCCCGCCGTCATTTGTCCGCTGCAGACTTTGGGTAGTGTTTATGACTAAGTGGGTACTAAAAAAGACTGGACATACCCCATTTGCAATACCTTGGGTTGTCTACTTTTGCAAATAGTATGCCATCATGGGGGTAATTCTCATTCCTGGGCTGTCATACACTCTCAAAGGCAAGTAACCAGTTTGGCAAATTTCAATGTGTATAAACTGAAAAATTTAATGTGCTATATTTGACCCTGTAACTTTCCACACCACCATAAAACCTGTACATTGGGGGTACTGTTTTACTCATGAGACATTACTAAATACAAATATGTGTCCTATACTAATTGCACTTTAGTTTGTGAACACAAATATTTTGTTTGATTTACAAAAATGTGTACTTTATTGCAGTAACAGCTAACAGTATTATGCAATTCAGAACTAAATAAAGAACAACATTTCTTAATTTCTCATATTTTATTAATATTAATTTATGTTTATTATATAAATATTTGATGTGACATGAAAGCCCTGTTTCTCCTGAACAAAATTATATATAATAAGTGTGGATGCATTTAATATGAAAGAGGTGAATTACGGTTGGACAGCTATATAACGCAAATTCAAGGTTTTGGTTTGATCTGAACTTGGACAATTGCCTCAGTCCTTAAGGGGTTAAGCAAGCCAGTGTAAAAAGATAGTGTATATGTAAACCAATGTACACGTGTAGATCAAAAGATTATTTAGAAGTGTTTGTGTACTTGATTACCAAAAGGCATTGAGAAAAATGTTTCTCTTACAGACAGACCTCTACATGTGAATGATAATTGCATTCTATAAAGATTCATAAGTACACTGTTCAAAGTCTAAGCAGTGAATCAAAGTACTCCAGAGCTGTCTGGTTCCCATGTTCTCTTGTGTCTGCTGTTAAGAGTATGTAAAGTATGGGGAATTCTGCATCCTACACAATGGCAGGAATAGGGAAATTTTGCTTTAAAGAGTCTTGTTTGCAGATGAATAGGAGAACACAGGACTCCAAATTAAATACTGATAAGATACAAATTTGTTGACTACATGGCCAGAGGCATACCTAGATTACCTGGCACCTGGGGGTGGATGCGCATTTTGGAACTACACCTGGAATTTTAAACTTTTGTGTGTTACTCTGTACAGCCTCAGCCCTTTGTGTATCTGTGTGTCTGTGTCTTTTTGGACTGTCTGTGTACATGTGGGAAAGAGGGACAGAGGGAGATCTATTGCACTGTTCTATGTTTAGAGAGGCCCTTGGTATATATTAAGGTGTTTTATGAAACAAAGATAAATACAATCTGATTAGGAATCTGTGAAATGATGCAAGTAATTCCATTTGTTAAGGGTGTTGATGAAAATGATTATTTTGTGTCTGTATGTATAAGTATAGCTACAGCAGGGGTTGTAATCCTTTTTGTGATGGTGATACCCCACTGTGGTATTATTATTACGTGAACATTTGTATTGATTGTGGTTCACTCAAGAAAGGTGTGGCGTTTCATACCGAGTTCCCATTACAAATTGTCTAAAGTCATGTAAATGAATATATGCCAATCTATTGTGTGGCCAAGTATGATAACTCACCTCACATTACATTCAGTACATTACATTATATGAACTATTTCTACAGTTGTGAAGTTAAGTTCTATTTATTACAATCACACAAAGGCAGTGATGGTTAAACATTGTAACTGCAGGTGTTTTATAAACTCCTTTTCCCATGGTCCTCAGCCACTAGTGTCATGTAGTTAAAGGAACATTCCAGAGACCATAACTACTACACAACATTGTAGTGTTTCTGGTGCCAGGAGTGTCCTGTTGCCTGCGAACCTCCTTTCCCCCCTCCCCCTGTAAGTAGTCTTAAAAGAAGTTTTAAAAGAACTAGATTTTTTTTACCTGGTCCACATTGTTAGGTCAGGGCTGTCTAATCTTAGGTAATCTGAGTGCTGCATTAAAAAACAAAAAAACAAGATTTGTCCGAGGGCCGCATGCAAAGTTATAAATTCATTACATACCTGATAGCATTTGTTAATGAAGAGCATCACATTTTTTAAATTTATTTATTTTTTAATAAATACTTATTTTCATTTGCTGGGATGTAGATATACATGGCCCCACACATACACACTGAAACATACAAAGATACACACTGACTTATACATACACACTGACACATACACACACTAACACAGATACATATTGACATACACACAGATACTAAAGGCCGCTAGGATACATGACATCATATCCCAGTGGCCAACTGCTGTGGAGAGCGGAGGGAAGCTACTACAGTGCAACAACACCTGGGGGTCCTCTGTTTAGCAATTATAAGTAACAGTTAATCTGTGTTTGTATGAGCCGATGTGTCTAAGAGTCTGTCTGTGTGTGTGTGTGTGTGTTAGAGCCAGTATGTGTATAAGAGTCAGTGCATGTGTGTTTGTGTATAAGCAGTGAATGTGTAATAGTGTGTGTTTATGTATAAGCTGTGTGTTTTAGAGCCAGTGTCTGTAGGAGTCTGTGTGTGTGTATATAAGCAGTGTGTGTAAGAGCCACCGAGTGTGTGACACAAGGGGGTAAAGAGACCACAAAATTAGGATGAAGACACAAACACAAAAAGAATGCCAAACAGGAGGATACAATATATAAAAAGGGAAAATCAGAATGAAAAAGGTGGCAAGATGCACAAAAGGGGCAAAAGAATGGGTGAGAGGGGCAAAAGGGGAATATTAGACAGACAGGTGAAGACAGACTTTTGGGGCAGCACAATGTGTTTTTGCCTGTGTAGACAGAAGTCCTTGCACCAGCCCTGCACAGATACAGGCACACACAAACACAAAGATGCACAATGACTCATACACACACTGACACACATATACACAGACTAACACACACTGATTCATACACACACTAACACACAGATACACACTGACTCATACACACACACACACACACACACTGACACATACTCACACAGATACATGCACATATACACACACACACACACTGACTCAAGCACACACACTGACTCACGCACACACAGATACACACACCATGGCTTAGTTCTTTAGATGACAACGATTAGCTGACACTTTCAGCCAGTAGAGGTATGGTGTATAGTAGAGGTATGGTGTATCACCTGGGCAGACCCCAGGTAAGAAGTCAAACCATCTTCAAAAGGTTTGACTAGTTACAATGGGGGATAACCCGGGGACCATAACCACTAGAGCATGCTGGAAATGACCACAATTTTGTATACATTATACAGATAATACTGAACAAAATATGAAAAATAAATAAATATAGCTTTAAGAATTGTGAATCCTTCGGTAAGCAACAGGCAGAGAGAGCCCTGCTACCCAAAGAGCAAGAGTCTCTACCATTCTCATCTATGTTTACTTATCCATATGTTTAACAAATCTGTATTTGTAAGGTATGAAAAATAAAATGTAACTGTAGAAATCAACACATCTTTATTCTGAAACTGGGGAAACCTCCATCTTAGCTCCCTGTCAGTCATTGTTGTAAGCTATGTCCTTTGCACCTGGCAGTCTACATAGAGAAAGCATAGAAACAATTAGATAAATAAAACAATGGGTGAGATTTATGAAAGTGTTCTGTTCTAAAAATATAAAGTACTAAAAGAGGAGTAATCACCACGGAAACCAGTGGTATCAACTAGGGTTGCCAACTGGCCGGTATTTTACCTGCAGAGATGATATTTCTGACTGGTGCCAGTTTTGCAAAAATACCGGCATTACGAAGGCCAACACAATGACTAAAATACACCCCCCAATTTATGGATTAAAAGAGATGTGACTGTTCTCACACACACAAAAAAACTGTTGTATTATATGTTCAAGTATTTCTTTTTTTTTTTTTTCTTTAGCATTTTAAATAGTGGTGCTGGCAAAATGCATTTTTTTTGGCATTATAGAAAAACAACAATAAAAATGCCCCCAAAGTATAAAGGTGGAGTGACAGTTTTATATATAAGAAAATGACAGTCAAGAGAGAACATGACTGTTTTTCTACATAACCCCTATTGTCTTTATTTGACTTTGGAATTAATGGGAGATGGGGGTGGGGGAGGGGATGGGGGGGACACAAAAACATTACATTAACATATTTATATATTTTGAAATGTCCCGGACTCCCGGAGCACCGTCTAGTTGTAAACTGTCAAACTGTTCACAAGAGGTTTGACAAGTACCTTGTTGTGTTGGCACCCATGGTCCATCCAGACGGAGCTGATGTGATAAAGCAGAAGTTCATCATTTTGGATTATCATACCAACCCGTGTTCTGTAGTGGTTATAGTGTCTCTTTAATGCTAGGGAAGCAAATCTTTCCAGGTGTAATACTTTCTGTAAATTAAATTATATTTTAAAAAATTCTTTATTTATATTTTTTAAGATTTAACAAAGAAACAGAACACAAAAATGTAAAGGATATGATGTATTGTGCATTAACTGTCTATCATAATGTTTTAATGGGGGATTTTCACTGACCGGTATTTTTAATATTGTGTTTACTTATCCACTATAAAAATATGCCTTTGTGAGGTCTAAAAAGTTAAAATAATGGAACACTTCAAGCACCATAACCACTACTGTGTGTGATTATGGTTCCAGTAGTGTGCTCACATTGCCCCATTGTAGGCAGCCAGACCATTTTAGAATACAATTGTAGGTAGTAAAATCCTCCAATACATCAGCCTGACAGCCGGAAGCTCCTGTGTGTATAGTGGATAAAAAGTGTGACTATATGCACACTCTGTATCCACTATACACACACACATCACACACTGAATCCACTATAAACACACTGCATCCACTATACACACCCAAACTGCATTCACTATACACACACACACTGCATCCACTATACACACATACACTAGATTCACTATACAAACACACACCCTGAATCCAGTACATACACACACTGCATCCAATATACACACACGCACTCATTAAATCCACTATAAACACACTGCATCAACTATAAACACACTGCATCGACTATACACAGACACTGAATCCAGTACAAACACACTGAATCGAGTACATACACACACTGCATCCACTATACACATACTGCATCCATTATACACATACTGCATCCACTATACACGCACACTGCATCCACTATACACACACACACACACTAAATCCACTATAAACACACTGCATCCACTATACACAGACACTGAATCCAGTAAACACACACTGAATCCAGTATATACACACACTACATCAACTCAGAGGCGGCTCTAGACTTTGCAAGGCCTTAGGCGAAAGTCAAACATGAGGCCCCCCCACTTACACCATTAGTGAAAAAAATTGCCGCAGCTCCCTATGCCGCTGCGTTGTGAGCACTTTTACTGTAGATATGGCATAAATTGCTAATCATTTATATACGATTGCTGGGTATGGTTGTATAGCCTGGCAGTCGTGTATACATAAGTGCCAGTATGAAGGGGTTATTTGAAAAATTTACATTTTTGGTTTGGCTTTTAAAAAAATAATTTTCTAAATAATAAAGTTACAGATAAGAATACAATGTCATAGACATTTCCCCACATATTTTAAATTCCTTAACATGTATATTATCATATATGTGTTTCCTATGTATTGTATATGTATATGTGTATATATATATATATATATATATATATATATATTTCTTGCAACTTTATCTTTGCATTGCCTATATCATACCACAACCACACTACAGACACACGCACACATTTAAACACTAATACACAAATACATATACACACTGATACATGCACATGCATCTACACACACAAACACACTGATGCACAGAGACACACATATTGACTAATACAGACATACAGTCACAATGTGTTTATCTGGCTGTGTGTATTTCTGAATGTGTCTGGTATTGTCTATCTGTGTATGTGCCTGAGAGTGCATCTGAGAGTGAGTACACTTGTATGTGAATGTATGTTTCTGTGAACATGTGTATGTTTGTGTCTGGGACCGTATGTGTGTGTGGTAGCTGCTTGCGGTGTCTTTTGTATATGGACTGCGGCCTTTGTGCATTTTGTCCATGGTAAGCTATGTTTTATAACTTTGTGTATGACGATTGTCTTTAAGGGGACTGTGACAGGGTGAAAAGGGAAAACTGTGGCAAGGAGTTTGACAGAATGAGGGGGTGAATGAGATGGGTTGGGCGTGACATTAGTGAGGTGGTGGCAAGGGACAAAGTGAGGAAAGGAGGGGAGTGACAGGGGACAGAGGGTGAGGGAAGGAGGGGGTGACAGGGTGTGTGGCAGAATGTAGGGAAAAGGTGAGGGTGACAGAGGGCAGGAGAGGGGTGAGTGGGGTGACAGGTGTCAGGGTGGAGGGAGGGGGCTCACAGGGGAGGCAGAGTGAGGGTGGTGACAGAGTGGCAGAGTCAGGGAGGGAGGGGATGACAGTGGGCTTAGTGAGGGGTGACAGGGGACTTAATGAGGGGGTGACAGGCAACTTAATGAGGGGGTGACAGGCGGCTTAGTTAGGGAGTGACAGGTGGCTTAGTTAGGGGGTGTCAGGGGACTTAGTGAGGGGTGACAGGGAACTTAGTGAGGGGTGACAGGGGGCTTAGTTAGGGGTGACAGGGGGCTTGGTGAGGGGTGACAGGGGACTTAGTGAGGGGTGACAGGGGGCTTAGTTAAGGGTGACAGGGGGCTTGGTGAGGGGTGACAGGGGGCTTAGGGGTGACAGGGGACTTAGGAGTGACAGGGGGCTTGGTGAGGGGTGACAGGAGACTTAGGGGTGACAGTGGGCTTAGTTAGGGGTGACATGGGACTTAGTGAGGGCGTGACAAGTGTCAGTGAGGGAGGGGTAATTAAATACCTTTGCAGGTGTCCCTGGTGGTCCAGTGTCCTTGCTCCCTGGTGGTCCGGTGGGCCTCCTATCCATTCTGCAGCTCCGCCGGGTTTGAGCTGCAGACCACGTGATTGGAGTCTCGCGAACTCCAGAAGTCAGAGCGTTGCCGTGGTAACCCGCGGCAACGCTCTGATTGGCTGGGGATCGCAAGACACTTCAGTCTGCAGCTCACACCCGGAGGAGCTGCAGACTGAAGGCTGGCTCTCCGGGCAGACTGAGGGGGCCTTGCACCCGGCGGCATAAAGAGCAAGCCGCCCGGTCCCCCCTGATGTCGGGTCCTCGGTCATAGACCGAGGACCCGACATGTATGTCTGCCCACAGGCGATTTAGGCGGCCGCGAGGCCCCAGCCAGCGCGAGGCCTTAGGCGGCCGGCTAAATCGGCTAATTAGAGAGCCGCCTCTGCATCCACTATACACACACACTGCACCCACTATACACACACACACACTGAATCCACTATACACACACTGAATCCACTATACATACACACTGAATCCACTACACACACACCACAATCACTATACACACACACACTGCATCCACTATACACACTGCATCTATTATATACGCACACACTACATCCCTTACACACATACATTGTACTATTGAACTGTTTAAGGGGCCACACATTTTTTTGTTTGCAGCCCTCATTTTATTTTTTTGTTTGCAGCCCTCAGATCACATTTATAGATATTATATTTATGATAAATAACATATTAATGGCTAAATACAATGAAAACGGAAAATTGCAAGTTCACTTATATTTTGTTTATAACAAATGAGAAAATATTGAATTATACTGAACATTATTAGGAAACTTGAACGTTTGTGCATGCAACATCAAAAGGATTTTATAAGGTAGATTATATTGAATAAGGGACCAAGAGACTATACAAGGCTCATTGCATTCTTCTAGAGGAGTAGTGTATTGTGAAACCTTACATGAAGAACATCGAAAACACTAAATAATATACCATCTTACTTCAAAAAAGTGGTCTTAGTCACACATTAAGGCTATAAAGATTTTTAACCAGCAAACTCAGTCAAAGTATCTCAGGCACGTCCTAACCTAATAATTTATTTTATGAAGTCAATCCAATAAATATTTATTGTTGAGCGTGCTTCTTTCTACTTCTTATTATAACTTCTGGGCTGCAGCATTACTATATACTTGTTAAGACGAGTACACTCATTTTTTATTGTTTTTTTTTTGTATGCTGGAAGTGTACCTCTCAACATTTCATATGGACAAAGAAAGGTTAAACGTTATTTTAGGGGTTTGAGGGAGTATGATCGGGGGTGGGGCTGTTCTGAGAAATTTTACATTAGTTACTAATAACAGTTTATACAATTATAAAATGTAATTTAGAACAGGAGCAATTCATTATGTGTATGTAACATATAATATAGAGATTTATTTCAAAACATATTTATGGAGCTCCTAGAAAAGAGCATATCAGTGTCCCTATTTAGGAAGCACAGTCCCTATTTTGGGATGTTTAGAAATACGTTACTCTTGTTGCTTCTTATAGCCACCCTGTCTTGCATAATGTTTTGGGTGCATGGACGGTGACATTCTCAGATTGTTGATGCGTATGAACTGCCATTTCAATTGGTTCTTATTATAACTTCTGGGCTGCAGCTTTACTATTTTTTTTGACGAGTACACTCATTGATTTTATTGTTTTTTTTTTGTGATGCTCCTGTGTATTTGACATCATCTTTGGACAACGTGTTTCTCCGGAAAATTTGAGGGAGTATGATCGGGGGTTGGGCTGTTCTGAGAAATTTTACATTAGTTACTAATAACAGTTTATACAATTATAAAATGTAATTTAGAACAGGAGCAATTCATTATGTGTATGTAACATATAATATAGAGATTTATTTCAAAACATATTTATGGAGCTCCTAGAAAAGAGCATATCAGTGTCCCTATTTAGGAAGCACAGTCCCTATTTTGGGATGTTTAGAAATACGTTACTCTTGTTGCTTCTTATAGCCACCCTGTCTTGCATAATGTTTTGGGTGCATGGACGGTGACATTCTCAGATGTTCTGATGTCACAAGTATGATGCCATGCAATTGGTTTTGCTTCCTGTCTCCCTCTTTACCTTTTTTGTTGACTGAGATTGCATACTGATTTGTGATTTTCCTGGTTTTGACTCATCTTTGCTATGTATTTATCGTGACTGTACTCATTGACCTGTCATCTCTGTGTATTTCTATGTCCCTTGATCTCAGCTTGTCTCGGTTTATGCTTAGTCTGCTTGCAAACTGTCTCTCTTACCTTTTTTTACCTTAAAGTGACACTCCAGTGCCAAATACAAATTAAATATAAAATCACTGTTTAATACATATACCCCAAATAAATGTAATAATGCATTTGTTTTAAATTGGGGTTATATTTAAAACACTTGCAAAACCTACATTTTTCTTGTCTGCTACCTTTGCAAGCTCTCCCCTTATTCCCCAGCCCAGACTTTCTGTGACTATCCAATCACAGACTTCTAAATGCAGCACATTGACAAGTCTTTGCAAGGCAGGTGCTCCGAGCAATTGCTGCCTCTACAGGAAATAACAGGAGCAGTTATCTAAATGACAGCCAATTAATTTATAAAAGTGTCAATTTGTATTGAAATTGTTTTTTAAGAGGGATGGCAGGTGCAGAGATTAACCTTACAGTGGATCAGGCGTGTGGAGCATGAGCTCCTGAATATTAGACTAATTTGGGGGTGCTCATGCGGGACACCAAGGCCCTTTCACATCATCAGCGTACCACGTCAGTTGGCGGTTCCTGGACAAACAAATTGAGACCCAACTCGTGATTTATTTTAATCCCCCAAGAACCAGAGAAGCCTTGTTCCGGCCTACTGGTGATGGACACCCAGGGCCTGAGCCCATCTTGGCAACCCCAGCACAGCTATGCTGAACATACCTTGTTACGACTTATAGTTAAAGCTCCATGACTGAGAAAAGGCCTCCCTTTCTAAACCGTAGGCAAAAAAAAGAACTCACTTGTTGTCTGAGAGACAGTCATTAAAGCATGTCTTAAGCCTGTAAGGTAATTATTGCAGTTTCTATGAAATTCCAATGTTAGCAGCAACAGTGCTTAGGGAACATGGGCAGTGCACCCATACCACTTCAATGACATGAAGTGGTCTGGGTGCCTATAGTGTTCGTTTAACACCCGATAAAATGAAACATTACGATTATTCACTAAAGTGTGAATTATCTGAAATTACACTCAAAGTGAATTTCAAACTCTGGACAAGAAATAGCCAAATTGCAATAATTCAATATCAATGTCTTCAGTTCAGTTATTTTGATGTAAAGCTTGAACTTCACTTACATTTTCTTCAAATTCCTTGATATTGGCTCTATAGGAGAAAGTTCCTCCTCAGCATAAGAACTAATAGGTTCAGGATTTCTGACTTAAAGAAATTATTCAAATTTAACCTTGGGAGCTTTTGAAAACGGCCAAATTCCCATATGCAGTTTGGAGAGTCATGGAGAGCTTAAAGGACCACTCTAGGCACCCAGACCACTTCAGCTTAATGAAGTGGTCTGGGTGCCAGGTCCAGCTAGGGTTAACCCATTTTTTAATAAACATAGCAGTTTCAGAGAAACTGCTATGTTTATGAATGGGTTAAGCCTTCCCCCTAATCCTCTAGTGGCTGTCTCATTGACAGCCACTAGAGGCGCTTGCGTGCTTCTCACCGTGATTTTCACAGTGAGAGCACGCCAGCGTCCATAGGAAAGCATTGTAAATGCTTTCCTATGCGACCGGCTGAATGCGCGCGCAGTTCTTGCCGCGCGTGCGCATTCAGCCGACGGGGCGGAACGGAGGATGAGAGAAGGAGGAGAGCTCTCCGCCCAGCGCTGGAAAAAGGTAAGTTTAAACCCCTTTCCCCTTTCCAGAGCCGGGCGGGGGGGGGTCCCTCAGGGCACTATAGTGCCAGGAAATGAGTATGTTTTCCTGGCACTATAGTGGTCCTTTAATGATGGCAAATAAAAAGTCACATATAAAAACAATTGCATTATGGTAGAGTTGTGGATTATGGCTCATTATCTATGGAATCCAGACACACAATACTAGGCACATCAGCTCTTGTCTTTCAGTTCCATCCCTTGTCCTTCTACAATCCCCTTTCCTTGTGCTGTCTCTTGGATCCTACTGTTTGTCTACAGAGGTCCCTCAGTGGCCTCAAACTATCCCTAGATGCCTCATACTCTTCTATGTTTGTAGTGTCACTGTATAATTGTAGCTTTTTTTATCTTTAAATTCCCAGATTTTACTATTAACATGACGTAAAGTCATGATTTTATTAAAGACACGGAGGCGAGTATTATGCATAACTCTTTCTTTATTTCCTCAGCAGCAAAGATAGAGGAATATAAATATATCAAAAATGAAAGAAAAAACTGTATAGGTACACAGGCAACCAATCACATAACAGAGGAAGTGACTATATAAGGCCTGTGTCTCCCACAATCCCCCTCTTTCTTGCGAAAACCGAAGACCAGGTAAGAAGAACGATATCCTACTTGGCCAAAACCGGAAACTGGAACAATTCGATAACTTCAAGCTAAAAAAGAGAGAGAAATATGGTAATAACCAAACTCCAAACTGTGGACTTACCAAAACAAAACTGTCGATTATTCATATGACAAAGATCGAAATCTGAAAAATATAATAGACATAATTAATCAATATACTCATACATAATACATGAAATTCACACAAGACAGACCAAATCTCCACATACCTGAATACGCCAATCGCATCTCACCCCATACCCCACACCGGGAGGGTGGGAGGGAATAATACTCGCCTCTGTGTCTTTAATAAAATCATGACTTTACGTCATGTTAATAGTAAAATCTGGGAATTTTATTAAAGACACGGAGGCTCATATTATGCAAGTTCAAAGCTGTGCTATCACCTCAGATGCGATGTGCTCAATAGGTCTGAAGTAGAAGTCACGGAAGGTCGGCTCTCGAGACCAATCCGCTGCACGCATGATGTCCTCCAGACGACAGATGACTGTCGAAGCTTTGGAAGCCACAGCACCCATCACCGAATGGGGTGTAAAGATAGACGTGTCTATACCAGCCGAAGACAAGAGCCAACGCACCCAACGTGCCAGGTCGGAGTCGCAACAGGTCGGTGAGGTGTACGAAAAGAAATGAACACACGAAACTAAACAAAGCAACATAACCAACTTGGAGGATAATTGCTTAAGGGTCAGTCCTTGGTTCGGATACCAGGACGACAGGAACTGTAGCATCACGTTAACGTCCCAAAAGGCAGAGAAACGAGCCTTTGGCGGACGAGCGAGGCGAATGCCCTTGAGAAGGCGACACACGAAAGGGTGCCTGCCCACGGGCGAACCATCCAAACCATTATGTCCAGCTGATATAGCGGAACAGAAAAGGTTGATAGTGCGATACGCCTTGCCCGAATCAAACAGAAATGTGAGGAACTCCAAAATCAGATGAAGAGGGGCAGATACGGGATCCATTGCCCGTTCCATGCACCAACCAGACCATGAGTTCCATGAAGAGCGGTAGGCCGATCTCGTACCTGGAGCCCAGGCGTTATCGAGGAGCAGGAGAGTCATCTGCGAAACGTTCGGGAGAACCCAGGTTCCCCTGAAAGGAGCCACGCCATCAGAGGTAACTGATGTCTGAGTACCAGTCCGTGCGAGTTCCCATCCGGATCCAGAAGAAGATCCCGGAAGCTCGGAATCAGTCGGGGGTAGTCTATCGACAACTCCATCAAGCGTGGGAACCATGGTCGGGATCTCCATAGAGGCGTGATCAGTGCCAGGCAACAATTGTGACGGATCAACTTCGAGATCGTGCGAGCAATCATGTTGAACGGTGGGAAGGCATACAGGCGGCCCGGTGGCCATTCATGGAGAAAGGCGTCCGTCGCCACTGCTGCCGGGTCTGGCCTCCAGCTGTAAAACTCCAGGAGTTGAGTGTTCAGGCGCGAAGCGAATAGGTCCAACTCGAACTGTCCCCACAGACTGTCCAGACCTCGGAATACCGAAACGTGCAAGCGCCAATCTCCCGAGTCTCTTAAGTGTCTGGAATTCCAATCCGCTCCCGAATTGTCCAGACCTGGGATGTGTTCCGCCTGCACGAGACGTTGTTGAGAAGGCAAAATTGCCAAAAGTCTTTCGCCAACAGTGCCAACATTCTGGACTTGGTTCCCCCTAGGTGATTTATGTACCGGACTGCCAACACATTGTCCATCTTGAGGAGAACGCAGCAGTTTGCTCGACCTGGGGTCAGGCTGCGGATCGCGAAGGCCCCCACAAGAAGTTCCAGACAATTGATGTGTAAGGACTTCTCTATGTTGGACCATCTGCCTCCTGTGGAAACGTCTCCACAACGAGCACCCCAGCCATGTAAGCTGGCATCGGATTCTATCACGATATCCGGAATCGAACCGAAGATGGCCCTTCCGTTCCAGGCCTCCATGTGGGCCAGCCACCATACTAGCTCGTCTCTGGATCCCTTGAGTCATTGGAGGGCACGGTAGTGTAGCAGGCCCGGAAATATCGCTTGAATAGAAGCCGCCAGAAGGCCGATAATCCTTGCCAGTTGTCTGACGGACATATCCGGTACCCGAAGAGCCCTTCGGAGCTCCTTTTGAATGGTCTTCATCTTGGAATCCGGCAAGTACAGGAATTGCTTGATGGAATCCACTTGGAAACCCAAGAATTCTATTGATTGTGCAGGGATCATGACCGACTTGTCCCAGTTGACCAGAAAACCCAAGTTCTGGAGAAGGTTGATCGTCTAACCCAAATGTAACAGTAGAGATTCCCTGGATTGGGACATGATTAAAATGTCGTCCAGGTAAATAATCAATCGTACCCCACGGGTACGGAGATAAGTCACCACCGGCTTCATGAGTTTGGTGAAGCACCAAGGAGCCGAGGAGAGGCCGAATGGCAGGCAAGTAAGTAGCACCACGGGGGTATGTGGAGCCCCAGGATCTCCCTCTGGCTGGGAAGAAGGGAGGTGTCCTCGCATCCTGAAATCCTGGGGAAGCGCCACCGCCTCCCATGCCACGTGAAGTGGAGGTAATCCCTGTAGTCCATCGCAATGGGGACCGTAAAGTACGCGTCCTTCAGATCTAACTTGGCCAACCAATCCGATTGCCGAAGGAGGTTTCTGAGACAGTGTATGCCCTCCACCTGGAAATGTTGGTAGCGGAGAAACGCATTGAGGGGACAGAGATTTATCACAGGGCGGACCCCGCCCCCTTTCTTCGGCACAAGGAAAAGATTGCTCGTGAAGCCTGGAGAGGCCAACAGCATCTCTTCTATGGCACCTTTCGTGAACATCTCCTCTACTTCCTTGGAAATCATTTTGTCTTGATCCTGTGGGAGGGACAACTCTCTGGGAGTGGAAACCTGGACAGGTATAGAAACGAACTCCAGGTGATAACCCCTTACACATTGCAGAACCCAAGCATCTGAAGTTATATCTGTCCACCCTCGGTAAAATAAGGTTAGCCTCCCTGCCACCCGTACATGATCGAGAGGGGAAAAAGGGGTACTCACCATAAGGACGTCTGCCCGAAGTAGCACCACGGGGGTATCTGGAGCCCCAGGATCTCCCTGTGGCTGGGAAGAAGGGAGGTGTCCTCGCATCCTGAAATCCTCAGGAAGGAAAGAAGGAACCTCTGGAGGCCTGAAACGAGCCTTGGAAGCCGCGGCCGGGTGGACAGTTCCTGCTACGCCCGGCCTCTCCAAAAACCTGCGCTTCATGTTTCGCCTGGGCCTTGTCTATGGCCGTAAAGGTCTTCACATAGGAACCTAGGTCTTTTACGAAGGAGGTTCCGAATAGCAAACCCTCATCAGAGGGGTCAAGTTCCGCCACCGTCATGGCAGCCAATTTGGGGTCGATTCTAAGGAGAATCGCCTTACGCCTCTCCGAAGACATGGCGGTATTCGCGTTCCCCAAAAGGCAGATCGCCCTCTGGACCCATCCAATGGCCACATCGACATCCAGAACGGAATCCCCAGCTCTAGCGGCATCTAGCAGCTCGTACAGTTTTGACAGAGGGCCCAGGGTATCCAATATTTTGTCCTGGCATCCCTTGAGGGAATAATCCAAACCCTTCTTGGGCTTCCAGCCTGATTTATTCAGGAACTGGGCAATCTGGGGATCAATGTCCGGAGTCTTACTGGCCGAGCCCGGGAGAGAGGGCCTAAGGAATTCGGCACGTAGCTTGTTGCGACCCTCCTTGGAGAGGGGGGTACGCAGGCGCTTAGCCACATATTGGGCAATATGGTCCGGAGGGACCCACTCTGCTGACCGTGGGTGGCGAAGGTCGTCAGGGTCGAACAGGGGGTTGCCCTGGGGATCGAAAAGTGCCTTACTGTCCCCAGAGGGGATCTTAACCTGACCTTGGGTAACGGCAGAGGACTCAGAGGGGGTAACATCCGTAGTGGGCAATTTCTCGCCCGACCCGCCCTCATCGTAGGAGTCATACTCCATAACATCAGAGTCACGTTCCACACTCCGGTCGGTATCCGACCCATCATCTAGGGCTCTAGCCCTTTTCCATAATCTAGCCTTTTTAGTCCAGTGTGTCAGTCATGGCAGGTAAAACCTGCATCGAGGAGTGGGAATCAACGTGTTTAGATTTCGCCTTCACCTTATGGGCACCAGGCACAGTCTGGGGAGGGGAAGGGGACCCCACACCCAGGAGGGTAGGAGTAGCTAGTGAGGGCATAAGCATAGAATGCAGGGACTGAGAGAAGGAGGAAGAAACAGCACCCATAGCTGAAGCAAAAGCCTTTTGCAATGAAGAAGCCATAGTGGCATCCAGCAGGGCCTGAAATTCCTGGGAGGCCATAGCTCCCTCAGGGTTATCAACATTAAAATCACTAGAGGTGCCTTCAGGCCCATCTTCCCTATCCTGCATGGTGATAAAATAATAGGGAAATATACCTTTAACTGAGTAAAGTATAAAAGACTAGTGAAATATATCTTCAAATATATCTTAAAATATTACAATTATAGCAGACTAGGGAATATACCTTTAAAACAATCGAAATGGAAGGGTCGAGTAACCCACAGGAAAGCACAAGGGAAAGGAAAACCTGCCCACTGGTGCACTCAGGGGACCCAGAGACCGGGAGACAGACCGCACGGCAGCAGAGTGAGCGACCGATCAGAGCCAGACGGACCGCCCAAAATGGCCGCCGCACGTGCAGGAGATCGATCGCGGACTGAGTCCCGGCGGGGGAAGGGGCGCGTGTACCTTACCCGCGCGGGCAGCCCGCGATCGAGGAGAATACAGGAGAGCAGTACACAGCCGCGGCAGATGGAACAGCTGCGGCTGGGAGACAGTACCGGGTCCTGCGCGGCACCCGCAGGGGGTAGGGAGAGCGTAGGGGAAAAACAAACAGCCGAGAGGGAAACCCAGGGCACAAGTCAGGGAATAGCCCGAGCACACCAGCGGAAGGCTGCACAGATAAAGGCAACCAGAAACAAGTAACAATAAGAAATAATAGCAAACAATAAATAATAAACAATAAAATCAGGAAAAATCCAAGAGCAAGAGCAAAATACTTAGCTGTCTGAGGAAGCAGCAAAGAAAGAGGGGGATTGTGGGAGACACAGGCCTTATATAGTCACTTCCCACCAATGTGATTGGTTGCCTGTGTACCTATACAGTTTTTTCTTTCATTTTTGATATATTTATATTCCTCTATCTTTGCTGCTGAGGAAATAAAGAAAGAGTTATGCATAATACTCGCCTCCGTGTCTTTAATAAAATCAAAGTTTATTGTGTAATTGTAGCTATTGTTTAAGCAACTACTTAATCTCCTATTTATATGACAATGACTAAACTGCTAAAGAGACACAGAACATCCTAATAATATGGACAGGCATCTCAGATTCAGCAACATTAGACAAAGTAAGATCAGACCAGACAGCTCAGAATCAGCAGCACTGCATTAGCCAAGGTCAGGACAGCCAGAGAAAAAACAGTGCCAATATGTACAACTGGGGGCAAAATGTCAAATGCGGGAATATTCAGGAACTTATGGTTAAAGCTCCATGACCGAGGAAAGGCTTCCCTTTCTAAACCGTGGGCAAACACAAGAAAATGCATGTTGTCTGAGAGACAGCCATTAGAGGCTGTCTTAACCGTGCAATGTAATCATTGCAGTTTCTCTGAAATTGCAATGTTTGCAGTGGCAGGGCTAAGGGGACAGGGGCAGTGCACCCAGACCACTTCAATGACATGAATTGATCTGGGTGCCTAGTGTCCCTTTAACACCATGTAAAAAAAGAAACATTGCGATTATTCACTAAAGTGTGAATTATCTGAAATTAGACTCATGGTAAATGTCAAGCTCCAGGTAGAAAAAATAGCCAAATTGCAAAAATTCTCCAAGTTAGCCATGTCTTCAGTTCAGTTATTTTGATGTAAAGCTTGAACTTCACTTGTTTACATTCACTTTGAATTTCTAATTGCATATAATGAGAATGTTCCTCCTCAGCATAATGACTGAAAAGTTCAGGATTTCTGACTTAACCCCTTGAGGACCAAACTTCTGGAATAAAAGGGAATCATGACATGTCACACTTGTCATGTGTCCTTAAGGGGTTAAAGGAGCACTATAGTGCCAGGAAAACAAACTTGTTTTCCTGGCACTATAGGGTCATTAGGTCCCCCCCACCCTCAATGGCCCCCTCCTGCTGGGCTGAATGGGTTAAAACCCCCTCAGCCACTTACCTTTCTCCAGCACCGGGCTACCTCTGTGCTGGGCAACTCTCCACCCCCTGCCTACGTCAGATCCGAATGCGCATACGCAGCAAGATGCTTTCCTACGGATGTCCAGCGTCTTCACGGAAGCGCCTCTAGCGGCTGTCAGTGAGACAGCCACTAGAGGCTGGATTAACCCTAAGTGAAACATATGTTTTCTGCTGCAGGGTTAAAACTAGAGGGACTTGGCACCCAGACCACTTAATTGAGCTAAAGTGGTCTGGGTGCCTATAGTGGACCTTTAAAGAAATTATTTCTATTTAACTTTGGGAGCTTTTCAAAACAGCCAAATTCACATATGCAGTCATGGAGAGCCTAATGATAGCAAATAAAATGTCATCCATAAAACAAAACGTATGGTAGAGTGGTGGCTTATGGCTCATTATCTATGGAATCCAGACACACAACACTAGGCACATCAGCTCACATATCTCTTGTCTTCCAATTTGCAATCTCTTGTCCTACTGCTATCTGCTTTCCTAGTTCTGTTCCTTGTATCCTACTGTTTGTCCACAGAGCTCCCTTAGTAGCCCCAAGCTGTCCCTAGTTGCCTCAAACTCTTCTTTGTTTGTAGTGTCACTGTATAATTGTAGCTTTTTTTTATCTTCAAACGAAAATTTATTGTATAATTGTATCTTTTGTCTAAGCAACCACTTAATCCCCTAGTTATATGACAATGACAAAACTGCTAAAGAGACACGGAACATCCCAATAATATGGACAGGCATCTCAGGTTCAGCAACACAGACAAACTAAGATCAGGCCAGAGAGCTCAGGTTCAGCAGCACTGCATTAGCCAAGGTCAGGACAGCCATAGAAAAAAACAGTGTAGTATGTACAACTGAGGGCAAAATGTAAAACGTCAGTTTACGTTAGCAAAAGTTAGCTGAATGATATAAAATGAGGCAGCTGTTAAGATTAATTTAAAAAGTGAGAATTTGTGAAGGATAAATCTCCTAGTGTGAAATCTCCTTTGTGAAGGATAAGATCCTAGTTAGAATAAATACAATTATATTTTATTTAATACCTAATAAGTGGTTACCTTTAGTTGTCTTACATGCAAAGTATTATTGCACGAGTCTGTCCCTTATCTCAGCACCACCCACCAGGTCCTGTTCTCAACACTCTGAGCAGGTTCTCCTAACTAATAGATAGTCATCTTGCAAAAAACCCACTCTCAATGGCTGGAAAAAGAGCTCTGCCTGGGCATATGTGAGCTGTTGCTTACAAGGGCAGTTATACCAAAGAGACAACCAAAGCACATTGGGCCAAGTGGGTGCAAATTACCTGGTCATTGGGTTTGTCAATGGGCCTGTAAAGGGATATCCGAGGACCTTCCAGAGCAGGATTAACCAGAACTTATATGTAAGTGACTGCCAAAGGCTCAGGGTTCAGACATGGGTTCCAGAACCAGTATTTGCATATGCTGTGTGCCAGAACCTTTACTAAAGTTACAGTATTTTGTAGTTCCAGATTGTAACTTCAGTGTTGAGGCTAGCTGGTGCTAACAAAGCAGAGAAGCGGACTACACTGAAAGCTGAGCCACACTACAGAGAGCAGGGTATATATCACGTGTTTGTGTGTAGCTGTGTGTATGGAAATGTGTAGCGGGATGTCTGTATAGAAGTATGTAACTGCATGTGTGTGAAAGGAAATGCATAGTTGCCAGCATTTGAAAAATCTCCAGGGACATTTTGTAGCAGAGCAATCAAGCAGGCAGGTTGAAAGCATATGGACTACACCTACCAGATTCCATAGCCCTGCTTACCCTGCTGTGCTCCCCCACCAAACACCACAATATTACACCAGTGATTTAATTTATATCCCTATCAATGAATGTGATTATTTAATTTAAATTTAAATAATAATTTTAGGTTTTAAACAAGTCTGGCCTTTTCTTTAATTGTATTGATGTTCCTGTCTCAGCTTGTATTGCTGTCTCCTCCCCCCTCCCCCCGTCACCTGATGCATTAACAAGTAAAAATAAATGAAAGATTCACTTACCTTTTTCCAGCTCTTTTGGCGCTGCTAACCTCTTTGCATCCAGCGCCGTCACAGAGGAGCATTGCCTTTTCCGCCAATGTCCATTCCAATGCTCCTCACAAAGGTGACCAATGGTTTCCTATCGGGCTTCCATGCCACGAGACTGAGTTTTACTCTGTCAGTGTAGCGGAAGCTCCTCTAATGGTTGTCATACTGACAGTCACTACAGCTGGATTTAACCCTGCAATGATCTCAAAAACTGCTATGTTTTACATTGCAGGGTGAAAAGGACAGGGACACTGCAACCAGACCATGCCATATAGCTAACATGTACATACCTCCTGATATTTGGCGGTGTGAGAATTGAGATAAGTGTGTAGGTAATGGATCACCCCCACTCAATGAAGGGGCTTGATAGCCTGGCGTCAAGCATGCCAGTCTGACTGGCAACCTGCCTGCATGGTTGTAGTGCCTGATGAACAGCAAGCGTGTCTAATGACGCACTCAAATTGTGACACAGGGAAAAAAATTAGGATGGTGCGGCAGAACACAAAACAGGGACTTGCATGCCAAAATTGGGACTGTTGGGAGGTTTTTGCTTGTCTTGTTTCTCTTAAAAAATAAATTTCCATTCAAGCTTTGAGCAGAGAAAACCATGATATTTGAGAGACAAAAATGTAATTTATAAAAATCTAAAAAGTTCTAATTGAAATGTCAGTCTTGCTGTTTATTGAGAAAGTCTAAAATGTATGAATCGGATATAACCCTCCCACAAACTGCAAATATACTTTTTTGGGGTCCTCTGGACCACTTTGTAACTAAACCAAAACCCCAGGTAAACTGAGAGACCCCGATGAGATTGGTTTTAGTGGGGCAAAACAAAATCTCTCTTCTGAATAGGAGGTCAAATGAGATACGAATAGAAAGGGTAATGAGACAAAGCAAATATAAAGTAAAAAACACAAAGAGAGCGCATAGCAGAGCAGTACTACATATGCTGTACTGAAGCAATTAAAGACCAAATGAGGCAAAAAAGCACATGCAAAAAGACAGACAAGCTGAACAGATGGGCTAATCGGGGGTAAATTCATCTTCTACGTTGCTTAGGAGGTATGTGCAATGCTGTTTAGCAGATATGTGCGTTCTTTTTATTCTTTCAGTAAAAGGTATGTTTTAAATGCTATGTGCACCGAACAGCTTTAAATTATCTTACTTATTGACTACTACAGACATTGTTAGCAGGCTATTCCTTTTGTTTTGGGGCATACAAGCAAGATTACCACCTCCCCTTCAAACAAGATACGGTAGGAAAATGCACAAAAAAAAACTACCTGATGTGGGTGGGTGAGAATAATTGACACAAAAACTGGGTCCATTATTTGTACTGAGCACAACTAATCAAGAATAAAATATAACTTTGAAATAATGGAAGTTCTGTAGCCAGCATTTTGAGGCTATCTGAGGTAGACAGTATAGACACAGGAAGTCTCTCTGGAGAGGTTAGTAAGGCATATCCAGTTGACATGCGTGGTCTCTGCTTGTGATTGCAGTGTGCCTGATGCTGCAAAATATTTATAGTAATGCCCTCTCTGTAAATTTGCCATGTCAAATTGGCAAATTACTTTTGAACATGTGTTCTTTCATCTTCCTATTCAGCTGAATTGACAGCGGTCTTTGGAATATAATGTAGTTTATTGGGATTCTGGTTTTGACCCTGGCTTTGTTCTGATAGCCTTGTTCTCCAGCATTCTAACCTTAGCTAGCTTTTGATTATTTGCATTGACTCCAACCACTAATAGTTTTACACTACTACTTGCTATTTTTGTTATTCTGCCTTTTTGCCTTATTAGTGGTATTTACAGTGCCTTGCAAAAGTATTCACCCCCCTTGACTTTTTACCTATTTTGTTACATTACCGCCTTAAGTTCAATGTTTTATTAATCTGAATTTTATGTGATGGATCAGAAGACAATAGTCTAAGTTGGTGAAGTGAAATGAGAAAAATATATACATTAAACTATTTTTTAGAAATAGAAAACAGAAAATTGGCATGTGCGTATGTATTTACCCCCTTTGTTATGAAGCCCATAAAAAGCACTGGTGCAACCAATTACCTTCAGAAGTCACATAATTAGTGAAATGATGTCCACCTGTGTGCAATCTAAGTGTCACATGATCTGTTATTACATATACACACCTTTTTTGAAAGGCCCAGAGGCTGAAACACCTAAGCAAGAGGCACCACTAACCAAACACTGCCATGAAAACCAAGGAACTCTCCGAACAAGTAAGGGACAATGTTGTTGAGAAGTACAAGTCAGGGTTAGGTTATAAAAAAAGATCCAAATCTTTGATGATCCCCAGGAGCACCATCAAATCTATCATAACCAAATGGAAAGAACATGGCACAACAGCAAATCTGCCAAGAGACGGCCGCTCACCAAAACTCACAGACCGGGCAAGGAGGGCATTAATCAGAGAGGCAGCACAGAGACCTAAGGTAACCCTGGGGGAGCTGCAGAGTTCCACAGCAGAGACTGGAGTATCTGTACATAGGACGACAATAAGCAGTACGCTCCATAGAGTTGGGCTGTATGGCAGAGTGGCCAGAAGAAAGCCATTACTTTCAGCAAAAAAACAAAATGGCACATTTTGAGTTTGCAAAAAGGCATGTGGGAGACTCCCAAAATGTTTGGAGGAAGGTGCTCTGGACTGATGAGACTAAAATTGAACTTTTCAGCCATCAAAGAAAATGCTGTGTCTGGCACAAACCCAACACATCACATCACCCAAAGAACACCATCCCCACAGTGAAACATGGTGGTGGCAGCATCATGCTGTGGGGATGTTTTTCAGCAGCCAGGACTGGGAAACTGGTCAGAGTTGAGGGAAAGATGGATGGTGCTAAATACAGGGATATTCTTGAGCAAAACCTGTACCACTCTGTGCGTGATTTGAGGCTAGGACGGAGGTTCACCTTCCAGCAGGACAATGACCCCAAACACACTGCTAAAACAACACTTGAGTGGTTTAAGGGGAAACATGTAAATGTGTTGGAATGGCCTAGTCAAAGCCCAGACCTCAATCCAATAGAAAATCTGTGGTCAGACTTAAAGATTGCTGTTCACAAGTGCAAACCATCCAACTTGAAGGAGCTGGAGCAGTTTTGCAAGGAGGAATAGGCAAAAATCCCAGTGGTAAGATGTGGCAAGCTCATAGAGATTTATCCAAAGCGACTTGGAGCTGTGATTGCCGCAAAAGGTGGCTCTACAAAGTATTGACTTTAGGGGGGTGAATAGTTATGCACATTCACTTTTTTCTGTTATTTTGTCCTATTTGTTGTTTGCTTCACAATAAAAAAAAAAAAAAAAAATCTTCAAAGTTGTGGGCATGTTCTGTAAATTAAATGATGCAAATCCTCAAACAATCCATGTTAATTCCAGGTTGTGAGGCAACAAAACATGAAAAATGCCCAGGGGGTGAATACTTTTGCAAGGAATACTTTTGCAAGAAAAATAAATAAATAAATTAGGTTTCCACAGAACCACTATTAAAGGGTTACTCCAAGCACCATGACCATTTCAGTGATTTGAGATGACCATGGAGCCTGTAGTATGTGTGTGCAGGATTTCTCTTTGAAAAAATCCATATACTTAGTTTAACTCCATTGCTATGGAGGTGTAACTCCACCTGTCATGCCCCAATGTCATTGGGGGATCATTAGCCAGCCCGGAACAAATGTTCCAGGCTGGCTAATGTCAATTCTGTGCATATTCCTATACACAGAATTGCATTCATAGGTTAAGACTTGTCAGCTGATGTTCTTAGCCAATGAATGGCCGGCAGATTAACTTCTGGCTTTCTGTGGGGACCCAGGTAAGAGGGCAAACCATAGCAAAATTATTTTCCCCATTACTAGGAACCAACGCTAGGGTATTTCATGGTATGATAATCACTACAGTAGGTGTAGTGATGCCAGCTCATTCAGCGCCCTGCGGGGACCCAAGTAAGAGGGAAACCCTGCAAAATGGTTGGCCACATTACCAGGAAATGGGACAAGGGTACTCCTGCCATCATAATCACTACAGCTGGCTGTTGTGCTTATGACGCTTGGAGAAACCCTTTAAACAGGATGGGTAGGCAATATGACAATATGATGACAACTATCTTCACACACTGTGTTGCTTAATAATTTAAGTGACTGTTCATCTTCTCACACCCCACCCACTGGAATATCTGATAATTGTAGGAATTGGGAAAACAACCTGCCATGCCTAGGAGAGACCTGCTACAAAGTATAACTCTACCTCTCATTCATGTATGGCAGGTGAGAAGTTCATAGTCAAAGCTGTAGAATGAGGGTCAAAAAACTCCTCAGGTGAGTGGTTAAAATGTATAGAGTGTAAAGGACCACAATCTGTACAGGATATCTACTGACAGGATATATGCTCCCTACAATCTGTCCACTTGGTGTGCTACAGAAAACAGATTTAAATTTAGTGGGATCCATCAGTCCCCAACCCCTCCAATATGTGATCATATATTAACGTATTAGTTATAGACACACATTAAATAATACAAACATGTGTCCGGTGTAGGAATGCCATCTGGCCATTGTTTTACTTGCATAGTCAGTATTTGAGGCTGTCTGGCCAGTGACAGTAATTAAAAATTATTGTCAATGCAGAGGCCAGTGTTTTTCAACGAAGGGACTCTAGTAGATTGGTGAGAGAAATGGGGCTAGAATATCCACCTCCGTTATACATGGCAGGTACACACACTCACAATATACACAAACTGACACACAAACACAGTATGAACACACTACTATTCCCACACTCAGACCAAGTAAAAATACACTACTATACACACACACACTCATTCAGACAATATACACACAAGACACAATGGTATACACGGTACGTACACAAAACAAAAAATCTTACACACAGAATACACACTGACAGACACTGATATACACACACACTCAGAAACAGTATACACACATAGTGCTAGAAATACATAATGCTACATGTATAGTCAGACATACATTGTAAGTAGTTTCTTAGTGAATTAGAATCCAAATACTTTTTTTCCTCTTACATCACTCCCTGTGATGTTATGTTAAATCCAGTGCCATTGTGTCCTGTAATGTTATGCTGATATAATTAATTATGCAAATTAACGTGGAAAGTATTTGTTTCCAAGAATGAATGCAATTTTAGTCTGGTGTTTTATTCTGTATACTTATTGATATTTGATGAAATGATGCATGAATGCATTGCTTACAGTTTCCCATGTTATTATTATTTATAAAGCGCCAACAAATTCCGCCGCGCTGTATCTTATACACCTGTCCGCCCAGTGTGCATGAAATGAGTTGGAATCCAAATTTGAAAACCCTAGCTAAATAAATCGTTTGGATGCTCACAGATCACAGCACTGGTAATGCAATATTATTATTTAGATAATTAGGAAATATCATAAATTATATATTTCTGTATTGCACAAAATTAATTTGTATCTTAATTACATACTTATTAATTTTTGTCACCATTTTCTATGCTATTCCACCAAGACACATCCAATCCCAGAGTGGTTTATTTCATAAACACATACCAAATTTCAAAAGCACTGAGTAATTGGTTAAGAGGGAGGGAGTGGGGTGTGGATGGGAGGAACTGTGTAGTTGCACCAGATAAGAAATTTCAGTGAGGAACTATCACATGCTTATTAGTAATCTTTACACCTTCATAGATAAAAAGTGTTTTACATATCCCCAAACATTGTTTGTTTTATGGCCATTTTTTTCATTTTATTTATATTTACTATCACTGTAGTTTACCATTAAAAGCAAAGTGTGTATATATATATATATATATATTTTTTTTTTTACAGTATACATACACACACACACACACATAGAGAGAAGTGTGTGGGTATGAGAATCTAAAAACAGAAGACTGCAGTCGCTGTAAATGTGGCAATACAGAGTGACTGTAGCATCAAGAAGATGGAACATGAGAAGGTGGACGAATATCAAGGACTGAAAGAGTTGGTCTTAGACCTTCAGGCGCCCCGTTAAAAAAATCACCGATTCAATGTTTTTTAATGGGAAAAATTGATGTGTGTGTGGTGCTCGCCGTACATGTGCATCAGATCCCCAATGCTCTATAAAGAGCATTGGATTGGACTGACTCCAGAGGATGCCCTGCATCTTCAGTGATGTTACTCTTTTTTCTTGATATTTCTGGCGAACTGGGGAGGGGGTGAATAGATAGGGAAAGGAAAACCAAAGTGTTAGGAATACATGGTACATAATTACATAAATATACTTAAATATATTTGTTAATATAATTCCTCTTCCATTTGCTTCTCAGACCTTTCTTACCACCCCATTTTCTTCTCAGATCATGTTTATTCTCATACTTTGGGCTTTGCCTTTCACATAATTGCCCTTTGTATCTTAACTTTTAAAGAAACCCACACTCTAACCACTAGTCCTCCCACTAACCATCTACGTCTCCCCCACCACTCTTACACACCAGCCACATTCCTGTACCAGTCACTTCTCCCAAAGACACTTTCACACCCCATCCACTTCTCTGTACCTGCCAATTAACAGCAACCACTTCTAACTCCACCACACACCAGCTATTTCTTCTTCACCACCCATGAGCACACAAGTGAATTCTATCCCACCAAACATCCACACACTGCCACTTCTTTCCCACCACTGATCCACATACTGCCTCTTCACCTCACCAAACATAGACACACCTGTCCCCCCGCTTTAAAATGCTTTCATTACAAGTTCCCCCATTACATATCTCTATCCCATGTCCTGCACTACCCCTTTATTGCATATCACCTTATACTTCCCCTTTCCATCTTCATTACCTATCCCCTAGTATTCTTTTCATCAGACTTTCCCCATCCTGAATCTTCCTCCTATTTCCTTCTCCAACAAGCCTTGTTTCGTCTGTATTAATGAGATTCTCCCCTCTATCTTCTGCTTACTAGCATGTAGCAGTATAGAGCAGGCAGTATCCAAATTGTCAAATGACACTGCATGCCTGCAACCCAGATATCTCATTGCTAAATCTTTACCCCGGGAGTCAAGTAGTAAAGAGAAGAGCTGTGCACCCGGCACTTTTAATCTGTCCCTTAGGGTAACAGTGTGTCTGTGCCAGAGAGTCCAACGAATTGCAATGAAACAGGTGCCCCAGCCTCTAATCCTTATTGCTTGCCCCAGTAGACAGATTACAGAAGCCCTAAATATGGGTGACTTACGAGCTGTGTTGGCCACATGCTGGCACACCCCAAAGGCCAGCTCTGGCTAGGTTTGGTAACTGCCAAGTAGAGAATGGCTTTAGCAAATTCCAGGTGGGACATCTAAAACATCTGTCCGGAAAAGTGCCATATCTCAACATTTCAAATAGACAAAGAAGGACACTTAATTTTAGGTGTATAAGAGGAGGAGTGGCCAGGGGCGGGGCAACACTGAGACATTTTATTTGACTTACTTATAATTTATGAAACTAAAATTTAATTTAGAACAAGAACAATGTATCTTATTCACACAGACTGATTTCTGAATGCAATTATTGTAGTTTAAAGGCGCATTACTGTAAGTATTATTGCTGCGGAACTCTGTTATACAATTCAGACATACCAACAATATGGAGCTTCTATAAAAGGATAAAAAAAGAACAGAGAGATTTTGGCCTAAAATAGGGACTGCAGAGAATCTGAGAATGAGGGATACACAAAAATACAACCAAGAGTGGTGAGAAAGTAAAAAAATACCATTATATAGATAGATATGGTATGTATTTTGTTCCTCTGTACTAGCAGCCTTTGCTAGTGTAAAAAAAGCTAAGCTGTAGAGGTCTCTCCTGCAAACCACGAGCTGCCCCTCCCCCATGGCATGCAGACTAGCACAGTGCTGCTTTCTTTGGCTACCATGTCAGATGCCTGTACATGCCATGTGCCTCATTCTAGAACACATGGCCAGCTTAGCGGACTCTTTTCCCGGCCAACAGTTCACGTTAAGACAGTGATTGCCAATTCTTTAAAGGCAATGCATTTACCAGAGAGAGGTGTGTCTCGGGTGTTATAAACCTGCACAAGGAGCCCTCCATTATCCTTTCTTTACAAATCTCCTATGCCATGAGCAGCGATCATTTAGCGCAAGCACGGCTATGGACTACATATCCCGTGATGCTCAGCTATTCCTTCAGGGGCTAAGCATCACGGGAAATGTAGTACGTAAACAGCGATGTACGAAGCGGCCACCACATTGCCACACACGATGCTTAGCTTTTTATAACGAGCACGTACCACCCCACCCCCCACCTAACTGAGAGACTCCAGCATTAGCCTAGGGACAGAGTACCCCCGCCCCCCGCTCTCAGCCTCTTCAAGGTGGCACACACGCTCATCACGTGACAAGAGCGTGGCAGGCGACGCAGCGCTTTCTGACAGGCCCCGCCCCTTCCGCTCCCACTAGTCCAGGGAGCGTGGTGTGCGCATGCGTAGTCTGTCACCGGGTTCCGGAAATGGTCCATCTGGCTGGTGCGGCTGCGCCCGGCTGCGCGGACTGAGGATAGCAGGTGAGATTCGGCGGGGCCCGGCTCCCAATCCGCCGCCATCCTCTCTATTACATGTGACCCCCGGCCTGCTACACCCGGGACCCCACTCCCCGGGGCCATCCGAGTGCCCCCCGCCCTCTGTCAGCGTACCAGCTGCTGGATACCCCGAGCAGGCTCATGCAGGCCTGAACACCCCCCACCACCTCCTCCCTCACCCCCGGGAAGGCTGGGCCCGTACTGTGTTAGCACCGTGCGATCCGTGTCACTGTGTGTGTGTATTATATATAGTATATAGTGTGTATTATATATAGTGTATAGTGTGTATTGTATATATTGGGGGGGTTGAGCACACTCTCCATATGTGATGAGGGAGTCCCGGCCTGCTGCTGCCGCTGGCTGAATGAATGACACCCCACCCCCAGCACTATCCGGCCCTGAGAGCAGCTCGATGGCCCCGCAGGGCCTGACCCGGCCATGTAAAGCCATGTAAAGGGACTCCATTCCCCTGTAGCTGGTGGGGGGAGGGGATTGGTCCGAGATGACGACACACCCGGCATTGGCATGAATCACATGTGCGTTATGGCGTCTGCAAATAAGACCAGTGCACACGATTAGCCTCCACTGTGCATGCAGGGCGGCCAGCCCTCTTTGTTACAGCACTGGGGGGCATGGGCTGGCTGGCTTAATCTCATGTAACTGTCTCCTCATATATACATGCTAAATAGTAGTCCAGTATTGCAATGTCTATTAATACTTTATTATTTAGCATCTGCATAACTGGACTTGTACAGCAACTCGGATAGGACTACCTGTTCATATGATTCTGTACAAGGTCTAACTCGGTTTATTATTATTTATAAAGCGCCAACAAATTCCACAGCGCTGTACAATAGGATGAATGTCAGGGTGAATGTGTGCTGTGTCTGTAGTTAATAATAGGTCCAATTATTAAGATTAGAAAACTGGGATTACAGTTCTTTGTGGTGTATAGAATGTCCTGTGTTCTATCAAGAAAATAGACATGGAGTGTCCTTGTCTTGTATGTCAGCAGTTTCAGGAAATTTATTCTGCAGTGAAGGTCGACGGTATGCATCAACTTTGAGGTGATATGAGGGGGTATAGATAGATATATACACCATCTATATTTGTTCTTTCATAACCTTTATTGAATAGTATTCCATTGTGAGATGTGGTTCCTTGTGTTACCCTTACCTTTTGTTTTCTGAAAGGGGGATTCTCTGTTCCTCATCCTTGTCTGCAGACGTTCATTTCTCAGCCATATGGTGCATGAAAGAGTCTAGATACAAACACCAAGTATTTACATGTCTGCAGCAGAGAACTAAAAAAAAACAAACCTCACAATAGATTGCTCTGTATGAACATAACATTTATAAATATTCAGGCCTCTGTTAGTGGAAAATATAGTCCTAAAACAGTTTTTATTTTTAAGTTCCAGTTCATAAATCAAATAATTGTTGTAAATACATGTTTGCTTTACATGTTGCTGTTGTCTGTATGTTAACCTCTCCATGGCAGAAAAGTTCCTGAATCCCACAGGTTTGTTTTTTTGAGTTGCGGCTATATTCATACCATATCTTTCTTGGCTGGAGATTTAAAGAGAAAGTTATTAAAAGGGACTTGTAGAATGGGCTGCTGCAAGATCAGCATTTCCTGCATTTATACGAAGTGTGTACGTGTATAATATCTTTATGGATTATTAAATGGGGATGCTTGTTTTCATCTTTTTGAATGTTATTTTTTATATCGACAGAATATAGATGAATGTCATCATTTCTTTAGAAATATGTTGGGATGAATAAATTTGGGCAACTTTCCTGACCCTCTAGTATTAAAACTACCATCTGGCCCTCCCTTGCCCCCCTAAATATAGTAAATTCTTGCCTTTATTCAAGTCTGCTGGCTCTGTCCCTTATCTGCCTTGTTAGCTGACATCACAGTGCTTTCCCATTGAAAGAATTGGATTGGCTGAGATTGTCAAGGGAGCAGAGCCAAACACAGCCCAGTGCATTTCTTTAAGTGATTTTCAGTGTCTCTGTGCAGAGGGTGGAGCCACTGGCAGTGCTGCACACTGTGTAGCACTGCCCCTGGAAGCACCACTAGTGGCCAGTGGAGGTATCCCTAGGCTGTAATGAAAACATTGCATTTTCTCTGAAGACAGTGTTTACTGCAAAGAGCCTGAAGGGACGGATTATACTCACTAGAACAAATACAATATGCTGTAGTTAAGTCTGGTGACTAGGGAGTCACTTTGTCACTTGTTCTGTAACAGCTAGGGGTCTACTACTTGGCATCCCTGTTTAACATACCTCTTTTCAAACTTGTTTCATGGGGGTGGCTCTCTTTGGTCAAAAATATAGCTTATCAGACTAAAGACCACACATGACATTTAGAGCTAGTGTGTATTCATGAATCTTTGAATCATGTACAATTCTCAGGCATTCATAATTGCAACCTGAGTCAGTTTTAGCTATTTTTTGCACTTGGTCTTCAGATGGGTAAACTGTGCTTGCAACCAAAAATGAAAAAGGACTTGGAAGTGGCTCTGTCACCGTCTGTCCCTTTTTGCTGCCACCATGCTGTTCCTGCTGGCCCTCTCCAGCTTCTAGAAGATGACATCAGCTTTGTACTCTTGCGCACGCCCATTTTAAAAGTGGCACTTTAAGAATGACCAACTTGACTGAGCATGGGTAAACCGGAAGATGCAACGAAAAAAGAGGTTTACTTGTATATAAGTGTGTAAAATAAGAAGAAAACATTGCAGTTGACCTGATCATCTTTCATTTTTTCTTAGAAATATTTTTTATTTATATTGCCTCTGTCACCTTCTGGGATCTTTACATATTTGTAAAGAATTTGGATAGTGATATTGCTGCATGGTGTGTGTGTGTGGTCCCACAAACCGCAATGAATACATTTATCAGACTGTAAAGATAGTTGGTGCACCAAACCATTACTGCTACTACTGTGCCCTTTAACCCCTTAAGACCGGAGGGTGTACTATTACGCACTATTTTAGGTGGCTCTGAACGCCGCCGGGCGTAATAGTATGCCCTCCGTTTTTTATTATTTACCCGGTCGCCGGCGATCGCGGTTGGGGGGACTCCCAGGAGCCCCCCTGCGGCACATCCAGCCTCCTGCAGCCCCCCCTGGCCATGTGAGAGTGAGGTCCTTGCGAGGATCTCACAATCACATGGCCGGGTTAGCTGGCTGCTGCAATGCCAGCAGGGGGACTGCCTGTAATGACAGGTAGTCCCCCTGCTGGCTGGAAAATAAATTAAAGTTAAAATAAGTGTAAAAAATAAATAAATTATATACTTAGAATATATATGTATATATTTTAATATCAAATTACACGTAGGCTGGTACTGATTAAAAATATATATATATAATTATTGTTATATATAATATAAAAAAATATGTAAATAAATACGTTAAATTTTTTTTTAACATAATTAAATATATAGATGTGTTATTTCGTTCTAACTATATTGTGATATTAATATATTTGTATATCAAAGTACACGTAGAACGAAATATATATCTATATACATAAATATATATATATATATTCTCTACATATATATTTATGTAATATTTTTACATAATTGGGTATCTTAATTACAATTAGCGGGACCTGCCTGACAACCCATGCCGAAAGTATAGGGAATTTAATTTGCTAGCACTATATTTAACCCTATAACTTTCCAAGACACCATAAAACCTGTACATGGGGAGTACTGTTCTACTCGGAAGACTTTGCTGAACACAAATATTAGTGTTTCAAAACAGTAAAATGTATTACCACGATGATATCGCCAGTAAGTGATGTTTTTTGCATTTTTCACGCACAAACCGCACTTACACGGACGATATTATTGCTGCGATACTTTTTACTGTTTTGCAACACAAATCTTTGTGTTCCGCGAAGTCTCCCAAGTACAACAGTACCCCTGATGGACAGGTTTTATGGTGTTTTCAAAGGTTACAGCGTCAAATATAGGCTTGTGTTTCATTTTTTTCACATTAAAATTTGGCAGATTGGTTAGGTTGCCTTTGAGACCCTATGGTAGCCCAAGAATGAAAATTACCCCTATGATGGCATACCATTTGCAATAGTAGACAACCCAAGGTATTGCAAATGGGGTATGTCCAGTCTTTTTTTAGTAGCCACTTAGTCACAAACACTGGCAAAAATTAGCGTTTTTTGCATTTTGTCACACAAATACGAACGCTAACTTTGGCCAGTGTTTGTGACCAAATGGCTACTAAAAAAGACTGGACATACCCCATTTGCAATAGCTTGGGTTGTCTACTATTGCAAATGGTATGCCATTATGGGTGTAAATTTCATTCCTGGGCTACTATACAGTCTCAAAGGCAACATAACCTATCTGGCGAATTTCAAATGTAATGTGCTATATTTGACCCAGTAACTTTCCAAAACGCTTATAAACCTGTACACAGGGGCTACGGTCTTACATGTGAGACTTTGCTGAATACAAATATGTATTTGTATTTTATTGCAGTAAAAGCAAACAGTATTATGACATTGACAGTTAAAATGTCATGTAGAACTAAAAAAATAAAAAAATCGTATTTTCTCCCATTTTTTTTCATATTAAATAATGTTTCATAGCTAAATATTTGATATTAAATGAAATCCCTGTTTCCCCTGAATAAATTATATATAAGGGTGGGTGCATTTACTATGCAAGAGGTAAATTACGGTTGGACAGACATATGGTGCAAATGCCAGGTTTTGTTTATATCTTGTTTTGTTCACAACGTGTACATTTGGCCCCGTCCTTAAGGGGTTAATTATTTGGCACAGCAGGACATGCGTTACAAAAAAAAAATAAAAAAATAAATAAATAGAAAAATGGTTTCATTTCTCCCCTTCTCTGCAAGCCTATGCTGACTGTCTGGTGCAAAGGTCAGAGTTTATAACAAACATTGACAGGGAGCTAAGATGCAGATTCTCAAATGCATGATAAAGAGAGGATTTCTACAATGTACTTTTCACTTCCTTTAACTTCTTAAGGACACATGACGGAAATATTCCGTCATAATTCCCTTTTATTCCGGAAGTTGTGTCCTTAAGGGGTTAATCCTTAAAGTATTCAACTTCCAAAACAAAACCTAGAATTTGTGCTGCTTGTTCCACTGTGATTTAAGGATTTCCTTTTAATGTATGTGTGTAAAGATCTCTTTACACCTGTATACAGTTTATTTTTAGATTCTATATGGATACCTAGAACGGCCATAAAGGAGCACTACTGTATTAGGAATACAAACCTGCATTCCTTATGGTATAGCGTCCCTATCCATAGCTCTAAATACATTTCCCCACCTTCCCGTTTGCAGTTTAAATTTTTTTTCTTGTTCTGGGGCTCCCTCTGTGCTGTTGACCTCTGCCTCCTGTGAGATCATGTAGGAGGCATGGCCACCTCTGCGACGATCCAATCCTCACTGAATAGAATTCAGGAACTAATGTGTATGCATAGCAGTCACCGTGATTGCATAGAAACCTACCTATTGAAAAGCATTAAGTCAATGCTTTCCTGTGGGGAGTTCTGCGTCACATGACAGTTTTACGCGGATGTGCCTCCAGTGGTTTTCATACTGACTGCAAATAGAGGTGGATTTAACCCTGCAATGTGAACGTTGAAGTTTCACAAAAAAAACTGCAATATTTTGCAGGGGTGAAAGGACTGGGTCGTTGCATCCAGACCCCTTCATTGAATTGAAGTAGTTACGCATGAGGAAAAACTATGTATTTCTATTTTTGCTTATAATTTACATGAGAAAAATTAATCAAAATTGATTTGTGTATCAGTCCTGATTTAAAGGACCACTATAGGCACCCAGACCACTTCAGCTTAATGAAGTGGTCTGGGTGCCTGGTCCAGCTAGGTTTAACCCTTTTTTCAGTAAACATAGTAGTTTCAGAGAAACTGCAATGTTTACCTATGGGTTAATCCAGCCTCTAGTAGCTGTCTCATTGACAGCTGCTAGAGGCGCTTCCACGCTTCTCACTGTGATTTTCACAGTGAGAAGACGCCACTGTCCATAGGAAAGCATTGATAATGCTTTCCTATGAGACTTAGTGAATGCGGGAGGGAGGAGAGTCCCAGCGGCGAGGGAGCCCGGCGCTGGAAAAAGGGTAAGGGATTAACCCCTTCCTCCCCCTTCAGCGCCATGGGAGTGGGACACTGAGAGTGGGGGCACCATAGTGCCAGGAAAACGAGTGTGTTTTCCTGGCACTATAGTGGTCCTTTAAGTACCTCATATGTCTAGGATCTGATTTAAAGAGGACTTGTTGTGACAATACAAATTCATCTTAAATCAGAGCTTGATAAGTTTGCTTTGAATCTAGGAGCTAGCTAAAAAATTAGGAGGCTTTTTTTTTTGTTTTTTGTTTTTTTTAACAAAGCTTTTTCAACAGCAAAAATAAAATTCTTAAAGGGACAGTATAATGGTTCTAGTGTCTGTAGTCTGTCACTGTATGATTTTCAGTGTAAACACTTTTTCAGAGGAAAGGCAGTGTTTACATGGCTGCCTAGAAACACCTCTAGTGGCAGTCACTCCGGCCATTTAAGTGCTTCCTATCTCAGGTCTACGCTGTGTGCAGCAACCTACATTCAGCATCTCCATGGCGCTGATTGTTCCCCATAGATATGCATGGAGTCAAGTGAGATGGTTAGAAAACTGCAAACTTGTATCTCTCATGAGCGACAGCAAATGGATTTCCCAGCTTCCACAGTACTACTGTGTGACTGCAACAAGAGAAGAACTATGTTGGCAGGGATGCTGGATTGGGGGGGATAGAGGGAACTCTAGTGTAAGGAATACAATTATACAAGAAGGGGGGAATGTAGAGTTTGTTTGGGGTTTTTTTTATGCTTAAAAATTTTCAGAAATTTTACATCTTTACCAGGCACTAAAAGCGTCACTGTCACCATCTGAGGACTTTGCAGAGTTTACAATGGCCCCCAATAGCAACATTGCTGCTGGGTTTTTGGTGGTGGGGCGTAAAGGAGTCCTACACACCTGAACCCGTCTCGCGGGCTTTGCCGACTTCTTCGGCTTGTGGCGCTTCTGTGGCAGGATCCAACGTCACAAGAGTACAGCATTGAGGTCTATAGAGGATCCCATCGCCGGATCCTTCATGGGCAGAGCCAATTTTGTGGTGACAGCTGGGAGTGAGTGACACTACTAGATGTTGGTAGCTCTGTTCAATGTCAGGAAAAGGAAATATACATAGACAAAGTAGTAGGCATTTCAGTGAAATTGCAACACAGTCAAAATTAGTATTTCATAAGGATTCTATGTTTTCGAAATAAACATTTTTCAGGGGGAGGTGACACTGCTGCTTTATACCAATTTATTGAGATGAAATGCTTATACTGCCTGGAGTGTCCCTTTTTAAAAAGAAAAGGCTCTTTGTTCTATCCCACTGTAAGTAATGAAAAAGTTTGGCTTTCCCTTCAGATGCTACTAATGTGGAACTTCTTACTTACACACTATTTGCTTCCATATATGATTGAAATTAATAACCAATTCAGAAGTAGAACTTCTTGTGAAGAAGAGGCAGGACTGGAAGAACTATGGGGATCCATGTGAGTCTCGGACTGTTCAAAGGAGGTTTGACAACTTACGTAGCACCATAACCACTACTTTGCACTGATGTTGTTTTGGTGCTTAGGCTAGCTAATCTTGTGGGCACTTGTGTTTACCTTGCTGCCTTTAAATCTTTTTAACACAGCCATTTTAACACCAATCTTTCCAACATTTGAACTTTTTGTAATTCTCTCATATGCTCTGTTTAGCACTTGAAATGAAATTACAACATAAAATATTTTTATTAAAAGTAGACAACCTAAGATAATTCATAAGGAGTATTTTATCTCCTTTAACCCCTTAAGGACACATGACGTGACATGTCATGATTCCCTTTTATTCCAGAAGTTTGATCCTTGGGGGTTAAAGTATTCCAGTAAACATACTCTTTTTTTTTTTTTTTTTTTATATACCAAATCCTACGTGTGTGTGTATAGATAATGTTTGTTTTTTCTTCCTGTACACAGATAATTGTATCTGCGATCTTTGTGTACAAGATATATGAATGGCAGATGCCATAATAAAAACCCCATAATTAAAAAAAACTAAGTGTTTTTATTTAAAATTCATTCTGCGTTTTGTTGTTTCAGATTTAAAAGGGATAAGGTTGGCGAGATGTGGGATTTAGGGTTAATTTGAGTTAAAAGAACTCTCAGCTTGCCTCTAGTGGTTATGGTGTTAGGAGTGCCCTGGTGCATCTCAAGCACCTCTCCCTGTATCCTCTTCGTGCTTATGCTTCCCTTTGCATTTAATTTGTAATAAATCCTTACTGAGGAAATTACTGAACTCTCGACCAGTGCTGGATTTCCAGTAGTTTCCTCTTTGGGAAATATTACGCATGACCTCACACGTCGTTTGCATTTTCCATCTACTTGAATGAGAAATTACTCACACAGTAAACCAGCAAAGCATTCTTTGTCCTGTTTTTTGAATCGCAGTTGAGGGAATCCCTAGTTTGTGAAACAGGTTGCTGCACTAATCCCAGGAACCCACTGTGATCTCCTCACTACTCCCATCTGAAGCAAATAAGATGGTAAAAAACTATCTGGCTGTGTCCAGAGTTGTATTGTGACTGACAAAAGCCTAAGGAACATTGTTTGTGTGGTTTTCTTTATTTTTATGTAATTTGTTAGATTTTCTCTGTACAACTCCTTTTGCCGTCAGTCTCTGGTATAAGGATGATGGGACCTTGTTGCAAACCTATAATGGTGGCTATATAGTTGCCCAAAAATACCAGAAACCCATGGTACGTTCCATAACCCGCACATGTATACATTTTAGGGATTTACTCTTCAGTTGCCGCTTTTCTTTATTATTTTTTTTGTCTGTCATTTCCCAATATTTTTTATATGTGTACTTATTCCTATATTTAACACATATCTGGGAGGTATGAAAAATTAGTCATCCACACATCTTTATCCTGTAAATGATTGCCTTCGCTTCCTATCAGCCGATGTTATAAGACTTGTCCTTTTCAACTGGCAATCAGCATAGAGAAAGCATACAAAGAAGGGGAGAATTACTAGCTCCTCATTCAGAAAAAAACAAACCAATTTTTTCTTATTTTTTTATGGGGAACTACTGATGGTTTAGAGCGTCCACTGACCATTCTAGCTAATCAGAAACCAGAAGTCACTGCAGATCGGCGCAGGAAGCAACCTTTGGGTTTAAACTGTTAAAGACTAGTTTAACCCATTAAGCTAAGAGAGCACCTAATTGCCTCCATTTATTTTAGATTAAGTTATAACGATCGGGGTTGTTCCTTTAAACAATGTTTCTATTTCACCTCTTCATTTGCAGTGTCTTGCCTTGTCTGAGCTGGATTATGATGTACTTTGATAAATCTTTAACCCCTTAAGGACGGTGAGCGTGCTATGCCGTCCTTGGGGATCCGGCTTTAAGCGCCAGGGGGCGGCATAGCACATCCCAGTTGTCTGCGACCTCAGGCCGGCGATCACGGTGGGGGGACTCACCTGGCAACCCAGAGAGTCCCCCTGCTCCCGTTCTGGTTCTCCTGGGCCATGTGATTGCGAGGACCTCACGATCACATGGATGGCATAGCCGACCACAGCAATGCCAGCAGGGGGAGTGCCTGTAATGACAAGTACTCCCCCTGCTGCCTGAAAAATTTAAAATAAAATAATAAAAAAAACGTATAAAGTATATACTTGGATCATATACATACACACACATACACTGTCTAAGTGTATTTTAATATTAAAAAAAAAATATATATATATATATATCTATCTCAAAATACACGTAGAATGAAATTGATCAAATATATATATTTATATAAAATATGTAAATACGTAAAAAAAATGTAATTTCGTTCTAACTATTTTAAAATTAATACATAGATTTCAAAATACACGTAGAACAAAATAATATATATTCTACGTATATATTTATGTAATTTACATAATTGGGTCATTTTATTAATTACAATTTGCGGGACCTGCCTGACAACCCAGGCCGAAAGTCCAGCACTATATCCTGTAACTTACATGGGGGTACTGTTTTACTTGGAAGACTTTGCTGAACACAAATATTAGTTTCCAAACAGTAAAATGTATTATATCGTCAATGAAAGTGACACTTTTTTTTTCATTTTTCACACACAAATGGCACTCACACAGTCGATATTGTTGTGATACATTTTGTTTTGAAACACTCATATTTGTGTTCAGCGAAGTCTCCTGAGTATAACAGTACCCCCTCATGTACAGGTTTTATGGTGTTTTTAAAAGTTAGAGAGTCAAATATAAGGCATGCGTTTCAGTTTTTTCTTGCCTTTGAGACTGTATGGTAGCCCAGGAATGAACATTACCCCCGTGGTGGCATACCATTTGCAATAGTAGACAACCCAAGGTACTGCAAATGGGGTATGTCCAGTCTTTTTTAGTAGCCACTTGGTCACAAACACTGGCCAAAACTGGCATGCAAATGAGGTTTTTTTTGCATTTTCACATACAAATATTAACACTAAATGTGGCCAGTGTTTGTGACCAAGTGGGTACTAAAAAAGACTGGACATAACACATTTGCAATACCTTGGGTTGTCTAATATTGCAAATGGTATGCCATCATGGAGGTAATTCTCATTCCTGGGCTACCATACGGTCTCAAAGGCAACGTAACCAATCTGGCGAATTTCAATGTGAAAAAACTGACAAATGTAACATGCTAAATTTGACCCTGTAACTTCCCAAAACACCATAAACCTTGTACATAGGGGGTGCTGTTTTACACATGAGACATCGCTGAATACAAATATGTGTATTTTATTGCAGTAAAAGCAAACAGTATTATGACATTCACAGTTAAAATGTCACGTAGAACTATTTTGTTTTTAAATTCTTATTTTCTCCCTTTTTAAAATATTTTATTCATATTAAATTGTTTGATACCTAAATATAAATGAAAGCTCTGTTTCCCCTGAATAAAATGTGGGTGCACATAATATGAAATGGGTGAATTACGCCTTAACAGAGTGCAAATTAAAGTTTTTTTTTTTGTTTGTTTTTTTTTGTTTGTTTTTTTTTGTTTGTTTTTGTTTGTTTGTTTGTTTTTGTTTGTTTGTTTTTGTTTGTTTGTTTTTTTAACGTTTTGTTTTGATCACAACTTGTACATTTGGCTCAGTCCTTAAGAGGTTAAAATCTAAAAGAAAACAGAATATTTTGTGTGAAAAAATAAAGATTATAGGTGAGATTCAATGGTGTAAATTCCAGAGATTACAATTCCTCTGTAAAGGAAAATCTCGTCTTCATTTGACCCCCATCAGGACTAATGTGATGCCAGCACAGACAGGATAATGATAGCTTGAAGAGGTTGAAAGAACACTGCAACACCTAAAGCACTTCATCTCCCTACACTGGCTTGTTTGAAGTGTTTTTTTATTTTTTTTATTTTACAAAAAGTGTAAATTTGAATAGAAATTTGCACTTTTATATATGAATCCTCTTGCACCCTCTGACTTTCAAGCAGGCAGCAGGTCATGTTACTAGAAAAGCATAGAGTGGTTAACAAATTATGTGGGTCCAGTAACATCCTGTTGTGTTTAACTCATTGGAGCTAAGCTCCAGAGGCATACAATTGCCCAGAGCACCTGCCTTGCAAAAACATTTCATTAAACTGCATTTAGAAGTCTGTGATTGGACAGCCACATAAAGCCTGGGCTGGGGAAGACTGGAAAGTCTTGCAAATGCTTCAGAAGAGATCCATAACTTTTATAAACTGTAGATATACCCCCAGTGAAAAAATGCATGCATGTTTTCATTGGGGGTATATCTACTAAATTTATTTGTTGGACAGTGGAGTGTCCCTTCTTAATGTGTCTTTTTATGATATGCATTTAAAGAATACCTCTGTGTTTCTCTTTCACTCCAAATCTAGTCTTGGAGTGGCTGATCATTTTCAGCCATGATTTTTTGTAGTAGTGCTAGGTATATCCCATAAATCTCTGCTAGGTTTTATAGTGTGTATGTATGGAGATAGATATTCTTGACAAATTTGCGTTGAATCTAGGAGCCAGCTAAAAAAAGTTGAGACAAGTTTTTTTTTTTTTTTTTAAAACTAACAGCTTTATTGTCAAACATCAAAAATATATTTCTTAAAGGGACATTAGTCACCAAAACCACTATAGCTTAATGTAGTGGTTTTGGGGTCTATAGCCGGTCCGTGCAGGCTTTTAAGTGTAAACACTGCCTTTCAGAGAGAAGGCAGTGTTTACATTGCAGCCTAGTAACACATCTAGTGGCCACCACTTAGATGGCCACTAAAGTGCTTCCTATTTCAGGGCTGCACATTCGCTTAGCATGGAGGCACTAAACGTTCTTCATGGAGATGCACTATTTCAATTTATCATTTATTTTTTTATGAATATGTTCATAGATTAAAATATCTCTGCCCATTATTACTGTATTGCAAAAGAAAAAGACTACTTTGTAGTTTGCAAAAAAATGATTTAAAAAAAAAAGCCAGAGCTTCCTCCATTAAGTTTTGTCAGTTTCCTCAGCTGTCACTAGCGACAGTGGTAAAAATCAGGTGCTTCTCGCAGATTGCAGTACTTGTCCAAGTAGGCACCAAACTTTGTAATGCAGAGACTTTTTTTGTAAACAAAATATTAAACTTCATATCTTGGTCAATAATTTCAAATGGTTCTACAAAATTTAGTTAAATGAAGTAGCCTGGATTGTCAGTTTTGAAATAAACTTTTGTGGCTGGCTATTAAAGTTACTTTCCATGCACTAAAACCATGTTATCATTAGGGATCGACCTATTTTGATTTTTTTTTAGAGCCGATGATATTAAGAAATTATATTGCTTAAAGTGTCCCTTTAAGTTTAAATAGCCGGCAACTCTAATGATCTAATTCTACTTTTTGTCCTGTGATGTAATGAATATTAATTTCAGTAATCTAAATATGCTATACCTGTATCAAACTAATTTACATTTTGTTTATGAAAGTCTAAATTCAACAAATTGCATTTCATTTTGGGGCAGTCAAGAGTTTAAAAAAAATTAAATAAATGGAAATTGCATGCATATGTTGGTTAAACAAACTTAAGAACAAAACTTTTTCAGTTCAAAATACACTGTGACATGATGGGGTAGGCAGTTAAATGTATTAGTCCTTTCACATAGTTTAAGACAGACTATGAATTAATCTGCTTTTAGCTGACATTCCATAGCTTCAGCATTTAGGAGTGGTTTAATCCCATTAGGTACCTTTGCATTATATGTATAATGTGTAAAAAGCATCTAAGTAGGTGTCTGTCTTGTACTAAATCTCAAGCCTATTATCTAAAGACATCATTTTAAACAGGAAGTGGATGAGATCTCATTAATTCATGTGGGAAGTGCTATTTATGCACAGACAAAAATATTTTTTTCTTTAGTAGATCTGAACGGAAGTCACATGCAAAATATACCAGTGAAGCTGCACATTGACTTGAATGCAGATCTCTCTTGTCTGTCACTTGCTCCCATTCATTTCTGTGATGAATCCACATGTCGCTCTAGTAAACTTACAGCTGTAAGCATAGTGTTTTGTTAAATTAAAGGGTTGTTAGAAATGTGTGTGAGGTATAAAGCTATTAAAAGCCATCCCCTTCTACAGTAAAAGAAAACCCAACTGAGTTTAACTTTTTAATAGATATACCCTTAGAGCATGCATGTTTTTTATTTTTTTTTATTTTTTTTGTATATGGAAGAAAAATCTATCTGCAGCCTTTTTAAAGGAACACTATAGTTACTTAAATAACCTTCGCTTAATAAAACCGTTTTGGTGTGTAGATCATGCCTCTCAGGTTTCACTGCTCAATCCACTACCATTTAGGAGTTAAATCACTTTTTCTGTTTATAAAGCACTTGCCACACCTTCCCTGGCCCTGGTTGACACAGCCTGCATGAAAAGAAACTGATTTCACTTTCAAACAGATGTAATTTACCTTAAACCATTTTATCTCTTTCTCTGTAAATTGAACTTTGATCACATACAGGAGGCTCTTGCAGGGTCTAGCAAGCCTTTAATGTAGCAGGGGATAAGAAAAACTAAATTAAACAGAACTTGCAATAAAGGAAGGATAAACTTTAGATGGCTCTTTACAGGAAGTGTTTAGGGAAGTCTGTGCAAGTCACATGCAGGGAGGTGTGACTAGGGTTCATAAACAAAATGATTTAACTCCTTAATGGCAGGTAATAGATCACTGAGACTACAGGGGCATGATCTACACACCAAAACTGTTTCATTAAGCTAAAATTGTTTTGGTGACTATAGTGTCCCTTTAAGCCCTCTCCTCTTTTCCATGCACAGATTTAGTCTTTGCCAAGGAAATACCCAGAGAGTTCTCACTAAGAAGCCTCTGTGCTGGAACCGCAAGTATGCACACGAACTTCATCATGGGTCGAATTATAGTACATCTCATTGAGAAAGGGGAAAGCAGTTGTGCTCTAGTCCGTTGCACTTGCCATTTTTGTTAGCTATGTGGAGATATCAGAAATGGAAGAAAATCTGCCTCGCTGACTGCCCATATTTCTGTTGAAACTGGCACTTTATATAAACCATCACAAAAAAGACTCCAGGAACACAAAGCACTTCAGCAAGCTTTTGTATACATTGAGCTTTCTTTAACTTGCATTCAAACTTATTTTGTATGTTTATAAAAAGTTATATTTATTGATATAAGGAATACTTACCCTGTTTGTTTGAAAAACTACTAAACAAATGTTTGCCTATATGTTATTTCCTTAAAACTGTTAAGCAGTTTTAAAGGATCACTATAGTGTCAGGAAAACAAAGTGGTTTTCCTGACACTATAGTGCCCTGAGGGTGCCCCACCCTCACGGACACCCCTTCAGCAGCTTTCCTTCCAGCGCCGGGCTCACTCGCCGCTGGCGACGTCTGCTTCCTCGGCTAACGTCAGCGGAGCCGACTGTGCATGTGCGGCAAGTGCCGCGCGCGCATTCAAGCTGTCTATAGGAAAGCATTTTTCAATGCTTTCCTATGGGCGCTCTGCGTGATGGAGGCATAGTATGCCTCCAGCATCGCAGATGCGCGTCTAGTGGCGGTCCGGAAGAGGGCCACTAGAGGCTGGCTTAACCCTGCAATGTAAATATAGCAGTTTCTCTGAAAACTGCTATGTTTGCATCTGCAGGGTTAAAACCTGAGGAACATTGCACCCAGACCACTTCATTGAGCTCAAGTGGTCTGGGTGACTATAGTGTCCCTTTAAATGCAACAATACGAACACATTTCAATAGCCTTGCTCTTATGCTTGTATCTCTTCCCATGCAGCCTTTCAGTATTTGTGCGTCCATCTTTTGCAGAAACTAAATGCTGATCTCGTTGGCCATTCATTGACTTAGATTGTCAGCTGTCCTTTTAGCCAATGAATTCAGCTCTGTGCATAACTCCCCAATGATTCTGCCATTGGTGGAGTTACACCTTCAGTAGCAAAGGGGTTAAAACCCTTTGTTCAGCATTTCATAGCAAAATGCTGCACATACGGTGTCCAGGCAGTCATGACCGCTTCAGTGGCAATGGTGCTTGGAGTTAACACTTTAGGTACCGTATGAAACGCATACGTTGTATCTTATGTCTGCTAGCCAGGTCCCCTCAGTGTTAAAGGAACACTATAGGTGGTAAGGAATACAAACATCTGAAAAGGCTGTGTTTACATGAAAATGCCTGCAGGGACATACTGTAGACACCAGAACAATTACACTAGAGTTTCATTGAATGCATTTGTAATACTTACTCTTCAAAAATGTGCTATTAAAACAAATTCAAATTATCATTTTTTTTTTTTTTTTTTTAGGTCTCATCTGTATTGTCTAAAAAGTTAATATATAACAGCAGGCTTTGAGTCAAGTAAAAAAAAAAAAATACTTAAAGCTAGTGTTTGTGCCTATTTTGCAATATATAATTTGAGTGGCTACTTCAGGAGCCTTTCTTCTTGCAGTACAGGAAGAGCTAGCATTTAATTCTGGGAATATGCATTATCTGTTAATTGAGCAATGAACTGGATCACATTTGTTTTGTGGTAATGTGATCTACTGGAGCAAATAAATATTTTAATTAAATAATAGAATAAATTTTTTGCTAAATCCTGTATAGTGTTACTGTTTAAAACCGGAATGCCCAGTTATTTTTTTATTTTTATTTTAATGCAGTGCTTGGCAAGAATTTTGTAATTTGGGAGCCACTTAAAATGCACAACCTGGGCCAGTACATTTTTATGGAAAATGCTGTCTTCTCCCACCCTTACCCTTTCATTTCCCAGACACAACACCTTGAGGTAATTGTGAAAGCACTTGCTATAATTTGGAAACAATGGAAAGTGCAAATAAGAATGCTCTGGTTTTCTTTTGATAAGATAATTAACTTGCTCTTCCAGTTTAAACATGCAGCACCTCTGCCCCCTGTTGTCAATTATATTATTGATAAATCCTTAAACGGAAACGATCATCAAATATACAATATTAGCTTGTTTAAAAGAGCTTAAAATTCCATCTGTACTTTGTGCTTTTAGTTTTACTAGAAAATTAGAGTGGAAGAAAATCCTGTATAGTGTTACTACTGCAAATGCTTTTCTCCCACCTCTCTCCAATTCCTAAATCAAAATTGAATGCAGAGGAATTGAAAGACCCACAGGAGGTCCCTCTGTTCTTCACCTATAGCAATCACAGCACATCTATGTGGTTGCTAGGCTGTGGTAACTCCCCAGAAATTAAAGGGACACTGTAGTCACCTGAACAACTTTAGTTTTGGTGTATAGAACTTGCCCCTGCAGCCTCACTGCTCAATCCTCTGCCATTTAGGAGTTAAATCCCTTTGTTTATGAACCCTAGTCACACCTCCCTGCATGTGACTTGCACAGTCTTCCATGAACACTTCCTGTAAAGAGAGCCCTATTTAGGCTTTCTTTATTGCAAGTTCTGTTTAATTAAGATTTTCTTATCCCCTGCTATGTTAATAGCTTGCTAGGCCCTGCAAGAGCCTCCTGTATGTGATTAAAGTTCAATTTAGAGATTGAGATACAATTATTTAAGGTAAATTACATCTGTTTGAAAGTGAAACCAGGTTTTTTTTTCATGCAGGCTCTGTCAATCATAGCCAGGGGAGGTGTGGCTAGGGCTGCATAAACAGAAACAAAGTGATTTAACTCCTAAATAACAGTGAATTGAGCAGTGAAATTGCAGGGGAATGATCTATACACTAAAGCTGCTTTATTTAGCTAAAGTAATTTAGGTGACTATAGTGTTCCTTTAATACTGATGTAATATTGTTTCTGGCATGAAATTTGTACTTTCAATAACTTTTATGCTGTACACCAGCTAGAGAATCCCAGTCATGCTGAGATGTTATAAATCATATTTTCATAGTATATAACTCACAAAGATGAATCCTCCACTGAACTTTCATGTGAATTGTGAGTTTATAATCTCTCCTGCTATGTCTGGCTACCCAGAATAAATAACTACCCTTAGATAGAGGCTGAGATTAAGGATGAAACCCCTTTTCTTAAGTATGGGTAAATACCCTGTAAAATTCTCCATTAAATATGTTGTGATAGTTTTTCCCTTCAGTACCTGTTGATCATTTTGGTAGTTGGTTAATTATTAAAACTGATCTTTATTTGATTGTCTTACATTAAGTTATTCCTTGCAAGCAGGAAACACACCCCATAGCTAGGTTCCTGTAAGGTTAGTATCTGGCGGAGGAGGGGTCTTTCAGCTTGTTTTGCATGGGGGGGAGGGGGTTAAGAATCTTTCCTCACTTTGTTTTTGTGTGTGTGTGTGGTGGTGGAGGAGGAGGTGAGGTGGTGGGGGTATGGCCATCTGTGCATTTCCTGCTGCCTCTTTCATTATGCATTAAAATACCACAGTCCCACCCCCTTCTCTAGCTGCATGTAGGAAGGGTATGTGGCTTGCAGCACGGGGGAGGGAGACCTATATAAGCAAGTTTGAATGAGTAGCTGAAGAAATTAGGACAGAGCACAAGCTATCCAGATGCATAAGAAGTAAGTGTATTTCTTTGTCCTAGGCTGTTTAGTAGGAGAAAGGGTTTTAGTAAACAGCAATGATCTATGAGAGCTAGCAGATGACTACTTCAAACTGTTTACTTAACCCCAGCATACACACTCACACCTTTGGCTTAGGTGAAGCGCTATGTGTTTTTGCTTAGAAGTGGTGTCTGATGGTTGTTGGACCACATTGGGTCTGTAATGGCTGCATTTCCCAAACGTTTTGCAATTTTTACGACTGTGTATTTTGATGGCTGAACCTGTGCTAATTTGTTGTCTATGTATCCTGGTTTTCAGTAGTTGGTAAATGTCCTCTGTATCGTATTGGTAACTTAGTGGTTTCTGCTAATGCAGTGTAGTGTCTGCTTTTGTGAGTTCATCCTATAGATTCTGTGCATACATGTTGCTCTTTGATATCGGAATAGTCCTGAACCTCTTATGGTGGGTCATGCTACAGCTAAAAAGGCAGAAGCCATGCTTTTTAGGATTGGGCAGTACAGGTACAATACTTTTTCAGACACTGGTTTGTTCTGTGAAGCCCTCCTGCTTTACGTTCAGACCTTTTTTAAATTAAGTATTTAGCATGAAATGTAGTTTAGTGGGGGTTTTTTTTAATATAGGGCATAGTGTATAAAGTTTGTTTTGTTTTATTTTCATTTGTTTAAATAAACATGCTTTTTGATTTTTTTAAATTTTTTTTTTAACAAATTGAATGCTCCATGTGGAGGGAAAAGTTTGTTGGACTGTTACTGTATAAATATGTAGTTTGCATTTGCCCCTGTATCTTAAACCATATTTTTCACACTTAAACTGGGCAAGACCCCAATTGTGCTGTTACCAAAGCTTTGTCTGTTCTTAAGGAACATATATAGCCCACATTTGTATATTCTTTAGAGATTTGTTCTCTAAACATTGCAATGTGCTCCAACCTCCTCCAGATGTCTGGTACTGAGCTTCAAGTGTGCTATGGATATATGGACTTGTGCTTTTTTGAAAGAGCTAAAAAAAATTTTTTGTTGTGGTTGCAAAATGCTTGTGTGTGTGTGTGTGTGTATATATGTGTGTGTGTATATAAATAAAATGTATTTATTTTTATTTTTTTAAATACACAAGATCCAGCGCACTCACCTATCCACTAAACAGCAACTGTTGACTGATTTTATTAGTGTTTAAAAAATAAAAAAAATGTAAACACATAATCAAGGCAAAAATAATGGGGGTTTAGTTACATTATATGATCAGACACATCATCAATGTACACCATCTCTGGCAGCTCCTACTCTAACATCCTTATGTCTGCTCCTGTGAGATTAACCAATTTACTTGGGGGAAAAAATTCCATCTGGGTCTCTCTGCAGTACAAGGCTACATAGGGCGCTGTGATGAGGCACATGTGACAGTGAGGGGTGCAAAACCAAGGAGTTGACTAGACTCCCAAATATATTCAGACTAGTTTCATTGAATGCATATGTAATTCTTACTCTTCAAAAATGTGCTATAAAAATTTTTGTAATTTTTTTTTAGGTCTCATTTTTATGGTCTTAAAAGTTAATATTTAACAGCAGGCTTTGAGTAAAGTAAAAAAAAAAATACTTAAAGCTAGTGTTTGATTTATTTATGTTTTAAAAATATTTATTTAACAATCTCAGAAATAATGAGCACTCACCAAATGTGGTGATAAAATTGAAATAAGTGTATTCAAATAGATCAATGTTTCAACCACACAATGGTCTTTATAAAGTTCTTAAATATATTTATTATTGGAAATGCCAATAATGGAATTTGTAAAGTGATCTTTATTTATACTTCTATAAAAATATATACAAATGATCACTTCCCTACATATATATCCATTATTGGCATTGCCCTTTTATGCTGCAAATTAACAGAAGAGCAGTAAGACCCCCAACAGACCATTTTATGCTATTCATCATTAGCCCATTAATAGTATTTGCTGAGGAGGATATAGTAATGGAGGGACTGATGTCACACTGTTATGAGGTCTTTGGCATTGAAGCCATATATAATCAATGTCTCTGCAGGAATTACCTGTTACTCATCATGCAATTTACTCTGTTTTGGGAAAACGTGTACATTGTAGCTTTTTAATTCAGAATTTTGGTGAAATATATTTATTTTGTTTGTTTTTTTCCTACCTCTGTGGTCATACATTTTAATCTGTTAACCAGAGATTGTGTTACCTGCTAAAGGGTATCAATTAATAATTGAATTATTTTTACTTCTGATTATTAGCGCTAAACCAGTTTATCAATATTGGTCCTTCACTACCCCCAACATTGCAGTTTTTTGTTGTCTTCCTCATGATAATAGATCCAATATTTATCTGTGCCGCTATAGATATTTACCATCTTAGAGTTGCTCCATGCGGAATTCCAGTTAGTCTCTATGGTCTTCCTTGCTTCACTCCCTGCACAGAAGCAGGGAAGACCATAGAGACTAACTGTCAGTTTTCAAACACTGTCCTACCAAAGGTGCATGTATATGGCTTAAAGGCCCACTAAAGGCAGCAAAGTCAATTTCATCTCCCTGAAGTGGTCTGAGTGCAATGGCCATGTAGATTTTATCCTGCAATGTAGAAACATTTTGTAGAAACTGCGATGTTTCCATTGCATGATTAGCACACCTAGTGACAAAGACTCATGAAGGAGCCAAAATGTCATTATATTTTGTTCAAAAATAGAGCCTGCCTCTTGAAGAAACTATTGGGTGTCCCTGGACATTTGTATATATTGCCAGTGGCTTTTTGCTTTAGGGATCTTGTCCTCCTGGTCCAGAGCATCCCCATGGAAGTAATCCCTTGCATGGTTCACTTTTTTGCACTTCCCTTGTACTGTTGGCATACTCCAAATCAATTTGCATGGCCATTTGCAGCACTGCTCATTGCTCTTCTAGCAGCCTGGCCACTATTTGTGATCCCACCAGACAGAGGGCTATCCAATGATACTTGGGGCTTCTTGGTACCAGCAGGGATTTAACCCTACTGGTAATTTTAATGCATGACAGTTTATGCCATCAGCAGGTATTAAAGCCCTACACTGCATAACTGCATAGACTGTCATGCAATCGTTAAAGGGTTAAGGATCCTAATGTAGGGAGGAGTTTGTTTTTTTTTTATTTTAAATCCACTTGTTAAATAAAATATTTTCCCTTTCAATACTTGATGAAATGAGAAGTTGTTTTGGTGCTTAGTATCCCTTTTAATATTGACATATTTTAATTTTTAATCCGCCTTTTGAGCTCTTCACGGGCAAAAGTAGCTGTCTTTATACAGTTTTTTTTTTATTTTTTTTTTAATAGTATTTTGTACACTTGACACTTGGCACTAGTAGGGGTGGTGCTGGTAGCCATACACTGCAATTTGCACCTTTGATTTGCTATATTTTCATGTGAGATGGTGGCTCATGTGTACTTATGTGTATGTTAACTAAATCAATTTTTATTTCTTTTCTTTTAGACATTACGGGGGACCCTATGCAGCAACTCGTGAGATGAGTAAAGCTACACAGCCTATAGGAGGACCCCCAACTGCACCTTCCCCTGGACTCCAGGTACGTCATGTAATACACCATAAGATGATTAATTATTAAACTACATTAGAGATTTGGTTGGGTTGGCTGGCTCTTTGGAACCGTCCAATTGTGTGTCCTGTTGCTGTGTGGGTGCATGGTCTGTAGGGTAGTGAGTGATCTTGTTGTGTTCTGTAGATTTGTCAATATATATTTTGTGTAAATCGCTTAATGTTTCATGCTAAACCTTTTAATGTTTTTCTTCAGTCAGGATATATTTCTTCACCTACGGCACCTGTGGTGATTGGGCCACCTCATAATAACCCAATGAATACCCAATCTCAACCTAGGCCCGTAAGTTACTGCTACTATTTTGTCAATTGTTTTATACATGCTTTAATCCATTTGGTCAAACATAAAAAGCTGCTCAGAATGGTAGACACTCCTTAGTGGGTGGAATATGTGCTTTTTATGTCAGCTGAGACTTATCCCTATGTCTTGTCCACACACTATACAGAAAATAAACAATGCAACCAGTGTATATTAAATAAATGTAAACTTATATTAGAAAAAAAGGTTAGTTTAATTTCTAATCGGTATGCAATCTTTCACTTGCAGATATACCTAATTCAACAGAGTACTAAAACCTGAAACAGAGGAACATAACGGAATCTGTAGAAAAGCATAGAAATTCTGTTCTAGTGCCGAATCAGGCTCTATTTAGACTGCCCAAAGGTGCACGTTCAGAGCTTTGATATTCTCCCCTCCTAATGACTTTAAGGCGGTAAATAGCACCATGGGTTAGGGTAGAAAGAAATATATTTGCTTATATAAAGCATAAAATAATACGTTTTAAAAATGACTATTTCACGGTGGAGATTAACAATTTTGAAATAAAAAAATAAACCAGAATATGTATTAGCTCACTGCTTGATTCCTTGCTGCCTGATATGGATTTAGAACATGCAAGTTCAACCATTACCTGGAATTTTCCTCTTTATTTTATGTTTTAGTACTTTAGTGAAAGATTGCTTCTGAGCCAAAATTAGTTAAATTAGTCCTAATTTAAGTATGCATTTTTTGATATAGAGTAGGTAGACATTTTCTGTATATAGTATTTTGAGTGATTGGGCAGCACTTGCTACAGTTTGACTAGTGGGATATTTCTTAGTTTAGTTTATTACAATACTGTTTAAAGGGACATTATAGGCACCTAGACTCCTTCAGCTCATTTGAAGTGGTCTGGGTGCAAACTCCCGTCATCCCTAACCCTGAGCATGCAATTATTGCAGTTTTTATAAACTGCAATAATTGCCTCTCAGGGTTAACTCCTCCTTTAGTGGCTTTTTCTACCAGACAGCCATTAGAGGTACTTCCGGGCTTGAAGGTGACTTTTGGTCGCCTAAACTACGTTGGATGTCCTCATGCTATGCATGAGGACTTCCAGCATCACCTGAATATGGGGAGATCTTAAAGCAAACTCCGCCATTACTGCACATTAGGTTATTAACCCCTTTTGAACCAAAGGGAGGGCATTGATAAAGGGGAAAGCTAGAGTGCCCGGAAAACCAGTTTGTTTTCCTGGCACTATAGTTTCCCTTTAAACGCTAATACACTTCTGTTCATCTACTAATTGCTTGATTACTGAATTTCAGCTGAGGCCTGACAAATCCTCATTTTACTTTTACTGCCCTAGCAAATGCCATTGATAACATTGGCTTGTGATTTACTACAGATATAATAAATGTTCCTCTTGTTTGGCTAGGTTGTGTCTTATGCACCTTCCCACCGTTCCCTCTGCGCACGCGTGATTTCGGTATAGTTTCTCGAATCACTTATTAGAATTTGTCACTGATACGAGTCGTCTTCTTGGTGCCATTCACTACTCTTTCGTTTCTTGATGTCTCACTGCCCAGTTGTCTATTAATCCTTGGATACGCAGAAGTTTCCCAAATCTTAGATGCTCCAATCACAATGACTTTGTTTTCAGTTCTTCAAAATTTACTTACAGTGATGAATGAATTAGATCATTAGTAGCTAACACTTACATCAGATACCTGTGCCTGGAGGAGCATTATGTGAAATCTAGTTTACAAATATTTAGTTAGCCACTGTTAACCATCATTGACTGAGACTGTATCTGCAAAACCACGTCTTTAATATTACTCCTCCATTAATGTCCTATAGTGTGGATCCCGTCTCTCCTTTAAAAGCATTGGTCATTACCGCAGTATCTCCTGCTGTATTGCAGTGTTCTGACTACCATTCTATTTTTTTATTACTGCTGTCTGGTGTTCTGTGTGCATCCATCCCATTTGATCATCTCTTGTTGGCCCTCCTGTCTAGATTTTCACTTTTTTTTTTCTCTCCTCCCACCCCTCTGCTTCTTCCTTTTTGTTTTTTTGCTGCTGCTTCTAACAGGCAGGATTCAGATCAATTCAGGTAATGCTTCTCCTCATACAACAGATGACCATGTGTTCTGGGTGGGAGTCTGAGACTACCATAAGTGGTCGTGGGGTGATGCAGTAAAGACAAATATCAGCTATTAAGGGCAATATTGTTGGTTGTTTTCATGGCAGTATTCAGTATACCATATTATGTTGTAGGTATACCGCACGGTTTAGTGTGTCCCATTGTAATGGTTTTAAAGAATGCATCTTGCCTTATCTATTCCTTCTAATTAACAAATGCCTAAGATTTGTTTTTGTTTTTTTTAATCTTTCAGCACTACTATCAAAGTCGAACACAGCCCCCGAGCAGTGCCACTCGAGTTCAGAGTAGCTCTTCGGCTCGGGCAGTTCCCCCTGCCCATGTATATTCTGCGAGCCAACCGCAGGTCGTCATGATCCCGTCTCCGTATCCCTCCCAGAGCTACTACATACAAGGGGGACAGGTAAGCCCTGGTAGCGCCATTCACTGTAACTAGCACCATACCAAGTATCTAATAACAAGGTTGTTAAATTAAAGTTTTTGTCCTTTCAGGGTCGCCCGTATGTAGTTCCAACCCAGCAGTACCCCGTACAGCCTGGTGCACCCAGTTTTTTCCCCAGTGCCAGTCCCACAGAATACGGCACGTTTGGTGAGTTTCTCCTTTTTTCTCTTACTCCCCAAATTGAAATTGCCTTTAATAGATAATTCCCACATTTTGTGACCCCCCTCCCTACAGCCACACACAGTATTTTATCATGCACTTCACTGCACTGCACTGCTCTGCTCTCCCTACAGCTGTTGTGTGCACTTCCCCCTCAGTGTTTATATGATCAGGACCTGGTATCTGACTATATTTAGTTCAGAGTGGCTGGGGAGTAGAAGCAGAGCACAGAAGGGTTAGATGCATTTATTCTATGCAGGACACTGCTACTCTATTTAAGATTTGTTTGCGAAGTGTGAATTTTAGTTTTTCACACCCCATTTAGACTTCATAGATTCCAGTCCTGTGTAATCTTAGGGGACACAACAATACCTGAGCCTCTTAATTTGTAAACACGTTTGTTCTTTTGCTGCTGGCAAAGTCAGAAGGTTGTGTAGAGTGAGTTATTGTAATTGTTGTTCTGCTAGGGCAAAGGTGATATAGATTGGCATGTTTGTATTGTCAGTCAATTCTGCCTCAGTTCGAAAGAAGAGTGGTAACTCTGATTTTCTTTTCTCCCTCTCTTCTTCTCCCCCCCCCCTGCTCCCCCCATCGCTCCCCTTTTTTCCCCTCAAAATAATTCAGCTGGGGCATATTATCCAGCGCAGCAACAGTATTCTGCGGGAGTGCCTAGCGCTCAGGTAATGATGAGTGCGCCTCAGTCCATTCCACCAAAGCGTGAGAGAAAAACTGTAAGTAATGGTTACCATTATGTATGGTTAATACTGCAGTTATGATAAGACTATGAGACTATGGTTTATAAGACATGTATGGATATGAGTTAAGCATGATACTATTGGTTTATCACATTAAGATTATGTATTTTGGTGGTTAAGGTTTGAAACAAATGGTTAGGCCATTTACTAAACAACTATGTGAGTGAGCAGAGCAATATGGCTGTTAGGGAGCATACAGGGGTAAGATGATGTGGGATTGAAATAAGGGAAATGCTGATGGAAAACGGGAGAATTTGGGAAAGGTGGGTATGCAAACCCATGACTTCTGGGCGGAAACATCAAAGAATTAGAAATAACAGGCAAAATTTTAAGAGGATAAAAGGGAAAGGCACAGGTGAGCAAGTGTGTATGTTTTTGGACATCCACATAAAAGAAATTGAACACAGAAATGGCATATAGAGCACATGTGAAAAGAATAGAGGATGAAAAGTATCATTTTTTTTTTTCAAGCTTCATGTCTCTAGTGCTTGTGCGACATGTTTACAGGAGCAGATTTAGCAACTGTGCCTGGATATGTGAAAATTATCACAACTATTGTGTTTGTTATAGAAGTTTTTGAGATGAGTGTACTTTTTGGGGTATATATGGAATGGAGAAGCTTTAGGCCTAACTGTTGATGGTTTTTGTTGTGCTTGTATTAAATCTTTACTGGACATGTGGTTTACATCTTCCTCTAACGGGAATAAAAACAGTAGACTTGACACTTAAAATTTGCACTGTGTGTTTGTGTATAAGTGTGTTAGATTGAAACAGATTTTTTTTTTTTTTTTTTTCTGCAATATAAAGTAAATTATGAGTGATTTTTTTCTGTAGTTTCTGTACAGTGCCACAGGGTAATTTAATTCTACAAAAGCATTTAAGGGTGCATGTTGATTTTAATGACTGGCGTTTAGGTGGAAAAATAAATGGTCTGTGAGGCAGGTTATTGGACTATCTGGTGATAGTTCTTGTCTATCACTATCAGTCAGTTTGTGTGATGCTTTCTTTCAAAGGCAATTGCATCGTTCCATAATAAACTATTTTGCCTCAAACAGTGATTATCTTCTGATCTTCAGATTATCAAAAGCATTTTTTTTTTTTTTTTTACCAAGGAAACTTATACCATTTAGAAGCATTAATCTGTGCAGGTTAACAACTTTTAGTCCCTTTTTATTAGATACGGATTAGAGACCCTAACCAGGGTGGCAAAGATGTAACTGATGAAATTTTATCTGGGGGACGTACCACATCTACCCCTACGCCACCCCAGGTGAGACGCGTACCTGCCTATCTGTCAACATTGTGTATTTAAAATGCCCATGAACTATTAAAGGGACACTGTAGTCTCCAAAACAATATCTTAATAAAGCGGTTTTGGTGCATTGATCATGCCTCTGCAGCCCCACTGCTAATTCTCAGCCATTTGTATATCCTGCTCTGTAAATTGAATTTTAATTACACAGAGAATGCTCCTGTAATGGTTAGAAGGCTCCTAACATAGAAGATAATACATTCTAAATTAAACAGAATTTGTAATAAAGGAAGTGTAAAAATTAATGTCTCTTTTCAGGAAGTGTTTAGGAAGGCTGTGGAAGACACATGCATTGAAGTGCATCTAGACCTGCATAAACTAAGTGATTCAACTCCTAAATAGTAGAGAATTGAGCAGTGAGACTGCAGGGGCGTGGTCTAACAAAACTGTTTAATTATGCTAAATTGTTTTGGGGAAATATAGTGTCCCTTTAAGCTATTACACTTCCATGCTTTTGTTTTGTTTTTTTCCACTTTACCACCCTTTTTTTCATTAACATATGTTCCTATACTGCCAACCAATTACATGGATGTCTGCAGCAATTCATTTCTTTGTTTCAAGTTCCTTATTTCAATCAATGACACAGACTGAAAAAGTATTACATACTTTACAATATCCTTTACTCAAAGGCTATTATTTCTCTTCCACTTTGCAGTCAGCAACTGGAGGACCAGAAGTGCAAACAAATGGAGAAAATGCTCATGTACCTGTAGTGGTACGTCCAGGTAAGTTTGTTTTGATGGAAAGGAAAGCAGTGCTAATAAATTTACAAGAAATTATTAAACTTGGTCATGTGTTGTAGCTGATCTTGTCCCATTAATGGTTCATGGTTGCTATGTGAATTTGCACTGTACTAATGTTTGCTTTTGTATCTTGTGTGAGAGGCTAGCATATTATTTTGAAATGGCGCTACCGTATTGAAGTCCTTTTAACCAATTTTGCTTTTCAGATGATGGCGGCAAGATCACCCAAGTGCTGATCAAGACTTCTGAAAGCCCATCACCACCTCTTGCGTCTTCTGAAGTAGAGAGGAATATGCCAGATGCCTGTGAAACTGATATAAAAGTTGACAGCACTACACCAGAAGTGACCTCTTCTTGCATAATTGCTCAGAACTCACTAGATATAATAGAAAACCTCAATGCACAAGTATTGGAGGTCTCAGAGGCTCCTACTGAACCAGAAAATGAATTTATAGAAGAATCCACACAACTAACAGTGCCCTTTGTAGAGTTACCTACCACACAGACAGACCCGCAACCAGATACACCCACTCTCCTGCCCCTGGAACATACATCTTCACACACATCTGTTGATTTGTCTGCTGCACAAGTTGCTCCACTGGTTCATGAAGAGTCACCAACAGCATCTGCAAATGATCAGCACCAAACTGAGGAACTCACTCCTGAAAATCCAGATACTCCTGACTCTGTAGAACCTGAGGAGGTGGTAGACACAAGTAAAGAGTCCGAAAGTGTTCCTCCGGAGAGCATAGCTTGCCCTACAGAACTTCAATCAAATGGATTATCTGCAGAATTGCCCGTGCCCTGTGTTGAAACACAACCAACATTGATATGTCAGGAGGAGCCTACTGTAGTTTCCCCTATAGCCCAGCCTGAAGAGTTACTGCTGACAAATGGTGAAGGAACAACTGAGCAAATAGAAAATGATATAAAAGTAAATCTTGAGGCACATGTAAGTCCAATTAGTGAACCAGAAGAACAGCCTTTGGTAGTTCCTGAGCCTGGAAATGTGGTGGAAGATAAAGAAAGAGACCCCCCTGCTGACGACGTAGCCTCAAAACCGAACACAGACAACCAATCGCAAGGTGAGTTAATGCAGTGGATACCATGACATTTTTGATGTTTATTTCTAGGACATCATAAGTCCTGTTCCCCGTGGCAGCATTAACTAGTGGGTTAGCTGTTCTCTTTACAGGACAGGAAAGAAGCTGAAATTAATATAATTATTATAACTGCCCTTCCTCCCCATCAGACAACCTCTTGTAAGTAGTTCCACAAACTTTGAAGAAGGTTGGGGACATAATTCTGCCATGGTGAATGATCAGTAAAGAGTATTTTGTTAAGTATTGAAATTATTTTCTTATATTTATGGTCAGCCCATGGGACAATTAACCAGTGGGTAGTACCAAAGCATTGTGTGTATCTGTTAATATGGCTTACAATTTTGATGCCATATTTGAAGCCACAGTATGCTCAATAGAGTAAAGTTTCTACTTGCCGAGAGTCGTTCTTTTTTTAAATTTATTTTCGTTCTATCTTTTTTTTTTTTTCATGTCTTGGCTAATACAAGTCCTGAAAGAAATGAAACACACTTATCTGTGGCTTTATTCTCCTTGGAATATTGATGATAACATTATTTGAGTAGCTTCCTAAAACCTAGCTAAAGATAAAGCTGAAAAGCTGTAATGACACAATCAACCACCTGTTAAATTGGAACGTGTAGGGGTCTTTAAGTTTCATGGTATAGCGCATACAATGAGTACTACAGCAGGTGATCGATCTGAACCTGGAGTCATTTTGCCAAAATACTAAACTTAAAGGCACACTAGTAACCACAACAACTACAACTTAATGTAGTTGTTCTGATGTCTGTAGCATGTCCCTGCAGTCTTTTTAATGTAAACACTGCCTATTCTCTAAAAAGGTAGTGTAGTTGTTTACATTACTGCCTAGTAACTCTGGAGCACTAGAGTTGCTTCCTGCGTCAGAAAGGTTGTGTCCACCCTCTGCATGGAGATGCTAAACGCTTTCCCTAGAGATGCACAATAGCCCCCCAATTTCTTTTCTATGGGAAAGCATTGGTTTGACTGAGATCACGTTTGATTTTGCCATGGAGGCAGTGAGACGAGGCCAGTTACTACGTGAGAAAAGGTGGGTGAAATCACCTTTTTATTACAGAAAGGGACCTAAATAGTTAGTGTCAGGAATACATGTTTGTGTTCCTTGATACCATAGTGTTCATTTTACTGCATAATATCTACCAGGTTATCAAATTACATGCACTTGCTGGATAAAACCAGTTCACCTTGCCATAACAAAAAGAGTAATAGGAGTTGAGTCACTTGCCTCAGATTGGTGGGGCTTATCTAAAAGGGTACACACAGAACATGCTCTGGCGTATTGGCTGTATGCTGGGACTCTGCATCCTACTTTGCAAAAATGGTTACCTGACGAGCATATAATCTTGTCCTGCTAAAGCAAGCTCATTCTGATGTAATTATCCAGAAAAAAAGACTGCCTGGTCTGTTTTATCTACTACTAAATTCAAACTTCTATGTCCTGACCTATTTCTTCAAAAAATGGATCAATCATGCCACCATGGTGTTTCATCAGGAAGAATTCCTTCTTTGTGGACAGAGACTGATGTAGTTTTATAGCTGTAGTGATACTGGAGTGATTTAAATGGGGGGTATGGTGAGTAAAATATCCTTTAACCTAATAAAAAATAAAAATAAAAAAAAAAAGCAACCTTTAAAAGGATAACTCATTCAGATAATTTTGTCAAGTGTGTTTGTTAATGTGTTAAAGTACACTGATATTTGGATTGTCCCTATTTGTGCAACAAATTTGGGACAGTAGTCTCTCAGCTTTTGAACAATTTAGTGGTTTTTAGACCTCACGCTAAACGTAAACCTATTTTGCTACACATGATCACTTGCTTACATTTTGTATATTTAAGTTCTACCTCCTGTGCGTGGCAACAAATCTGTGTTCATCTCACTAGCGTAACTGCTTCAATTTCTGGAATATGAATTCAGGGTCTTTAAAACACAACTGCTATAAAATGTTCACTTCTGCCACACATTATAAACTGTCTGTCTTGCCATTAAATGGTCTTTCTAAAGATACCATTATTTTCATCATATCCTATCATATAATTTACTATATTTTATACAATATGATGAAAAAATGTAATAAAACACACCCCTTCTCGAACTTTGACCCCCAAGATCTGTTACGCATCTACAACCGCCAAAAAACACCCATGCTAAATAGTTTCTAAATTTTGTCCTGAGTTTAGAAATACCCAATGTTAACTCTGATATCTGTCGGGAATCCCTGATTAACCGTTCTCATGTATATATTTTTTTTTAAAAGAAGGCAACCTAAGGTATTAAACTTGGGGTATTTTGACTCTTTTTCATACTCTTTTTATGTAACCATTTTACCACCAATCTATGCCAAATTAAAAAAATAAAATTAAATTGGAGATTTTTTTTTTTTGACACACATAGCAATTTAAGAATAAATGTGCCGAGAACTTTAAAGGTTACTGCCAAAGAACACCCCAATATGTGTTCAGCAACATCTCCTGAGTACAATGATATGACCCATGTATACGTGTATCGGATTCTCTGGGGGTTAAAAGACCTTATTTGGAGGGTACGCATTCAAGTTTTCCAACTTGGAATTTTCACAGCTGGTCATCATGCACCCATGTCCTATTTGGGACATTTCTGAAGCCGGCCAATGTAATTTACCCCCATCAAACCATACATTTTTTAAAAGTATACACCCTAGGTTAATTGAAATGGTGGTATTTTAACACTTTCCATGCACTATTTCTACCACCAGTTTTAGTCAAACTTTTTGGTAATCATTTTTTTATTTTTCTCTCACATTGTACTTTAGGCATGGATTCTCAGTTCCTGTTAGGTGTTTGACAAAGAACACCCCAATATGTGTTCAGCAACATCTCCCGAGTACAACAGTGCCCCCAATGTACATGTTTTGTCTTTTTGCAAAATTACAGGGGTCAAATATAGGGCTTTTCCATGTTTGCACATTGCAATTTACCCGATTGGTTTGCTGGGCCTATGTTGCCTTTGAGACCGTATAGCAGCCCAGGAATGAAAATTAACCCTATCATGGAAACACACTATTTAAAATGGGGTATGTTCTGTCTTTTGTGGTAGCGGTTTTTATCAGTTAGTGGTTTTTATCAGTTTTTTTTTTGTTTGTTTTTTTTTTTAAACTCAAACTGCACTTTTACTGGTGATGTCATTGTCGTGAGAAGTTTTACTTAATTAGAACACTCATATTTGTGTTCAGCAAAGTCTCCCAAGTATAACAATACCCCCCCCCATGTACAGGTTTTATGGTGATTTGAAGAGGTACAGGGTCAATATCTGGCTTGCCCAATTCAGTTTGCCAGATAGGTTTGCTGGGTCTGTGTTGCCTTTTGACTCCATATGGTAGCCCAGGAATGTGAAATAACCCCATCATGGCATACCATTTTCAAATGTAGACAACCCAGGGTGTTCCAAATGGGATATTTCCAGTCTTTTATAGTAGCCACTTAGGCACAAATGCTGGCCAGAGTTAGCGTCTTCATTTGTTTTTTTATAATTGTTTTAATTTTTTCAATTTATATTTTGTGTGTGTGTGTGTGTGTGTGTGTGTATGTATATATGTATGTGTGTGTATGTATGTATGTATATATATATATATATATAATAAAGCATTTTTAATGATATATATGTGTATTTTGAGATGTGTGTGTGTGTGTGTATATATCTCAAAGTACATTTATAATGAAATAATGTATATTTTAGTGTGTGTGTGTACACACACACACTCTCTTTTTAGCTGCCTGGGGGACTGTCTGACAGCTCAGACAGTCCCCCTGCAGGCAGCTCTTAGACTCCCATTGTGGCGATGTGATCATGATGATCTGCTGCTGGGGACTCCGGCAGTCCTTGCCGCAGATCGCCGGTCCAGGGCTTCTATTTGCCACTGTCGTACTAGGTACGTCTATGGTCCTTTTTGACAGGTTTTTTTTTTTTGTCGGACGTACATAGTATGTCCACGGTCATTATATATATATATATATATATATATATATATATATATATATATATATATATATATATATATATATATATATATATATATATATATATATATACACAGATGATATCTATCTATAGATTGTGTGTGTGTATATATATAATTTCATTCTAAGTGTATTTTGTGTATGTATACTCAAAATAGTTAGAATAAAATTACATATCTGTATATTTTTGTTAAAATTACATTTTTTACAATATATACACACACACACAATATATAGAGATGGATATATACACACAATCTATAGATAGATATCATCTGTATGTGTGTGTGTGTGTAATTTTACTTTAAAGGGACACTATAGTCACCTGAACAACTTTAGCTTAATGAAGCCGTTTTGGTGTATAGAACATGCCCCTGCAACCTCACTGCTCAATCCTCTGCCATATAGGAGTTAAATCCCTTTGTTTATGAACCCTAGTCACACCTCCCTGCATGTGACTTCCACAGCCTTCCATAAACACTTCCTGTAAAGAGAGCCCTATTTAGGCTTTCTTTATTGCAAGTTCTGTTTAAGATTTTCTTATCCCCTGCTACGTTAAAGGCTTGCTAGACCCTGCAAGAGCCTCCTGTACGTGATTAAAGTTCAATTTAGAGATTGAGATACAATTATTTAAGGTAAATTACATCTGTTTGAAAGTGAAACCAGTTTTTTTTCATGCAGGCTCTGTCAATCATAGCCAGGGGAGGTGTGGCTAGGGCTGCATAAACAGAAACAAAGTGATTTAACTCCTAAATGACAGTGAATTGAGCAGTGAAATTGCAGGGGGATGATCTATACACTAAAACTGCTTTATTTAGCTAAAGTAATTTAGGTGACTATAGTGTTCCTTTAAGTGTATTTTATATTAAATATATAAAAAAAAAATACTTAGTATGACATTTTATTTATATATATATATATATATATATATATATATATATATATATATATATATATTTTTTTTTTTTTTTAATTTTTAAACATTTATTTATTAATTTTATTTTTTATTTTGTCAGACGTACCTGGAGGGGGGAACATAATAACCCTATAGTGCCAGGAAAACAAGTTTGGTTTCCTGGTACTATAGTGCTCCTTTCATTATTATTTTTTTTTTTTTTTTTCTTTCTCTCTCTCTCCATTATACATTCCTGTATTTCTATAGAATATTGACACTCATTAGATTTAGTGCCCCCTTTTGTTCAATAAAATTGTAAAAAACGAATCTTTATTAATTTTTTTTGTACCTCCCCATTCCTGCTCACTCCCTTCCATTTCATAATGAAAGCGTTGCTTCCTTACGGATTGTCCTGTCCAGTCCCCCTCACAGAGGATTTCAATGCTTTCCTATGAGCTGTATGAATTTAAAACTACCTGGACACTGTACCCAGACAATTTCATTGAGATTAAGTGCATTTTTTATTTTGTCGGACGTACCTGGAGGGGGGAACATAATAACCCTATAGTGCCAGGAAAACAAGTGTGTGTGTGTATATGTATATATATATATATATATATGTATGTATGTGTGTGTGTGTGTGTGTGTGTGTGTATGTGTGTATATATATGTATATATATGTATGTGTGTATATATATATATATATATATATATATATATATATATATATATAATTTTTTTTTTTTTCTTCAAGAAAAAAAAGGAAATTTGATGACGGTTGTCCTTTAAGTCCACTACCACTTATAATTTGAAAGCTTTTCAACTCTTCCACTTCAACTTTGAGTTCTCTCTTTCTCCAGTTGCTGTGTCTGTACCTAAAAAGAAGAGGAAAATCAAAACTTTCAACAACAAAGCCGTTGGTGATTTATTGGATGCGTTTAAAGAGGTGAGGTTTCAAACCGTGGCCAACATGAAAGCTTGTGTATGCTTTGTGGTTTCTTTGGAATTTCTTTATGTATACATGTGTATAAAATGTGTGTACATATAATTTCTAGGTAGTTGACGGGTCCTCTGATGTGGAGTTAATGCAACAGCTGCCAAGTGTGGCTCTTCAGCCAGAACAAGAACCCGTGGCACCCCCTGAGGAGCAGGATGAGACTTGGGAGGAAAAGGAAGACAAGATTGATGCCGAAAATATTAAACCAGGGGATCACAAGTATGGGTATAAAGGAGGTATGTTATCACTTTATAAAGTATTGGTCTTGCTGTACTGGATCCCTGAATTAACTGTACTGGATTAGTCTTTAATACAAGTCCTGCTTTTTATGATATTACACTCTAGTTACCTTTTACTAATGCAGACGTTGTGAATTACGTTTCTCAGGCATCCTGGTTAGCTGAGCCTCATAGGTCACAACTGCTATTATTTAACCTAGTTTGTCTTGCTTAGTTTTTGTGAATTTACATTTTCTTATACCTTTCTTCTATTCATGTAGTAATATAATGTAAGTTAATTTTGAATTTGCTTTGTATGTGCTTTTTCTCCCCTTTTGTCAGGGTTTAAATGAAAATAGGTTTTCGTTTAGGCTTTTGTTGTTCTATTGTGACGATTTGTAACTTATCAATCTTTCTTCTACAGAGCAGTGGAAACCTATTAACCCAGAAGAGAAGAAAAGCTATGACCGGGAGTTTCTCCTTGGTTTTCAATTTATAGTGGCCAGCATGCAAAAGCCAGAGGGCCTTCCTCAGATATCAGATGTTGTTTTGGATAAGGTGTGTACAGTCAATACTTTATTCTAAATTAAATTCCAATTTTTGGGAAGTCACAATTTGCGCGTGCATTGGGATGGGTGAGGACTAAAAGTGGGCTTATCAGGGTGAGGTTGTCTCATCCAGCTCTGTCCTTGTGTTAATTACAGCTTAACATTGTCTTGTTTGGAGGGGCATGTTTTGTGATGTTTATGTGCTCTGTGTATTTACTTTTTTGAGATATGGGAGAAATAACACTAGATGGTAACTGAATGTTTTCAAACAATGTCGTTCACACCAGATTTAAAATTGCATTTTTTAAGTTTGAAATATGATCAAATTTTGTATTTCTCATCCAGATAATTTGTCAACAGGCTAACAAAACCCCCCTGCGGCCACTGGACCCAACACGACTTACTGGGATGAATTGTGGTCCAGATTTTACACCTTCGTTTGCCAATTTAGGCCGACCTAATACCAACAACCGTGGACTGGTGAGTGGTGTTTTTAGCAATTTTCTTGAAAGTCCATCGTGACTTGACTAATATCTAGTAACCGAATGTCTTAGAAACCTGTGAAAGTGCTTTAACTTAAGATTTGAAGTTGATTTATATCACAGAGGTCAGAGTATTTAGTATACATTGGCTGGGTGCAAATGATTTTGTACGAAGTTGCTGTCCAGGAAGTTGGTGTTGTTAAACCATCATCTTTATTCTCTTTTTATTCATGTGGTTTATTCTTTCTTATTTACAGCCACCTGGAATGGTTCCAAGGAGATCCCAGCAGGGTCCCCGTAAAGAACATCGCAAAATTATTCAGGCCGTTTCATTGAATGAAAATGTGCAACTAAATAAAGCTGAAAAGGCGTGGAAGCCGACTAACAAAAGGGCTAGTGAGGAAGAGGACCCTGAAAATATTAAAACACAGGTAAGCTTGTAATTGAACCACAGTGTAACATTAACTAAATGTCTCTTGACAGACTTGAGTTATGGATCATGTGCTGCTTCAGTCTTCTGACGTACATACATTTGTGAATTGTTGCTGGGAGTGTCTATTCCCACCCTCTTCCAATTTGGTAGTTCAGGTGACTTGTTTTAATTTAGTCCCATTAACCTAGAATTAAAATGTATGCAATAAAGTCCTTGAACCTGCACTCATTCTTTCGTTTTGTTTTTCAGGAATTATTCCGTAGAGTACGCAGCATTTTAAATAAACTGACACCACAGATGTTCCAGCAGTTAATGAAACAGGTCACAGACCTTGCCATAGACACAGAAGATCGGCTAAAAGGAGTCATTGACCTCATATTCGAAAAAGCCATTTCGGAGCCAAATTTCTCGGTTGCATATGCAAATATGTGCCGATGCCTTATGGGGGTAAGATCACAGGATACTTTCAAAACAGTTGCATTGCATACCTCATACAAACAAAACTATGTACATTAGACCTAAACCAATATAAAGGACACTCCAGTCTGGACGCCAACAAAATAAATTAGAAGTCTGTTTGATAGATTTTGGCCTCCTATTCAAGCTTTTTTTTTTTTTTTTTTAAATCACATTTAAGATTTATTAGTTTTGGCTGAAGAGACTATTTTGCAGCTTTCTACAACATTAACCTATCCTTTTTTTTTATTTTTTTTTATTTTTTTATTTATTTATTTTTTTGCCACTCTCCCTCTTTACATGAAGCGACTTCCATATTACATATATTTTGAGCACATACTCAGGAACTGAGCTGCTGACTCCACTTTGCCCTATATCCAATCTCTCTCTCTATTATTTTGTATATGGGTTTTTAGAGAAAAGAGGCTTTCTCCAAGCAACCCATATTTGGTCTGTCTTTTTCTAATTGTACTGTCACAAACTTTTACATTTAAATTGCTAATGGAGATTTTTTTTTTTTGCAATTTCTGTGAGCATTGCACGGTCTGATCAGGTGCTGAATTTTCTGGAATGTCCACTCCTGGGAAGATTGGCAACGGTCTTGAATGTTTTCCACTTTTGATTAAAGGAACACTTTAGGGTCAGGAACACAAACATGTATTCCTGACCCTATAATGCTAAAGCCACCATTTAGGTGGCTTGCTCCACATTAGCCCCCTGAAAAGCAATTAAAACTCATCTTATTTCCAGCGCCGCACAGAACTACCATAACTGGTCACGCCCCATGGTGACATTATAGTAATTGCTGATTTTTAGCCAATCCAATGCTTTCCCAAAGTCTAGCAAACTATCAACTGAGCAGGAAATTAGAAATTCTAAATTTTAAATAGAATTTGCAATAATGGAAGCATTAGATAACTCTTTACAGGAAGTGTGTAAGGCTGTATAAGTCACATTCAAAGAGGTGGCTAGGGCTGCATGAACAAAGTGATTTAACAAACAAACAAGCGATGAGCCTGCTGGGGTATAAATTTATACATCAATACTGCTTTATTAAGTTACAGTTGTTTTGGTGACTATAGCATCTCTTTACGTTGTTGGACATGGTATAGGTTAATAACTATTCTTGTATTAAGAGCTCCAACAGTTGACAAAACCAGACTCGTCATGATGTATCAAGCTAGCGAGAGTAATGGATAATCTATTGGCTAAGAGCTTTGAATAATGCCATTATTAAAAAGGGAAAAAGGTCGGAAATTTAGTTTGGCTTGCAACATTCCCTCCTAGAAGAAACCTAGAGCTGAAATTTTTTTTCTTTGGTATGGTGTGAAGTCTTTTGAAAAGTTTTTGTATTAATGTTTAGTGAGGCGGTCAAGTCCTGGCGACACGTGGACTGGCATTTTCTCTCTAGCATTTAAAAAGGTTTGATGTGGACATAGGACGGCTGGGCTAGGCTGGCAGCTAAACTTGCCAGGAAGGAGTTAATCTCCAATTCTATTGTAATGTGTGTGTGTGTGTGTCTGGCTCATTTTTAGGTTATACATTCTAACCAATGAGTGTCCCATCCATAGGAATGCTTGAAAAGTTTATTGGGCATGTCTGACAGATTTGCAAATATACCGTTTCAAGATCTCTTCACCTTCCATGTGACATGGAGAGAAGAGGGGGTAGTGTGATCATGCAGAGAGGGCTCTGGTATTGGTGTTCTCTTTAATGCACAATGGTGCTCTATTTTTGTCATTGTTGAACTGTTCTGAAACTGAACTTCAAAGTTTTTTTTTCTTGCTTTATTTTTGTTTGCTTAAAAGTGTTTGAAAGTAATGAATGTCCATTGAACCCATTTATTCTGTAGTAGTGTGCTGAAAACTGCTGTAATCTGCCTGTGTATGCAAAAGTCTTGCGGTAAAAGCAACTAGTTAACAAATCCAATATGTATAACCAGATTTTACAGTTCAAAGTATGTTTTGTCAAATCAAATCCCAGTGGGAACCAGGTTAAAGATCTTTGTCTGCGGGGGCCAAGACGGAATCTGTGGATAACTGGGAAAGCTTATATGATAGCTAGTATCTTGCGCCATGTTTTGGGAACCTTTTTAAGCAATCCTGGAGTCAGCTGAAGAGCGAGGGATGTGCCATTGCGCCATAAATTATTTGCCGTACTCTGTGGTTATTATGGCTTTCCCAACTCTGTTCTTCCATAATATTAGCCTGGTTAGAAAGCCCCACTTATAGAGGATATTGGCCTTTCTCAAGGAGCCACAAAGGCCCCATCTTTTAGTCATGGTGGCTGTAGATAAGCTGGTGTACAATTGTATGTGAGTTTACCAGGTGCAGAAGATTTTAAAACTAGCATCCTGCATGAGTATCTTTTTGACGCCATAAAAGTGTACTTGAATGATTGCTTTGGACTCATGTGGATCAGGTTTTGAGATGAAGTGTGTGCACTCTCCAGTAGAAACTCCTAGTCTCAGGCCTGTGGCAGAAGCATACATTCGATAGCTTGTACATGTGCTGATAGCTCTTGCGGCCTTGCTTCCTCTTTTATGCCCTTTATCCTTATGTTATGTCATGCTAGAACGTCTGAAGTGGTCACTTTGGTCTTCAGAAACTGGATGTTCAATTCCAGGACCGAGTATGCATCTGCCCATGAGTTGTGGACCTCAATCAACTTTTCCTTGAGGTGTGTTCCAGTTTAATAACATTTGCATTGAGGATGAATACTTTGATCTGTTCAGCATACTCTGCAATGTTCCACCCTTCGCCGATACAGCTGCATGCACGAGATGGAAGTAGTAGCACTCCCTTGTGAGTCTATCTTGGACCTGGTGTGTGGGCTAAGGCTGCCACATGTAACAATGGGACAGAGCTTTTGTGGTTTTGTTTGTGGACTGGTGGATCATTGCGGATCACCAGACTGCATAGGTGAGCTTGTGCTGGTAAATTGTTTCAGGATCATTGTGAAAACACACTGTATTGTGCCTGCTATGAGAGGAGCTGAAACCTCACGCATCTGATCTCATGAGCAGTCAAGCCACGCCCCATAAACTTACTTTTTATGTTGATTTCCAGAATGTTGCTTTAATGTTGAAATTGTTAAACTATTTTAATATATATTTAGTAGGAGCAATCAAATATATTTGTACTTTTTGATCGTAAGATTATTTGTCCTCCTGACAGCTTAAAGTCCTAACTTCAGACAAGCCGGGAGTATATGTTAACTTCCGCAAGCTGCTCTTAAATCGCTGCCAGAAAGAATTTGAAAAGGATAAAGATGACGATGAAGTTTTTGAGAAGAAGCAAAAGGAGTTGGATGCTGCTTCCTCGGTAAGTAACTGTATGCTTGTCCAAATTTTGGTTGGCAATTACAATATTAGCGAGTAGGGCTTCAGTATTAAGGAAATGTAGATAAAATAGGACTCAGACCAGACAGACCAATTATTCAAATGTCGTATCTACTTAAAAGTGGGCATATTGTTCTGCGTGTCCATCTAGCAGCTTCAGTTTGTTTTCAATGAAAGGAAAACTAGGGCCAGGAACACAAACCTGTATACCTGACCCTATAGTTTAAAAAAAAAAAAAGCACCATCTAGAACACCCAATATAATAAAATTGTACTTTTATTCTGATCTTCCTGCTTGGCTGACATAATCAGATGTGGTGTTCTGAGCCAATCACAATGCTTTTCCATTGGATTGACTGAGACTGTCAAGGAAGCAGATCGGGGCAGAATCACACAAGCCAAACACTCTGGCAAATCCGCATCTCCTCATAGAGTTGAATAAATGCATCTCTGAGGACATTTCAGTGTCTCCAGGAATCTCTCAGCTGTAATGTAAACACTGCCTTTTCTTTAAAAATAGTGTTTACTGCTAAAAGTCTGAAGGGAATGATTCTACTAATCACAACATATACAATAAGCTGAAGTTGGTCTGGTGACTACAGTGCCCCTCTAAAGTATTGACCACCACTTAATAAAAGTTTTGTGATTTTGTCATTGAGTGGGTTTCTCTTTTTTTCTTTTTTTTCCTTTCATAAGCGGACAGTGACATTTAATGAACTAGCAACACTGACAATGTTCATACTACCTAGATCTGTCCTTTAAAAAAAAAAAAAAACAACAAAAAAAACACAGAAATAGAGGGAAGAAAACAAAAGGAATGAAGACCTCATAGACCTTGACAAATAACTGTGTATGAAAAGCTGGCAGATCCATCACTGATGGAATGAACATTTCACTTTTTTCATAAGATTTGTTTTGGAGTTGCTGCATCCTTACAGTTTTGTCCCTGGTAGCTAGATTTAAGAAGGTAGATTGGGCCATTAATATCTTGGTAACAGAATTCCTCTGAAAAGAACATTTTGGCAATTCAAGCGGCTCGTATGTGAGGCTATTAAGCAAAACTTTTTAAATGGGAATTTTGTAATTATTATATTTTTAGAAAATCTGTTACTCTATTTTAGATGCTAAAGTATATGGTTTTTGTCTCTTGCCTTTCTGCAGCCTGAAGAAAAGACTCGCCTAAATGACGAATTGGTGGAAGCCCGGGACAGTGCTCGCCGACGCTCCCTTGGAAACATTAAGTTTATTGGAGAGCTTTTTAAGTTGAAGATGTTAACTGAAGCCATCATGCATGATTGTGTCGTGAAGTTACTCAAAAATCACGATGAAGAGTCCTTGGAGTGTCTTTGCCGTTTATTATCCACTATTGGCAAGGACCTTGACTTTGAGAGAGCAAAGGTTAGTATCTAAATTCTTAATTGGTTATATTGCCTAGTGTACAACTGCATCCCCATATTTTAGGAAATGGCAGCCTTTTACTCTCCGACTGCTTAGTACAATGTTTAAAATGCCTTGGCATTTTAATGGTTCACAGCAACTGCCAGGGTTAGGGCTGGCCATTATTCCTCCATCTAATCCCATAGTCTCAATCATACATCTGAATTATCTGATCTTTTTTTGTAGCATTTCCTATGCTGACATCTTTCTCTTTCACAGCCACGTATGGACCAATACTTCAACCAAATCGACAAAATCATAAAAGAGAGGAAGACATCATCTCGTATAAGATTCATGCTTCAGGATGTGATGGATTTGCGCATCGTAAGAACTTTTATATGTCATAACTACACAATGATTTCAAAAATAGTTATCTTCTTGGCAACTCTTATCCTTATGTCGTATTCCAGCTGCCTAGGGAAGCTGTAGTATGTGCAGCTCTTTGGGTAGAAACAATTTTTGTGGAGAAATACAAATGATAGTCTTTCAGCCCCTAAAGAAGGCAAATGTGTGTGATATTTGTGCACAGTCACATTTCTTTAAGCAAAAATCTAACCTCGCCAAGGCTAGAGTTTTTACAATCCTGAGGCTAGGGTTGTTCACGAAAGTGAATTCATAGGAGCAGAAAATTCATGTATTAAGCTAGAATGGGTTAACTGGAAATATTATTAAAGGACCACTATAGGCAGCCAGACCACTTCAGCTTAATGAAGTGGTCTGGGTGCCTGGTCCAGCTAGGTTTCACCCTTTTTTCTATAAACATTCAGAGAAACTGCTATGTTTATAAATGGGTTAATCCAGCCTCTAGTGGCTGTCTCATTGACAGCCGCTAGAGGGCTTCCGCGCTTCTCACTGTGATTTTTCACAGTGAGAAGACGCCAGCGTCCATAGGAAAGCATTGTGAGCCAAAGAGGAGAGCTCCCCGTCCGGCGCTGGATAAAGAGGTAAGTTTAACCCCTTCCCCTAGAGCCCGGCGGGAGGGGGACCCTGAGGGTGGGGGCACAAGTGTTTTCCTGGCACTATAGTGGTCCTTTAAGGTCGGCTATGTTTTCATCAGCTTATTAAAGGGTGCCTTGAGTCTCTGGGCAAAGTGTTCATTGTTATACTGTTTCTGAACAGTTTAACAGTTAACCTAGGTGCTTGCACTCCAGCTGCTCTGAAGGGAATGGCTAATGTGGAGTTTGCATTATGTTGGAAATGATAACCGCGATAACAGGTTGTGGTTGGCTGAGTGCATGAGTGATCCACCCTTTCTGCTTATCATTGCCTCCTATTGCTGAAATTTAGTAGGATGTAAGGATTGGCCAAAATGGAAGCACTGTTAACCACCTCAGTGAGTTGATGTGCATATGGTACATAATGTATAAATTTAAATAACCCTGTGTTATTCCCTTACAATTTTTCCAAGCTCTATATGTGGTATTTACAGTTAAACTTGGTGTAGTTAGATAAAAAAATATGAAAAATGTAGTATTAACATGTATTTGCGTAAATGCATTTTTCAATTAAAATCTCACGTGACAACAAATGCATTTGTGAAAAGAAAATCTTTAAATTGGCTAACTCTTCAGAGACTTGCTTGCCCTTCTTTTGTTTATGAACGTCTTATTTTTGTTTTTCTACAGTGCAACTGGGTACCTCGTCGAGGAGAAACAGGGCCTAAAACTATTGACCAAATTCATAAGGAAGCTGAATTAGAAAAGCAGCGTGAACATGTAAAAGTTCAACAGCTAATGTCTAAACAAGACAAAAGACGTGAGCCTCCTGGGCGACCCACAGGTGGACGCGGCAAGGAGCCCGCAGACGATGGATGGAATACTGTTCCAATCAGTAAGGGGAGCCGTCCTATTGATACCAGTAGACTTAGCAAGATAACCAAGGTAATTTGAATAAGTATGCAGTATCTCCACAAGCACTGCAACAATTGAGTTTAGGTATTAGAACAAATTGTCAGATTGACTGGATGTGTATCTTTTTATTTTACTGTAGCTTGGTGCAATTGATTCCAACCAACTTCTGGCACCGGGGGGCCGCTTAAGCTGGGGTAAAGGGAGCAGTGGGGGATCTGGAAGTAAAACTGAGCCAAGTAAGCTGGTCTTGTTTTTTTTTTTTCTTTTCTTCCCTTTTTCGTCTCTCCCGGTAATACCATACTTTGGCTAGGGCACTAATGTGTTTTAACATTTACTTTCAGCACCAGAGTCTGGACGCCCAGCTACCAGCACTCTGAATAGGTTTTCAGCTTTACAGCAGTCTTCAGCAGTAGAGAGTCAGGATGCAAGGCGACCTGTTCAGAGGTAAGTCTTGGTGTCCCTCCCCTCCAACTCGACATGCAATGGTCTCCACTTTGAGAATCTGCATATTCTTTGTCTCTTGGAAAACCAATTATAATTGTGTGATTGAGTATTATTTTTGATTAAAGATAGTCATATTTTTATCCAGTATGTCTTTTTTAAATCTGTATCATTAATTAAAAAAGTGACATTACAGAAGGCTTTAGGACTACTGAGCAAAGGCATTAAAAAAAAATCTTATGCAGGTAATATGATTTATGTAAGCACAAGTTTTAGATGAGGTTATCAGGAAGTCACAGGAATTAAAAGGTGTGTAGAATACATAGATTTATCATTCTACTCTGTTGCAGGGGTAGTTCCAGTCGCGATAGATCTGAGAAGGAACGTGGAGACAGATTTGAACGATTAGATCGCTTTGAAAAAACAGATATATTTGACCGGTCAGATCGAGCTCGACCCCTAGTGACGAAGAGGAGCTACAGCAAAGAAACAGAGGATCGTAGCAGGGAGCGAGAAAGCCTCATACCACAGGAGGCAATCCGAAAAGTTGCTAGCATGACCGAACCAAGGGATCGCAGCAAAGAAAGTTGTACGTGTATAGTTTACATAAGACTAGTTTTATTCGAAAAGTAATTTAACAATAATTGTGCTTGCTTGTGAATAACACTAGTGGCATCATTTTAAATGTTTTTTTTTTTTTTTATATATATAGTGAAGCGAGAATTACCTGTTCAATCTGCACCAGTAGCACCTTCACAACCATCCTTGTCTGAAGATGAAATAGAAAAAAAATCAAAAGCAATAATAGAAGAATATTTACATATAAACGATTTGAAGGTGAGTGTCTCTATTATTATTATTGTTATTATTATTTATATAGCGCCAACAAATTCCGTAGCGCTGTACAATGGGTATGTTGGCAAACAAGTATAAGCAGTGTCTCCTCAAATCTTTTTGTGTTGAGAATCATTTTTGTTTGCCTGTTGTATTCTGTGTGTGCCCTCAAGGAATTTTGGGGCATCTTTAAATTTGCATTGTATGCAAACCTGTGCCACAATAGCTTTTCATTTTATACAAATATAAAATAAAAATAACAAATATCTAACTTTTAGTTGGCTATTGGAGTGTGTATTTCCCTTCTTTAACTGCTTTAAATAACTTCCATTACCCACTTTAGCACTTCAAGGTATGTAGTTGTAATTGCTGTTTTTAAACTCTATTTTTTACTGACCTTTCTTTATAGGAGGCACTCCAGTGTGTCCAAGAGCTAAGCAGCCCAACATTGCTCTTTATATTCGTTCGAAATGGCATAGAATCTACATTGGAAAGAAGCACCATTGCACGAGAGCATATGGGTCTTTTGTTGTACCAGCTGGTAAAGGCTGGAACACTTTCCAGGGAACACTATTACAAGGGGTGAGTACTTACTGGTAATATTTGAGGCTCTGTAGTAATCTGTAATATTTGAGGAGCTGTTCCATTTTTTTTCCTTAGCATATTCTTTATGCTTTTCTTTTATAACTTTGACCAGCTAGTTTGTGTATACAATTGTTTTCCTGTGTGCTCCTGAACGCCTTGATCCTTCGAAGGTTTCTTCAAATTGCTTCACGTTTAGAATAGAATTGTGCTACAGAGTCCATTGCCTTAACCATGAAAGCTGCCCTTTCAGTTTTATTGTGTAATAGAATGAAGTGTCCATTTCAGATTATATTTAATGAATTTCCTATGACCAGTTTGAAGCATTGCATGTGTTATTGAGTTTAGTGACACTTATTTTCGTTGGCTCCATTCTTTTGCTATTTACAGCTTTGTTGTTCTTGGAGACTTTGATAAATCATTTGATAATGTGATAGACATGGCTATATTCTCTCATTGTAAAAAACATTCTCATATATTCCTTTTTTGTCCCCTCCTCAACAGTGTCCTGGAGGTTATGGAGGTGGCCGATGACATGGCGATAGATATTCCGCATATATGGCTATATCTGGCTGAGCTTATATCTCCCATTCTTCAAGAGGGAGGCATTCCAATGGGAGAGCTGTTTAGGTAATTAGTTATTCTGGTTTTGAGTGGAGGGCAATAATGTGTAAATGGATTAAAGTATGAACTGTGGACTAGTGTGTGTGCTATTAAAGCATGTTCGTTGCCAGCTCCCATATGATACTCATTATTGAATCTCTGATTGCACGCGTCTCCACAGGACTGCATTTCATTGTGAAATGTATGTTTGGGTTTTTTCTTCATTTTAATTCAACAAATTACCCCTTTTTCCTCATCAGACATTTGACGAAACCATTGGTACCCATTGGAAGAGCTGGTGATCTATTATCAGAGATCTTGAGTTTGCAGTGCAAGGAAATGGTAAGTTAGGAATGTTGCATGTTTTTATTTAATTTTTACCACTGAATAGGATCTATTTACTTTGACCTCAGGTTACAACTTAATTTTTAATTCAATTTTCCATTTCAGAGCCATAAGAAAGTAGGAGCATTTTGGCAAGAATCTGGTCTTTGTTGGAGCGAGCTTCTGACTAAAGACCAGGATGTAAATAAGTTTTTAAGTGAAAAGGTGCGTAAGGATTTCTGTAACCTTCTTCCATCATCCTTTAATCTTGGTTGTGCTCCCATTTATATGCTACCCACACTTGAACAATACACAACTCATTATATCCCATCTCACATCTTATGGGTTACTTCATCATAGTCCTGCCTCTTTTGGTTCATGAGACAACTTTTTGAGTAACTTTTTTCTCTTCCTGTAGAATCTAGAGTACACTCAAGGAGAAGAGACAGAGACTCCTAGCAGAAAGGAATTTTCTGGGATTGAGCTTGACAACATTTTGACTAGGCTACTAAAAGAGAGCAGCACCAACCAAAAGATATTTGACTGGGTAGAAGTAAGTATTGGTGGAAGAGTACTATGTTTTGTGTATTACAGTGTGAATGCGCTATTTCTGGAGATGTTGTGTGAGACTCATCACTTTCTATCTACTTTTCTTAGGCCAACCTAAGCGACCAGCAAATCCTATCCACTACTTTTATCCGAGCACTGATGACTGCTGTGTGCCACTCAGCAATTATTTGTAAGTGTTTTAATCAAAGCACAAGTTTAAATTGCTAAAACTACAAATCACTCCTCCATTGATACACCACATCCTTCCATGTTGTAATCCCCTCACACAGTTTTATTGTGTTTTTTTCAGTCCTATTGTTTGAACCAGTGCTATACTTTGTAAAATTCGTAAGCCTGAGTGTTTGTATTTAGTACAAATCACTATGAACATTTACTCCCGCTCCGTCTTGTCCCTTGAAGCAAGCACTTACCTCACTTTTGTCTACCTTAAGACTCCACCTCAAGTAAATGTGCACTTCTCGCTGCAGTTTAATTTCTTCATTGTTGGCTGCTGTCTGACTTCTCTCTTCTTTCAGTTGAGAATCCTTATAGAGTGGATGTTAAAGTTATTCGCACAAGAGCCAAACTCCTCCAAAAGTACCTGAGTGATGAGTCCAAGGAGCTGCAGGCTCTGTATGCTCTTCAGGCACTTGTTGTGAAGCTAGACCAACCTCCAAGTAAGTTTTAATCAATCTATATATAAGTAATATAATAGAACTTTTTTTTTTTTTTATGGACATTTTTGTGGCAAGGTTTTGCAAGGTAATTCTTGTTGTGGACACACATCTATTGCCTTTTATTTTTCATAAAATTGTTTGCTTTTAATGCATCCATTTCTAAACGGCCTATGAAGTTGATGGCTGCAGCTATAAGCCCATCCCACAAAGGTGACAAGGGGATTTGTGTGTTTCTCTTCGACCAAATGTGCACATATTTTACATGTTGACAGTAGATAGGCACATCCATAGTATTAAGGGCTCCACTGCATCTTCTTTGAAGATGCCTGATGTCTCCATGGAAGACATGAATGGAGTGATTGGTAAGCTAACATTAGCAAGCTGTGGCATTTGTGGATTTGCACGGTTATAATGAACAATGCCATATTTGAAAGAATTTGTTTACGACTTTGAGCACGTTTTTTGGTAAAATATATCATACATTTTACATATTCATGAATTTACCATTAATCTTTTTTTGTAAAATGGGCGTTGAAACCTAAATTATTTTTTCCCCTTCAATTCATAACAGACCTTCTACGAATGTTTTTTGATGCTCTGTACGATGAAGATGTTATCAAAGAGGAACCGTTTTACAAATGGGAGTCCAGCAAAGACCCAGCCGAACAGCAAGGAAAGGGTGTTGCCCTTAAATCGGTAACAGCCTTCTTCACGTGGTTGCGAGAAGCCGAAGATGAGTCTGATAATTAAACAAATGGACTAAACATTGAAAAATTGATGCCCTTATGCTTGCTCTCTGTATTCCTTGGGGCTTCCAGTTTAATGTTTTTGGGTTTTGGTTTTTTTTTGTTTTTTTGGGGGGGGTTGGGGGGGTTTGTTTTTGTTTTTTCCCCTGACTTATCACAAAAAAAAACCCAACAAGAATTCCTAATGAATTTGCTTTTGTCAGAAAAACAATTGACTCTAAGATATGCCTGGGTGAATGGAAGTCTGGCACCAAAAACATAGAATGACTAAAGGTCTGGCAGATACAGGCAATATATGGGAGAAATTCTGACACAAAGCCAGATGTGCAAAAAAAAAAATAATTTTTTATTTTTCTTGTTCTCCCTTTTACCTCCCTTTTCCTCTAGATTTTATTCTTGTGTAATAATTACACGGGGTATCACTTTAATAAAGTTCTCGATGTATTTTGGGACTGCTGGAGGAGGTCTGGAAACTTGCTTTACCTGCACTTTAAGGAACAGGTTGGGGCATAGACAGATTATTCTCACTAAGACATGATTTTAAAGAGCAGACCCGGAGTCTAAATGCTTCAATGGGATGGAGCAGCTGAGCTTCCTTTCTGCTCTTTATTGCTGAAATATAGGTATATATATATATATATATATAAATATAAATATATATAATTATTACGAATTGTTTTAAAGATGGTATCAAGCCATCTTTGAATCTTGCATTTCTGATATTCTACTCTGATGGAGTTCAGGACCTTGTCAGAAAAGTTTTTTTTTTTTTTTGGTAAATTGATGAACTCCTGTCATAATACAAATTTGGTGGATGCTTGACTGCCAACCGCGATTTATTTTTTAAAACATTTTTCCACCCCACCTCTGTTTGGGGCTTAGAAAGGACTTAATTTCACTTTGTTTAAATTGCCACCATGTGTTGGAAAGAGGCATCTCAACCCAAGAAAATTCTGTATAGAGAAAGCAAACCTTTTTTTTTTTTTTTTTTTTTTTTTTTTTTTTTTTTGTCCTCCAAGGCAAAATAAGGAGGCTATTGTAATTACACAAACCAAGGATTGACTGAAATTTGTAAATAATTTTTGCTTTCTTTATTAAGTATTTAATGATTTTGACCTACAAATTTCCCCAGCACCTCTTTTCACAGAAACTGGAAATAAATGCAGACATTAAAAAAAACCAACAAAAAAAAAAAACCAGTGTGTGTTTCTCTAAATGAATTTTTGCATTCCATTGATTGTCACAGCCATGGTTTTTCTCATTCTCCAGTGTATGGTATCATGTTTTAGATCGTATAAAGGATTATGCCAAATATAGACATGCAATCCTACTATTGAATTCTGAAACACGAGGGTATGCACTATAGTTGCATGGTTAAACCAGATATGTTTTAAAGGGCATTGCTTTTGCAGCTTAAATACCGTACTGTGTACCTAGAGTTCTCCCTAACTTTACCACCACTGGCAGCACTGTACTTAACTTGGATTTTGCATAGTGGAGATGGGAGTTGTGTAACTTACCGGAGGTAGTGACCAGAGCTCAGTCAGATGTTTATAGCAGCAGGGCAAGGACCTAAGGGAAAATTTTAAAGCGAATTGCACTAATTAATACCAAGCAGGCACTCTTGTTACATAAAAATATGTGGGAATCTTAAAACGTAATTGTCATTTCTAAGGATGTATATTATATTTAAGTATCCATGCTTTTAATAAATGTTTTTGTGAGGTGTGAAAATAAAATTAAATGTAGCAATTCACCCCCACTGTATCTCGGAACTGAATGACTCTTCTTGTCTCCCATTAGCTATTGTTATAAACGCTGCATTTTTTTTGGTCATTCAGCATAGAATGTGAGAGGGGAGAAACAGTGGGGGAGGGGGGAGGGGGGAGAGGGGAGGATTGTCTGTTTCACTTTAAAAAAAATTTTGACCTAGGTAAGTTTGGAGTTCTTCTGATATGGAAATTGCTGTGAAAACTAGAGAAGTTTACTAAAATGCAAAAGTCTCTAGAGCACTTTAAAGGGACACTGTAGTCACTATGAGAATTTCATCTCTTTGAATTGGTTATAGTGCCTGGAGTGCCCTGGCACTGTCTCTCCATTCAGTGTTGCACCATGTTCGTGCAGTATGCCACAAAATAAGAGTCCCTGGCCACCCACAGTCCGGCCCCTTCAGTATGTGTAGCTAAAGCAGAGATTACACATTTCCTTGTTGTCATACCCATTCATACCGTCAGTTGGAACTCTGACAGGCTAAAAGCAGTCAGCTGACACACTCAGCCAATCACAGCTGCCCATTGCTGCTCAGACTAATACTTCCTTATTAGCCAAAGCAGCACAGAGGGGATGGATTGCCGGGGACTCTTGTTTAGCATTAAAACTTTAAAAACTGTTTAATGCTGATAGAAATGATGGGACCAGAGGACTCCAGACACTATAACCAGTTTAATGAGATGAAGCAGATACAGTGTCTACGGTGTCCCTTTAATAAATGCAATGAAAAAAATAATATTTATGCATCACTTTTCATAATAGTTTAATATCCTCAGTTACTGTTAATCTTCCTCAGTGCAATATGTACCTTGGTTGTAACTGATCTGGATTGTAGTAATTGCTAAACATTTAAAATTGAGCATTACATGGAAAGGGTTAAAGGGACACTCTAAGTCAGGGGTTCTCAACCCAGTCCTCAGGACCCTCTACCAGTCCAGGATTTGGGGATTACCTGGGTGTGTCTCAGGTGTTTAGAAAAAGGGAAAAAAACACCTTAGACTCTAAGGTGTTTTTTTTTTTCTAAACACCTTAGACACACCCAGGTAATCCCTAAACCCTGGACTGGTAGGGGGTCCTGAGGACTGGGTTGAGAACCCCTGCTCTAAGCACCAAAACCACTTTTTATATTCATGGAGTGTTTTTTGTATAAAGACTCTGCACCTGCCATCTACCTGCTCAATTTTCTGCCACTTATTTATGAAGCCCTAGCATGCCTCTCCTGGCTGTCACTCACACAGTTGCTCTATACACTTGCTGACGAGCCCATGTTTTTTTTATTTTAATATTGCAGTGTCTTTAATTTAGAATTTCTTATTGCCTATTAAAACCTGTAGTAGCCTCCTGTGTAGATTACAGTTCAGTTGTTCATGGAGGTGGTCTGAGTCACTGCCAGGGGAGGTGTGACTAGGGCTGCATAAACAAAGTCAGGTGTGCCCAAAAGGTAGATCTTGAGATGATTTAAAACTACAACTCCTTTGATGCTTTGCATGCCTTTAGCATGACAAAGCATCATCAAAGCTTGCTTTCTAAAATATGAAGTATATATACAGCAAGGCAAAATACTGCAATTAGAACATTTGTTCATAATATTTAAACAAGTCAGGTTTATGATCAGTAATGAGGTGCTGTAAAAGAAAGCTGGTAAATCTAAAATTATGCAGGACTTCTCTGTGAAATCAAATCTAATAATGCTAGTTGCTGCAGCTACAGTATCTCACATTTTTGTAAATATTTTCTCTGTTCATGTGACAACACTGAAGAAATGACTCTGCTGCAATGTAAAGTAGTAAGTGTACAGCCTGTATAACTGTAAATTTGCTGTCCCCTCAAAATAACGCTACACACAGCCGTTAATGTCTAAACTGTTGGCAACAAAAGTGAGTACACCCCTAAATGGAAATGTCCAAATTGGGCCCAATTAGCCATTTTCCCTCCCTGGTGTCATGTGACTGTTTAGTGTTACAAGGTCTTAGGTGTGAATGGGGAACAGGTGTGTTAAATTTGGTGTTCTCGCTCACACAGTCTCATACTGGTCACTGGAAGTTCAACATGGCACCTCATGGCAAAGAACTCTGAGGATCTGAAAAAAAAAATCTACCTAAAAATGGCCTAGGCCAGGGATAGGCAACCTTTGTCATTCCAGATGTTGTGGACTACATCCCCCATAATGCTGGCAAAGCATCATGGGAGGTGTAGTCCAAAACATCTAGAGTGCCAAAGGTTGCCTAGTCTAGAAGAAGATTGCTAAGACACTGAAACTGAACTGCAGCACAGTGGGCAAGACCATACAGCAGTTTCACAGGACAGGTTCCACTCAGAACAGGCCTCGTCATGGTCAACCAAAGAAGTTAAGTGCACGTGCTCCGCGTCATATCCAGAGGCTGCCAGCAGTGCTGCAGAGGTTTTGGAGGGGATGGTCAGCCTGTCAGTGCTCAGAGCATATGCCGCACACTGCATCAAATTGGTCTGCAAGGCTGTCCTCCGAGAAGGAAGCCTCTTCTAAAGATAATGCACAACAAAACCCGCAAAGAGTTTGCTGAAGACAAGCAGACTAAGGACATGGATTACTGTAACCATGTCCTGTGGTCCGATTAGACCAAGATAAATGGATTTGGTTCAGATGTTGTCAAGTGTGTGGCGGCAACCGCGTGAGGAGTACAAAGACAAGTGTGTCTTGCCTACAGTCAATCATGGGGGTGGGAGTGTCGTGGTCTGGGCCTGCATGAATGCTACTGGCACTGGGGAGCTACAGTTCATTAAGAGGAACCATGAATGCCAACATGTACTGTGACATTCTGAAGCAGAGCAAGAAACCCCCTCTCTTTGGACACTGGGCCGCAGGGCAGTATTCCAACATGATAACCTTAAACACACTTCCAAAATGACCACTGCTTTGCTAAAGAAGCTGAAGTTAAAGGGACTTTAACTTTAACTGCAGGTCCCACCTCCCATCCCCGGTTGCTGAAGGGGCTGCTTCTTCCCCTGCCCACGCTCCTCCCCGTCAGCCGGCGGGGGAGACCTAATGGCCGTGCACGCGCATTAGACCTCTCCATAGGAAAGCATTGAAAATGCTTTCCTATGGGGATTTTAGCAAAAACCTGTGCTATGAAGCAGGAAGTGCCCTAGATGAGGAGTTATCCCTGCAAGGTAATTATTGCAGTTTATGAAAACTGCAATAATTACAGTTGCAGGGTTAAGGGTAGTGGGAGTTGGCAACCAGTCGGGGTGCTTGGA